TTATTATTACAAGATAAGTCCATCAATGTTGATGGAAAATAGTTTATACTCTGTGATGCAAAATTTCAGCGAAGAAGACCGACAAAGAAACACAAGGCTCAAGTTTTTAACAATAGAAAGGGTCGTTTACTAACTTCTCTCTTCTTCAATTTACACGACAGGAGTTCATAACAAGCTTGTTTTAGTCTGGTAAAGAATATGAACTCGTCGAGCTTTCAACCGCTAAATGGCAAACCTAATGTTTCCATTACTGGGTCGCATTTCATTGAGCCGGGAGCATCAAAGGTCGTTCGCCTCGTAGTGTTCTCGGTCATCATACTCGCCAGTTTGATCGGCAATTCATTGGTTTTAAAAGCAGTACTAGAACTTCCCAGAAGATACAAATCATTCACGTACTACCTGGTAGCAAATTTGGCTGTAGCCGAAATCATCAGCTCAATCTGCCTTCCATTTACCATGGTGTACTATGAGACGTACAGCTGGAACTTTGGACAGTTTACTTGTAGGCTGATTATTCCTCTACAAGTCATGGCTATTATTGTGGTTACAAGCGACATGGCGGCCATTGCTGTTTATCGCTATCGGGTAATGACGTTCCCGGTTAAGAAACAAGTAAAAATATCCATAATGGTGGCGGTGATTGGAGGTTTATGGTTTGCAGCCCTTGCTTTATCGCTGCCTTTAGCTGCAACACGGATTTTGGTGGAGTTGCCATCGGGGCACAAAGTTTGCAAGTCAAACTTCTCAACCAGTGACCAGAAAATTTATAGCATCGTGAGATTTGTCCTCTCTTACTTAATACCTTACCTGGTCATGATATGTTCCTATGGAGCTGTGGCAGTTAAACTCAGGCGTCGTCAGCTCCGAAGAAGCGTCGACGAAGGGTCCGAGATAACTATGACTACGTCAGCATCACGAAGCAACTCGTACGCAGACCCAAGAGCGGCGATCTACGTTCGTCCGAGGGCAGCTAGCAACTTAAACCCCAGATCGGGGTGCAAGTCTAACGTGGAGCTTGAACGCGACCTGTTAAGAATGATCTACGTTATCATCTTGTCATTTGTACTTTGTTATATCCCCTATCAAGCGTTGTTTTTGTGGGAATATTTTGCAGGCGAGAATGGCCGTTACCACTTTCCTTATCAAAGAATGCTCCGCCGATATTTTTATGTGCTTACGTGTTACCCGAGTGCTCTCCATCCTTTGTGCTATGGTACAATGAACAGATTCTTCGCACAAGCTTTTTCTAAGATAGTAATGTGTAGGCGCTAACAAAAGCATCTTTTAAAAAGAAAACGGAAACTGAAGTCAGCAGATAGTCACTGAATCGAATCACGCTTAGCTCTAAGCTGTTGAAATAGGGGGACACGGGGGGGGGAGGGGAACGGGGGTGAACGGGTAGTGGAAGGAATTCGCACTGCTCCGCACTTCCACACGCGGAATACTGGTTAGCGCTGCACGAGTTCCCTTCCTTTCTTCTGTGAATTTGTTGATTCAGATTCCTTTTAATTTAGTAAAACAGCGTCACTTAAAATTCAGTAGCAGTGTCCTATATATTTCTTAACTGGCCGTCGAGTAACTCGAAGAGTGAGGACCCTTAACCCTTTAACTCCCAGGATCTGATTATGAATTCTCTCTTCTCGCTGCTACACATTTCCTTGCAAATAAGTCACAAAAATTTGGTGTTAGATCAGGACCAACAATCTCTACCTGATAAGTTTGAATATCCTCATTACATGTAGGCCGGATAATGTATGAATATCACAGGGAGAAATTACATATTAATCACTACTGGCAGTTAAAAAAGGTTAACTCTCAGAGGGGCTTATCAGGACAGTCGGATGTCATGGTAATCTCAGACGCAGACGTATCCATAATAAAGAAAATAAGATAATACAAAAATAAATATTTCTGCAAGTAAATTTTGAGTTCACAACTTAGAATAATGATATTTATTAACTATAGATCTGTAAAGTCTACAATGTAAACTGCAATATTATCATGACGTGAGCCCCCTCAATGGGAGGACGACATCTGAGTTTGTCTAATAAATAAATGTTGCACAAAACCTAGAGTGTAAGTCACCAGAAATGGAAATCCTAAAAAAAAGAATACGGACAGTGCTAAGATTTCAACAAAAACAGACTGCAAAAAATGGTTTTGGGAAACACTGAAGTACAGAAAAGGATTTCAACCCATTCAGGACCCTCGTAAGTAGTAGTTACACAGAGCTAATCTTACTTTACATAAAATATTGGTAAGATCACCCCTTATTTAATTCGTAACTGATTACTGGTGTCCGATTACGGCCAACTATTCGATTACACTGTCCGATTACAATTGTCCAAAGTGATCGGTGAAATATAAAGCAGCTGATGCACCAATCACATGTGAGGAAATTGTAATGGTTATGATCTTGTTATTTAAGCAATATGGCAGGAGAAATGACGCAATCACACATGTGTAGCCCTTTCCACACATGGGTGCATTTCCCAGTTCTCATGTTCAGATTAACTTTCCTCAGTACTTTCGAACCTTGATTTATTTCCAAAAGACTTAATCGCTACATTAGTAGATTACAAACATATTCCGACTGTGCATGTCCCTCACTTTCAACTGCACAAGTTGAGCAGACCTGAAATGCAAGGCAGTTTTCAGCAACAGAATTGCTGTTAACAAGAATTCGCGGTTAATTCTATTAAAAGCCGATACAGCAACCTATGTTACACAATCTAAGATCACAATTCAGTTAAATTATATCTTTTATACAAACTGTAGAATAACCATAATAACTAACATCTGACGATCTCGAACATTCTTTCCACAATCTCTTTCTCCATTTCGTTTCCTTTTTCTAGTCTTTTTTTTGCCTCTAAATTTGGATTATTTCGCAAAAGCTAAACGCTACAGTCAAAGATTAAAACCTTCCTCACGCTTTATAAACCTAGGCAGAACAAAAAATTAATGGAGAGCCAAATGTCTAAGCATGCTTGCCTAGAAATCGGTTGCAGTGTCTATGTAATCTGGAGGATAGGTGTGCTCACTTCAGTCAAAATCTCTGTCCGGAAATAGGACTGGAGCAATGAGGGTCCAGATAAACAGCAGCAGACCCATCCAACTGGAAGTTATCTTGATCCATACTGCCACACTGCTGTTTGTAAGGTTGTGGATGTTACTGGATTCTGGCCTGAAATTAAAGCAACTTGTATTTAAAAAAAAAAAGTTTAGGCTGACTGCTAACAGCACTAAGGCACTAGGTATGAACATTTTGGATTGTTTTAAAAGTCGTACAAATGGAATTTACTCTTTTCATGTGGAGAAAATCAGTATATGTTCATGTATTCTACTGAGCAAATTACACTTCCAACAACAATCTAGAATAAGGAAAGGTGTTTCTTTGTTTCATCACAGGGCTGTGACAAAAAAAAACTTCTGAGTCCCACTGAGGAATTGAACCTCAATGCCTCTGAGGTTCAATTCTTCAAAAGGACCAAGAATTTTTTTCTCTCTCCCATACTTGTGCCTACATCATTATGGGGATCAAAATTTACCATCTTTCACGTCCTATTTACAAAATTTTAGGATGTCCTTTAAGAAAAACTAATGACAAAAGAGAAGTAACAAAGAGGAAGTGGTAGTGCAAAAACTCTTCAAAGCTGCATGTGTTATTGATTGTTTAGAAATTTTGATAAAGTGTTCTAGAATATACATTGTCCATCTAAAAATTCTGCTCCCAAAGAGCACAGAAATATAACTTGGAACAATTTATGCAGTCACTTACTTGTACCAGTTTGTCAGGGTCATCATGACGTAAAGGGAAGCCAGGAACAACATAAAATGATAAAATGAGTAACTGTAAGCCACCTGATCTTGTTCATCATCATACACCTGCTGTCTGTTCCCTTCTTCCATCAGGTTTATGTCACTGTTAGCACCTCCCTCTTCACGAAGGGTAGTGGCCTCAGTGCTACCTGTTGCACTTGCTGCTGGGTTGCTCATACCAAGTTTTCCCACTTGTGAGCTGCTTGCTGTCCTAACACTTGCATACACAACCATGAGAAACATCACCACAACACCAATGATGGCTTGGTTGTCAACGCTCTTCACTGAAGGATCAGCGTTTACAAAGGGGTTACATGAAGGATCTGAAATAAAAATTTGGTCAATGTTATTAGTCTGCATATTCTCCATACTGTTCTCTATACATTTCCTGAGGTGTTGACAAGGAGAATTTGTTTAACAATCAAGAGCTTCTTTAGTTGGTGATCATTTCCTTAAATCTTGTGACCTTAATGTTTTATTCAAGGCTGATATTGTAGGGAGAAATTAGATGCTAGTCACTCTTAGGGGTTAGAGGGTAAACAACAAGTAGCACTCAGTCTAGAAAAGCAAAGTGAAATGGTCTTGAACAGGTGATATGCTATGAAAACCAACCACAAAACTACCATGCAAGTCTTCATCTGGAATTTTTTGAGTAGAAGAAACGTAGGGAAATGTTGGTGAGGATGGACATGGAAGGATCTGAAAAAGCAAACATCAGCTGGAATTCAGAGGAGAATTCTATTTTAACTCCTGGAAGTGATTACTATATAACTTCTCCCTATAATATTCATACAATATCCGGCAAACAGGTGAAGAGAATACTCAAACTTATCTGGTAGAAATTGTTATCTTGATCTAAGTGTAACACCATATTCTTGTGACTAATTTAAGAGGAAATGCATAGCTGCAAGAGGGAGAATTGTAATCAGATTTTGGGAATTACAGGGTTAAAGGAAAGAGATAGGCTAAGATCTAATGAGTATGGGATGGTTAAATGTTGACATATACATATTAAAGGGATTTCTTAATCATCCACCTGGGTTGTACAGTAGTGCTGACCAAGTCAAGTAAACAGCATAGAGTGTAATGACTGCTGCCTGGAGCAAACCTGAAAAAAAGGAAGAATTTAACAATCACACTACACAAGGTATCATCAAAGACTCATATAAATTGTGATTAAAAATATAAATAACATTTGATTTGCCTGCTGACTAATCTTTCATCTGAAGGTCATAAGTTTGAGCACTACCTTACTTTGTGGAAATTATTTTTGTGAAAAAAACCTGCAAAATTTCCAAGCCAGAAAGTACTAGAAATTGGGATCTCTTAAATTCTCAAAGAACATACCAGATCTGGGCTGGCGTTCCTGTATCTTGGGGTGAATGGCCAAAGCTGATGCAATTACACACAGGATCAAATTGAAGCTGATAAAAAACTTGTTGGTATGACATTTCTTCTCAGGCGCACCATGTACACCATGCGTGAAATAGATGTACAAGCAGATAATTCCTGCCACAGCAGTGCCGTACATCAAGAATGTAAAGAAAAGCAGCAGCCCTGCCCAGACTTTGGAGCCACCCTCTTCCATTTTTTCAACCCAAGAGCTGTTCCATGAATGAGCAAAGTCCACAAGAAGAACCAGTTGGATCAAGATAAACAGGAATGCCCCAATCAGGCCAAAGTACATCCAAACTGACAAATAATCAGACCAATGTGTTTGAACCTTTATCCCATACATGTAGCCATAACTTGAAGGCTTTATAAAGTAACTAACCCAAGATACTATGACTGCCCTGATTGGTAAAAAACCTGCCATTTATTGCACCAGTAAATCCATAGAAAATTGAGGTGATTTACAACTTCTCTTGTGTTGAATATGGCGTTGTGTTCTCCCAAAATCTCAAGTGGGTTATACCATTAAATTGATGGAAAGTTTGGTCTATTGCTTATATTAACTAAGACTTAAATATTTTGCTATTTATCCAAATTTAGCTTTTAAAATTTCTGAGACCTTCATGTGATGGGTAATAGAAGTTTTTTTGGATAAGCTATTTCAACATATGGTCTGTAACTGCTTGGCAACAATCAGCAAGTAAAACAATTTGCAAAAAGCTAGAATGAAACACCTTTTGCTTGAACAAAATGTTTAAACAAAGTCATGTAATTACATTCTAATCATTCCCCTTTAACTCCCAGCAGTAATTAATTGGACTTGTCCCTATAACATTCATACATTATCCAGCAAATAGCTAATGAGAACACTCAAACTTATCAGGTAGAAGTTGTTATTTTGATCTACCACTAAATTCTCATTACTAATTTACAAGGAAATGTGTAGCAGCTGGAGGGGAGAATTGACCACCAATCTCAGAAGTTAGAGGGTTAACAACTTGAAAAATTAAAAAATGAAAAGATTATGACAGACATCAAATTAAATGGCAAGACACTAGTTACATATACTTGCAGTACCTTCAACAAAAGTTCCAGTTGGGATGAAAAAAGCTCCAACAATAAGGCCAACATAAATCAAGACCTTGAGACCCCAGAAGCCATTTTGTATTCCAGACCTTGGATCTTTACTACTCTTTACACCATACATGATGAGGCAGAAGAAAAAGAAGAATGCTGCCATGGCAAAGCAGATACGATACACTGCTAGGTACCCAACGAGGCTGTCACAAATCTTGTCTTCTTTCTGTTAAACAGAGTGATTAACAACTTACTGAGTAAAGTTTTAAAAAAATTATGTCTAAAGCCAGTCAATCATATTATCTACATGATATCCCAAAATTCTTACTAGTGTGGTCAGTAAGATAATCTGAATTTTGTCATTTATCAGTACTCCGAGCTTAAGCCATTTTGGTCCCAATGGTGCCTAGAAAATTTCTGTGTTTAGCAGTTGTGTAACACAAAGTAACATAATTATGATAAAAAATAAACACAAAATTAATAGTACAGAGAAACCTCTGTTAAGCAGACACCCTTGGGACCTTCATAACTGCTCACTTAATAGAGGGTGTCCACTAAATGGAAGTTTGTAAAAATAGCACAATGTTTGTCAATGATTAACATTCAAAGGTTACTCTGTACTGTGATTAAGTTCTATGTTGTTAATGAAGCTATCCAGAGTTCAAGTTCATTACCTTGCACAAATACCAACTTTAATTTGTTGATAATAATGCAAAAACATAACAGCAAAACAGCAACGATTATACATGCAGAACATTGACTCTTTGATTACATTTAATGTACTATTTCAAGGACATAATCCCATATACTACATTGTCAATCCAGTCCTGTGTCTGCTAAATAGGGATTTATAACAATAGAAATGAGCCAAATACAATTCATTTTAGTGTCTACGTCCCCTTAATAAAGATGTTTACTTAATTGGGGTTCGTTGTAAATGGAAATATAAGATGTTAATTTCGGATTTAATCATCCTCCTGGGTTGTATTGCAACACACATAACAGTGTCCAGTTAACAAAGGGTTTCTGCTTTATTGTGGGTCTGCTTAATAGAGGTTTCGCTGTATTAGTAAAATGCCATAATAGTGTAAGGCAAAACGCATTGTTCCAGAATAAAAAATGCATCTCATCCATGTCATTGCAGCGCAGGGCCAACACACCCTGCTGGCAACTCTTATTGCATTCTCAAACAAATATGACATTTGAGACTGTCTATAACCCCTCTTTAGAATTACCACTACCCTCTCTGGGCTGAGTATGTGTGTTTACTGGAATCTCACTACAAATCTTCTGTAAACTGGGAAACCGTATTAGATTCAAAACGATATTTCTCAATTGATTGATTAACACCACACAATATGGCCGCTGAAATGGCCGACGCGACATCATGAAAAAAAGAGCAATACTGAAAGTCTCAAAGGAGAAATGGTAATATTTTCCACGTATTAAACGAGAGAATATCTATTATAATATTGATGTGATTTTTTTGCGGTTTGGTAACGATATGGTAAACTGAAAGCAACATTAAGAGATCCGAAAGCTCTGTAGACTTGCTCAGCAGGAAATCACATGAATTTCACTTAAAAACAGACGACAATTCAACGTGTGTTTTCCCCTGAAGCGACTTCTTCTTTCCCATTAGCTTAAATTTAATAGTTAATACAGAAAAAAATTTCCTGTAGGATTCTGTTACTGAACTATTATCAAATTTCCTCTTGAATCAGGCATTAGTAGGTATCGCGCTTTACAAGGTATTCAGAGGACGAATTGCTCGCTTTTAGGTGTTTTGAAATTGTAGACCACTTTACTGATCTTACCTCACAAAACTTTGGTATTTTATCCATCTCTTCTCTTATTCCTGGTATGAGCACAATACATGACAAAATTAACCCGAAGAGTAGAAAGATAGAGTAGACAATCCTTGTCGATGTAGAGTTCTTGCATGAAGGGCAAGCGTTACAGCACAAACTACAAGCAGCAGAACCACAACAACATGCTATGTTGGCAGCACAAGTAGCCGCCGAACAAACACCCAGAACAGCTCCCATTTTGAGGAGGAATGTGTTGAGTACTCCTTACTTTCTTGGGGACATAAAATGGGTCTTGGTCGTTACGATGGTTCCAATAACAGATTGTCGCGCAAATTTTTGTCACTCTTGCAAGTGAGATTGCGGTCAGCAGTATTTTTAGTAGTGTATGACGTATGGTCTCTAATGTTGAAGGTGACGTCTTACTGAAACAGCTATTTTTAGATCTGGGGCAAATCCTTCGAAAGAGCGGCAAAACATCCTTTCAGACTACTTGAATTTCATGTTTTCATGTTTGTGCCACGATAAAAGTGTTCGTCTAAAATTTGATACAAGATGAGAAAGCGTTAGCTCTTAATACAGAAGAGGGAACATGTTTTCTTTTTCATAGGGCCGTACCAGAGCTAGCTCTGAAAAGTAAACACTGATGCAGTTTTTCAATGGTTTTGTCAGCTATGTTTGCAATTGAAAAAAAACTTGTTCAGGCAAAACATGTCAAAAACAATTTGTCGTTGATACAAACAAACAAGTAACCCTTGTCAAGGAAAACTTGCTTACAACCGGATTTGATGAGAAAATACAAGTTTTCAAAGAATGTCCACAATCTTTCTTGCTAAAAATTTTTTAATTGACAGGATCAAATGTGTTTGTTTACATCACAGTTCAAATAATACTACAGAATAAGTTTCATTTTTTAATAAAAATAGCCATACATTATTTCATTGAAAATTTCTCCTAATTAAGAATCATTGTCTATTTAATATAAATTCATGCAAATCTTTCTTACCATAGGCAATGCAATAAAATCATTCTTGAAAGTCAGAGTCCAATATTTGATTAATGTCAGTATCTGAGAAGCTGTATACCCTCCTCTCACCTCCCCCTTACTCAACAACAATCAACTGATAACAAGTTCAGGGAGGAGAGGAGTAGGTGCACAGATACTAACAATGGTCCCCAGTATTCATGGCTCTTTTTCAAAGCAAAGGGATTTTGTAAGATCCGATGCAAGATCTGCATCATGTCTCCAAACATTAATATACAACAATTAAATAAAGAAATATAATTTAAAAATCTCTAATCATATGTACACTGAAAATTGAAACCAAAACCAATTTTTAAAATATAATTTGCTAATCTTTTAATATTTTCAAAACCATTGGCTATTCCATTGCAGTTAATCAATACTGCCCTAACAAAAATATTTCTTTTTTCTTTTAATTAATTAAATTTGTGATTCCAAATAATTCATACCCAATTAATTATCAAATTAAATTTAATCAAAATTTATACGATGCATGTATTTAAATGACTAGTGTGGTCAACTATTTAGTACTTCCATAATTAGATCAAGTTACCTTATCTTCATGTAACTAAATTGCTAAATTTCCATGCCATTTAAAGTATGATTGAATAAATTACTTGAAAAGACATTTTGCAGATACTTATGACCACAATAAAGTACATTGGCATTTCATAAATAGAAAAAACAACAAATTATCAGACACCTCTGTGTGTCAGTCACAACATAATCTTAAAACTAAGAGTTTGCACACTACTCTAATGATTTGTGAACAAAATTTTCTGAATTTCTACCATAAAAATCAGACTACCCTGCCTGATCAATATTGGTAATAGGACCATGTGGAGTCCAATTTGGTCTGTAGTCAAATGAGTGATTGCAAAATCAAGCAACTGTGAAGAGGGACTCCCATTTGTCCATTAAAAGTATGATTACAGACCACATTGGACTACACAGTCCTTTTACCAATTAATCATAACTATTACAATTTCTGAAACAAAAAAATATTTATTTGAGAAAATATCTCCAGTAAAGACATGGTCTAAAGTAAAAAGTTTCTCCACTTTGGAAAGTCCCTAGTTTTGTAGGGTAAGTGGTTGTTGCTGTGGTTATTGTAAATAACTCTGTGATTGGTGAGTTTAATTGGGTGAACCTAGTATGATTGGCTGCTTTAACATTCTGATTATCAGTGTCCAATTGAAGCCAACTGTCTGATTACACTGATGTATTACAACTCTACAACTAATTTGTGAAAAATAAAGCAGCTGATGCCCCAATTGCTTTTGAGGAAATTGAAATGGTTATGATTGATCAAATAAATGATTCAGGTCCACTTCATGAGATATATGAATGAAGTATGAATAAAGTCATTTGAAAAATAGATTGATTACATAACTATAACAACAATATAATACATGATTACAATATCTGTTAAAATCAGTGCCATAAACAAAGGAAACTACTGTGTGCCAGCCACAGCCTTTGTAATGATTTGCAATTGTATCTATGTTAAGAAAATAAAGCAAGAATCTGAAAAAATTTTGGAAATTGAACTATGAGATGCATTTGAAAAATGAGCTTTCATACAGCTGGAAAATAAAATATCACTCTTAATCGCAACAATCAAATAATTGGATCAAACAAGATAGATTCCAGCAACAGAATGAACCGTAGCTAGAGAGCATGACCAATATTGTTTAAGAATAGAACCATCAGGTTATCAAAAGTTTTAATTTTAAGCCTCATCATGAACTGGGAACTTAGATAATTGACTTAAGATCTCTAGGTGAAGAACCCCCTTTATCTTATAATCTTCTTGGGTTTCAGACCAACGACTTTACCATCAGCTGCTAGCAAAATGACTGCAAACTTTTCCCATAGCAGAAGAAACCAGTAGTAAAAATAGCTCTTGCATCAAGTCATCCAAACCATTTGCTTTTTTTTAAGAATGATCAAAATGAAATCCTTGTTTGTAGAGCTGTTTTAATTTCTCATTATTATCCCTAATTCCCCGCTAGCCTGATTACCAAACACCAATGTGTATCACAAGCTGTCCCCATTGAAATGGTCAGTGCTATGTCGTATAGCCTTGCCCTTTGATGACGACTGACTACTTTCCTCTCCAAGGCCAGAACATTTTCCATTTTTCCTTGTATCTTTTATTGGTGACTTTGAACTTTCATTGCTTTGCTCCTCAGTTTCTGTCATAATTGTTACATTTTCAGCTATGATTGTGTCATCATCACCATTTTCAACTTTGACTCTGTCGCATTTCAATTCTGCCTTACAGCCCTTCTCTGGAGTAGTGTTTGTTGTATCAATTTTTTCCATGATTGCATCTTTCACTGCAGTTTCAAGTTTCACTTCATATATAGGAGATGTAGGGTCACTCTGTGGTGTTCTCTCATTGGTATTCAAGCTTGTGTTAATAGATGGTGGAATACTGACTGGAACTGGAGCCTGACTAGGTATTGGCACTGCAGGTGACATTACAGACAAAGGCTGTAGAGGAGGAGGTAGTGACATATCTCCACATGTGATTGGCTGCAAGGGTGGTGGCATTGGTAGTGTTGTCATGGGAATGGGATGCATTTGCATCATGGGGGCACCCGCAGCCATTTGTGCAATATTTTCTGGTAGATGTGGTATTCCAGGCTGCAATCCATCCATTCCTGGTGGCATAGATACAATGACAGGCATCTGGCTCATGCCTGAAACCTGCATTGGATGTTGCTGATGTGCGATGCTGCTAATAGGCATCATTTGAGGCTGTGCTGCTACTTGACAGGTAGGAGTGTGTCCAGCTGGCGGTGGTGGCATCATGGCTAGATTGATAGGCATTCCCTGTGGAGAAACACCTGGAACAAAGTTCCCCATTAAAGCTATTCCCTGTTGTTGACCTAGTGAAACCCCACCTTGTTGCCCTGGAACCATTTGCTGCACCTGACTAATTTGACCAGAAGGCAGAGGTATCTGCTGCACATGTTGAGTTGTTACTACTGGATTAGTCAGTCCAGAAGGATTTGGGAGCCCTGACTGAGGTGACGTTGCCTTGGAACCAGTAGGTACTGAAGTAGTTATGATGGGGTGTGGGATCACTGGTGACATTGCTGTGTTTGGAGTTGGGGATGCCAGTTGACCTGCATTACACAAAATACTCTGACATATGTGCATAAAGGAATAATGTTAACAATGAGTAGAGAAGATGCTTGACTTGCTATTAACCCTTTTAACTCCCAAAAGTGATTAATATGGAGCTTTTCCCTACAATATCCATACATTACTCTGCAAAAAGGTAATGAAAACACTCAAACTTATCAGTTAGATGTTGATATCTTGATCTAACATCAAATTCTCATTACTAATTGATAAGAAAATATGTAGTAGCTAGAGGGGAGAATTAATAATCAGATCTTGGGAGTTCAATGGTTAAGTGTACCAAAATTTCACTCTATGTTAAATGACATCTGTACAAAGTTCTCCTTTGAGAAGAGTTGATTACCAAGTAAATCTTAAATAATTCCTAGTGAGCTGACAAGGAAAATTTGTTTAGCAATTAAAAGCTTCTTTAGTTGGTGATCATTTCCTTAATTCTCATGACCTTGATGAATGATTCAGAGGTGATATTGTAAGGAAATATTGGATAATTGTCACTCTTAGGAGTTTATGGGTTAACTTCTATCAATTGGTTATCCTGTGGTAACCATTTACACTCCAGGGAGGGGAGGGGCACTGTCTACAGTGTCCTGCCTAAGGAAACCTCACAATGATCCAGCCATAGCTAAAAATTGGACCTCTTGATCTAAAGTATCTGGTGCTAGACACTATAAACATGAGAAGACAAGAATAAAGAAATCAATACCCAGGGTGTCCAAAATGTAAACTGATAAAGGTATTTCCTTGAAAATTGAAGTGGTTTGGTGCTCGTTTTTCTAAAGTGACTCTCACCTGGCGTTGTAACAGGAGCCTCTGGGAAGCTTGAGGCATCAATTGCCAGTTTAAGTCTGAATGTTTCCTCTTTGCGTCTGTTGGCAAACCAGTTATAAACACGGCTCTCAGTTACAAGATTTGGACCTAGTCCCTCCACATTATCGTATGGTACACCTCTCTGACTGCACTCCGCCCTGTTACAAGCTTCCACCAATGCTTCCCTGAGGTATAATATTTCACGGTTAAATTTAAATTGGGAACTAAATTTTTTTAACAAATGAAAAGTGAGAGAATACATACATCAACACAGATATACAAGTTTGTGATCCTGTTACCGTTCTTCCTTAGAAGGATTTTTCTGTTCTTCATATGACTGATACAGGATACTTGTGGAAGCTGGTCCCCATTTAAATCTGTTTCTTCTTGGTTTCTTTGTTGGACTTCCTTCCACTTCTTCACTCTCTGAAACTTGTCTCTTACCAGGAGTGTTGTATTCTGTTGATGAAAATAGACATTGAATCAGAGAGACTACCTTGTCGCAAGTCCCTTGTTAGTTTTGGTTTAACTTTTAGAGGAGTTAATCTTGTAGGTAATGAATCCTGCATTACGGGTAAATAGAAAAAAGACTTATATACTCAGGCATTGATTTTTAATATTTTTTTATTAACCCTTTAACTCCCAAGATGTGATTGTTAATTCTCCCCTCTAGCTGCTACACATTTCCTTGTAAATTAGTTATGAGAACTTGGTGCTAGATCAAGATAGCAGCTTCTACCTGACAACTTTGAATATTCTCTTTACCTGTTTGCTGAAGAATGTATGGACATTGTAGGGAGAAGTTTTATGTTAATCACTTCCGGGAGTTAAAGGGTTAAGATTTGTGTTGTCTTCTTTGGAACCCTTCTATTTAAGAAAAAGATTCCATGTTGCTATGTGCTGTTCAGTTTAAGATCACAGGTGACTTTAAAATGTGGTAAGAGCAAAAAGAAGAAGAATAAAGAATAAATGCATCTATTCCATTTGTACTCTTCAACTGTTCCACACATTGTTGATATGTGTATCACATTGTAATAACATTGTAATAAAAATGCAAAAAATTTCCTTACGCTCAATGATTTCTTTCCTCTTGTTCTCAAACCAAGTATAGAGCGCTGCTCTTTTGCTTGTCTTCATAGGAGTACCCTTATTAAGATGCTGTGATAAGTGACTCTGATTCAAACCTGTGGATTCCACCACTTCCCGCTGTGGAATGTTGTGTTGCTGCATATACATTTTAATCACCTTTGCTGCTTGCCATGGGTCCATTCTAGGTCATTTAGAAAAATTCAGCCTCAGACTATCTTATTGTCCTACAATTTTAAGAACTTAAAAAATAATAAAGCGAATTTTCTTTAGATGATGACTGTTAAAATTTCCACTGTCTGCCCCCTTAACCCTTTGACTCTCATGAATGACCAAAACAGAATTTCTCTTAACAATATCACAATAACATCAGGCAGTGAAGTGATGAGAGTAAATAAAATATCTATTAGAGGAATACTGGTTGATCCAATATTAGATTCTCTGAACCAACATTATAAAAATTGTATGGCAAATGTTTGGCAGACAGTAAGGAGAATTACTGATTTGATCTTGGCAGTGAAAAGTTCAAAAGTGTCCCATGATTGTCACTGAAGATAAACATCATTTGTTCCGAGCCTTGAAGGCAGAGATACCAACCTATGAAATCCAAAATCTAAAGATGTTTGATTTTGGAACATGTCCACTCCCTTTAAACAGGGACTGCACAGAGGGAGGGACTGGGGGGACTTTTATCCCCCCCCCACTTTTTTGCAAAAATAAAATAAATCAAACAAAAAAAATTAACAAAAATAATGGAGCCAAAAATAGCCTCCCCACTCAAAAACTTGCTGCGGGGTCCCTGTTAAATTTTTACTTCCACTACCTTGTCTTTGTCTCTTCCTACAAACTGAGAATACTGAATGAACACCCACAGTCTGGAACCATTCCCGCTGCCCCCCTCCATCCCCCCCCAAAAAAAAAAAAAATATATAGAGAGGAATATACAACTCTGGAGAGAGAACATATACCCCAGGGTCTGTACTTTAGGTTATGGATTGAGTTTTGTTCACTTTTATCTATGGCCAATCATGAGGTGCAGGCCATAAAGCCAGGTGGAAAAAACAACATTTTGTTACGTACAGTACAAAAGAGACAAAACAAGTATAGTAAGGTATGTATTATGCATCTGCTTTTAAATAGAAGGGGAAAGATTTCAATTCAAACAAACTTTTGAATTTAACAAGGTGCACAGTGAAATATTGCCAACTAATTTGATCATTAATGGGGCACTTACTGACCAAGAGATTTAATTTATTGAGTTCTCTTCTTCTACAAAAAGAGTCATTTAACATTCATTTTAAAAAGTTATGAGGGGATTAGAAGATTTATTTCATTTCTCAGAGACTTTCAAATACTTCAAAGAAGGTGGAAAATGTGAAAATGTCCAGGATGGAATTGGTCAGAGAGCAAGAGCAAACCAGTTCCTTAACCCTAAAAGTGACTGACTTCTACTTTCTCATCCCAGTATCACCCTTGAATAAAATGTTAAGGTAATGAGAATAATGGAAATGATCACCAGTTTAAGAAGCTTCTGATTGTCAAACAAATTCTCCTTGTCATTACTACAGGAAATTTAAAAAGATCAGGGTAGAGAATGTGAATACTGATGTTAGTTATTCAGTTTATTTTGGTTTACTTGGAAACACAACTGCAGTATACAGTACAGTTTATGTAGCCATTTCCAGGGCAATGACAAATGTAAGAGTCATTTTTTGGAATTGTCTATTTAGGTTTTGTGTCGCTTTCAGCTTGGATTTTTCTCTTTTGTAACTTTTGTTTATTGGTTTATTTTTTTCAGTTTCAACCACACACTGCCCTAAAGTATTGCTCTACTGCAAGGTATCTTCTCACTGCTTTTCAAGTGAATAAGGACTAAATGCGTGCTAAAATGTGATTCCTGGTGTCGCATCAAATCTGCTGTGTTGTCTGTTATAGTTAAGGTGTAAAAGGTTAAACATGCTGTTTTTTGGAATCTTTCCATAGATAATAAATTTTCTTTCAACTTTTTTAATACTCTATGTGACCAGCAGGAGTTATTGTCAAGTTTTGATACTTCACTTCAGACCTTGTTGTCACTGAATATGGGTTTCACTCAATGCCACACTTTTTTAAAATAGCACAGGCAATATGGACTGTAAAAGGCACTTAGCTTAATTTTTCTCCCTTGAAAAGATTAATTTTCAAAAAAATTGACAACCTTCTTATCCTAGTACACCGCAATGAACGCACACAAAAGTCTTTCAAAATGATGATAAGAAATTTTCTGCTCAATCCCGTTAATGTGAGTCCATTTCCGGTGTAGATAATGGTTGTTTTGGATTTTTTCATTGTATACATTTCGTGCAAGCTACGAGGAAACTACTACAAAAAATGTTGCTGTGACACAAGTTTCAAACGCACTTGCCTGAGTAATACACCTTAGTTATACAGCTGATATTATTGTTAGCGTCACCTCACATATTGTCTTTCGATCAGTTGACGACCATGGAATTCTCATGGCCTCGTGAGATAAAATTTCAGAGGGTGGGAAGAAACACGAAGAAAGCGAAATATAACGCGAATATCCTTCGAATGCATCGCTTGAAACAACTCTTGTAAAGCATCGAACGCTTAAGTCAACAGTTCGCTTCGGTGAAGCTTTTCCGACGACGATTCTAAAGGAACGTGTCGTTAGAAGAAAGAGAAAGTGCCTAATTATTGCTTCCCTCTCGTCTGTCAACGAGGATGCAATCAACAACGAAACCTTACTGCGCCGAAGAGGAGAACGAAGTAGGCTACAGATAAAAAAATAGCGAGAATTCGTCTTGCTCCGCCATGCTTCACTCAATACGAGTATTGTATATTTATGCCTAGAACTCCACTTCCTCTGCGCTCTTGAAGTTAATATTTAATTGCCTTTCTTTATGATGGACCCGAGCAAATCATTAACGCGATAGATTTTCTATTCACAACACAATATAAGTTGGGAATTGATTTCATAAATAATGCAAAGCGACCCCGTTACATTACATGATCGTTTCACACAAGAACGTGTGTTTCTCGCAATGAAGCCTGTTGAAAATCGACATTTGCCAATACATCTATTAGTTTTGGTCGGCTGATGGAAAGTTCAGGTGAGAGGAGGCGTTGGTTTTGGTGACGGATCAGTTCTTCGGCGTGATCTGTGCGCCAGACCGTGTGATGGAAGTCAAGTTTTTATTCCGGCGAACTGATGCGAATCGAACATTCGATCGATACAAGTCGCGTGCCACCAGTTAAGGTTAACAATAGGCAAGTAAAGTTTTTAGATCGGCGAACAATGGAACTACGCGTGAAATCAAAATACGTTCGATGAAGGAAAGAAAAGACGCGCTCTAGGGAGTACAAAAGATGAGTTATTCACGAGGTTAAAGAAAGCCGGTTAAATATAAAATGCAAGTAACGTATTACACATGCAAAGTTTCTTATCCTCAATCAACTTGCAACAGAACTTGGCAACAGCGAATGCGAATTTAAGTCCGCCCACCAAGGGATCTCAGACAAATGCATTATGCGCCATGACTCCAAGAAGTGGAAGTCGACTACGAGGAGTAAACACTTACCCGAGCATTTGATCAACAAAGCTGACCTGTTGTGCCTCTAAGCTCACGTCTCTTATCAACCTTCTCTGAGGAGCTTCATCGAGTTTGACTGCCTCGCTTTTGACCTGAATACCTTGCAAATGATCGCTGGAGTTGTGCTTGGGTTGTTGCTCTGCAGCTGTACTATCTGCGCGTTGAGCGCTCTGCGCCAATTTTGCGTACAACTCATCGCAAGCGCCAAGAAGGGCGTCTTTGGAAATGCCACTGCTGATCAGAGCTCGCAGTAACTCTCCTTGTAAGGGTGTGATTTCTCGACTGCTGGCGTTTCTCGCCATAGTGTTGTGCATCGCTTGTTGGTATATGTGAGCAATCGCTCCGTTCTCCTGGTAAACAGGACCAGAACATCGTATTGAGCATGCATTCATTAATGGTCAGCGCGGCGGTTTTGCGGGAACGTTGCACTTGACTCCTGTGGTGTATTTATCTCCTCATTCAATTCGAGGATCATTAACTTCTTTTCCAAATAAATTTTAGGTTGGTCGTAACTGTTATATGGAAGCTACCATATCATTTTCACACCAAAAAAGAAGGCTAAGGGTTCTTCTTTGAAAGGTAATTCTCAACATGATAGGCAGATTGTGAGCACGTTTCATTTTACAAAAAAAAGGCAAAAAACGACAGAAAAACGCCAGAAAACTGACAAAATCGATAAAGAAAGAAACAGTGACGGCCAAAGGAAAACAGAGAGCTCTTTGTGAAAAAATACATAGAAATATAACCTACTACAAAATTTGGGAGGGGATCTAACACGGTAGCTTTACAGGTTCCAACCTTCTCGCCTCATCTTAACAGAGAGCAAGAATTTTCGACGAGGTGGAGGTCAAGGCAATCGATATTCCAAAACAGAGTGCAAAATCACAGCCAATATGGTCTCTAGTAACTGTTTTATTATCGACAAACGTTTTTTTTAAACGATGAATACAGTATACGCTCGTGGCTGAGATTCATTCTACAGGCCTAGCCTCTATCATACAATTCTTACGATCAAATTTATCCTACATCAAAGATCTGCGTGAACACACCGACCGCTTCGAGAGTAAATTCAAACTGTTTTTTAAGTGTACTTCATGAAACTTCCTGTAGTAAAGAGAAGTTTCTTTTTGCTTTTCTTTTGCTTCTTTCCACTGTTCCGTTCCCCTGTAGCGCCTAGAGGGAATTACACAGCTTGTTAGTTAAAAGATCAAAAATCAAATGGACATGCGCTTTTGGCTTAGTTCTCTATAAATACGCTCGAATCGACAAGTCTTTTATCCAGTCAGCATCTACGGGCAACTCCCACTTGTCTCTCAACAACACGACCACCTCAACTGAACTGACCGAATTTTTCACCTTCAACCCTTTACGCCCTCCATTAGTATTCATATTCTCGGCTATGTCCTCTTTACTCAGGATGGTACTGACAGGGAGAATTTGCGAGACAACCAGGAGCTCCCTAAATTAGCCATCATTTCCTTCGACTTTCATTTATTTCTACACAGACCCGATGACCCGATGATTTCTCGTGGCTTCTCCAAGAATGTGAGTTTAATTACGCGAATGAACGGTAGAGTAGAGACAACAAGCCTCACCTTGACTTTCCTGGTAAAAGCCACTTCTGGTCCAGTCAGCTGCGACCAGAGCCTCGGTGAAGGCAGACTGAAAAGTAGGCACTGGCGCACAGTCCTCCTCGTCCTCGTCTTCCATCTTCTTCCTCGCTGATGCTACAAAGAATAGAGAGACTGATTAAACTAGTTTAATCGCATTGTGCCCTGAGAATATTATGGTTTGGAAGGGGGAAGAGAGCAGCGATGGGTGACATCCTAAAGAAGACAGCAAAAATCTACCCTCAAGATTAGCTAAATAATTCATGTATGGCACGATCAAGTTTAACGAAATAATCACACTAAAATGATTAGGATGCCACAAAAATGATGGTACGCGTGTTTACACTAAACTTATTTGGTAATTCTTAAAAGAAGGGCAATTATAAGTTAATGATGCCCTGAGTGCCTTATTTACAGCATTGAGACTATGGCGCCCGCCTTAGCGGTTTCAAGAATAGGCGCGCTTAATGTCGATCTCACTGGATGCCAAAGTAGATGCAAAACTGACAGATTGTTACTGACTGCTGGATATGTTTTACTCGGGAAGTGATCCTTGATGTACCTGATAGAGTAGGCTTCTCCACGCGTTTCGGAATATCAACAGCCTTCTTGGACCTCAGTGCCTAGTAACAAAGCAAAACTATTGAAGTTAGTCGAGGAAAAAACCGAGCGCACTTTCAGATGTAACGTAGTTCCTGGAATAAGCTAACGGACTCTTATTTAAAATTTCGGCTGAAAGGAGTGAGGCTAGTTGGAAGAAGGGCGTTTAATCGAGGGGGGAGAGGGGTGCTAATTTTTTCCTGTTCTGATTCCAATGTAATCGAAGATTCAAAAGATATAAATGGGCGATAGAAAATTGTTTTCCTCGGATCCTTACTATTTGAGAAAACTAGGGAGAAGGGGGAGAGGCTTATTCGAGAGGGTTGTTTGTTTGACAGCATAGCCTAAGGGGTGGATGTCCATTCGGGAAAGGGCACTTATTCCTGACACTATTGACGAAATTAACGTTTAAGGACGACGTTCGACAAAGTTTAAGACTGTCTAGAGCACGCGTGGCTAAGCAACGGCTAAACTTTGTTTAGACACCTGTAACTGACATTTCGTTTTCAACTAACCTCAGCAAAAGATGGAGGGTTTGGTCCCAGATCATCTTGCAAATTGGCTCCATCTGTTTCTCCTGCTGCAGCATAACCTTCATCTGAAAACCAAGAGGAACCATATTGAAATTCACTGAATGTTTTCTATTGAATGCAAATTGAAGGGAATGTCTTTTGTACCTTGACCAGCCATGGAAGCTGCAAACTGCATGAATGGGCTAGGTGACGAGTTACCGGGTGGAGAGAATGCCAATGGCCCGTGCTGAGCCGGGAACTCTGACTCACTGCCAAGATTTAAGCGTTCAGGAGCCACTGATTCACCTGTACGATGGACACATTCATTTACATTAGCTACAGTACTTAACAGACTAGACTTAAAATACCACAACGGATACGAGAATTTCTACACAGATTTTTAAGTGACCGTTAATATAATTGGTTTTATATTGTCACATGCAAATCAGAACTGAACAACGGCATGGTTTCTCCTAATCCTACTCACTAGTAAATCTTCCTGAGCTGTATAAACAATTGTCACTGGATGAAATTTTATGCTCCCTCTTCTTCTCCATCCTTAACTTCTTCTGCCTCTGCTGTCTTCTGCGTTGAAGCTCCTCTGCACAAAGGAAAAAGAAGAAGTAAATACTACAGACCAATTGTTCTAAGATAAGTGGTCTGCAAAATATTTTAAAGGTAAACCAGCCTGGCAGTAGGGCTCAGCTGGGTGTTGCAGCATGGAGTTGTATCCTTCAACAGTTTTTTTAAGATGAGCACATTGCTAAAAATAACTGGAGATCAGTGAAAGGGTTTGCTCAAATTAATTCACCTTTCCTTACATTATTGCAAGAATGTGAAGCATATGTACTGTACAGTGTCCCTCACCTCTGAAGAAATTGAGAGTGTGGCGTGACACAACAGGTGGTTTGATGTCCAGTTCACAGATAACAAACTCACAGGTTAAAGGAAGATGGCTCATGTATCGGAATTGTTTACGAAGAGCCTACAAGTACATAGTCACATTAAACAGGAAAAAATTGCCAAAGAACTATAGTATACAGCTTACACACTGTTACAACTTAACAATAAGTTCTAGACAAAGTCTTGAAAGGAAAACAGTGAGGTCCATGCCAAAAATTGAACGAGATCCTTCCTTGAAATCTGTCTGTAAACCTTTGGCTCTCAAATTGTGACATAGAAGCCTGAGTACTGTCTTGAAACGGGTGGGGGGAAGAGGGAGGGGAGGAAAGAGAGGTGGCTAAAGAGAGCAGTACCTTAAGCTGAACTATTTTAGAAGGGGACATTTGGTGACCTAGGATCATAAAGGGTCTGGAGAAACAATTTTATTTGTACAACATATGATATTGCATGACAACTTAACCACACTGCTTGTCTTGAAGTAAGCAGCATGGCTGACATTTAGAGTATTATCCTCTGTGTGCCTTTCTGAACCAGGAAAAAAACAAAAACAAAGACAAAAACATGCACACAGAAAAAAGTAAGAGATCTAATTTACATCTTGAAAAGTTGGGGTATTAAATCCTAAGACTGACCTCATTCTGGGTCAAAGCTTGCATTTCCACAATCTCTCCTGTAATATATTCTGGACAATACTCCAGACTTCCATACTCCTGGAAAGTAAATAACTTAGTCAATCAAACAAATCTTAGGACTTCTTTCATAAAAAGTTTTTCATCAATTTTACCAAAAAATAAAAGGAATACCTTAATCAAGCAGCGTGCATTAATAGAGCTCAAGAATACATTCTGGCCATCATCAGCTGTAGAGACAAAAATTTTTGGATTGCTCTAGGATTTTATAAGTTTCATGTGTGATATTTAAACAGAGAAGTGCTGGTATGTTAATCCCTTAGCTCTCAAGATCTGACTGTCAATTCTCCTATCTAGCTGTAACACTTTTTTTTAAAAAAATTAGTTACACCCATTTGGTATTACCAGTACAGTGGCAGATCAAGCTAACTTTTACATGATGAGTTTGCTGGATATGTATACTTAGATATTTTAGGGAGAAGTTACATGTTAACCACCTTTAGGAGTTAGAGGGTTGATTATGAATAATCAAAGTGTAACTTTAGAGATAACAAATGGCTGAAAAAAAAAGACATGAACTACACAAGACAAAAATTGGCCTAATGCTAATATAATTCTTTTAACATTTTATAAATAGACCATTTCATGTACCTTGATAGAAGTAGTAGTGCTGAGTTGTGACAGCCCCAGGAGATAAAGGTCTTGAAGACTCTGAACTAGAATCTCCTGATGTACTCTCACTGCTGTGCTGTCGTGCTCTCCTAAGGTAAGTGACACTATCAAAATCTTCTACCACCTCTGTTGTTTCGCATGTTTCTTTGGATAATGAATCAATCACATAAAAATTTGACTTCTGTTTTTCACCCTCCACTGTTCCATCTTCTTCATCAGAGAAGGCTGCCTCATACTCGCCAACATCCTAAAGGATAGAAATGCAAGCTAAATAACCCACAGAGCATACCCAGAACCCTGTTCCTCACCCAAAGAGACCCTATGAATATGCTAGTTCCTCACTGGAAAAACGAACTGATATGTAGGGTTTTCTTCAAGTTTAGAAGATGTTGATGAAAGGCAGATGGTTTTTTTGTATGAAGTGTTACCCTTTTCCAATATCACCTTTGAGTTCCTACCTTAACCTGATGAGAAAAGTTGCTAGAAACTAGTTTGCTGGCTTCTGTCTCTTAAATATGGCCTTGGATAGAGTATGAAATGTCATTCTTAGACAGGTCAGAAAGCAACTTCTTACCTGAAATGCCCCTGGAGAAAGTACTTTCCAGCCGGTAACTTCTTTGACATCTTTTTTGTCTTCCTCATACTGCAGTGAACCTGATGACATTATCAAATCAATTAATTACTCAAGAAACCTTCAACCCAGTAAACAAAATAATACTGCTTTCAAAGTTGTAATACCCAGTCTGGTCAAAACACTAAAACTGTACTCTTGTGAAAAGGGAAAAGAAGAACTTCAACTTTAGAGCCAGTTTACATCTCGTAGTAAATAGAAACAAGTGAATAAAGAGGTAAGTTTCTAAAGAAACTGTGGTGTTTTGTTGGTGGAAACAAAAGCTGGAGCTGGAGTTTAAGGTCTATTTGTGATAAAAGGTCCATGACATTCAGAAAATCAAGTGGAATGGGGGTGATGCTTTACAAGAAACTATTGGGTAAATCAAATGAATGTAGTGTAAAACAGTTGTAACAAATACAATGAGTTTGATGAGCCATGATGCCAGAAATAGTTGATTGAAAAGATAGAAATATTAATCTCAGCCAATTCATGAAGAACCTTGCAGCATTTTTTGTTTGTATGGTTGCTTGGAGGCTAGAGAAGTACAACAAGCAAAGATGAACAGTCTAATTGCCAAAGAACTAAGCTGAAACCTATAAGAAAGAGCACCAACCCCAGGAATCAATAGGAAACTAACCAGCAATTGAATGCACTTCATTAATCAATAAAGATGCAGGTTACATTTAAAGCAGTAGTCATTCAGGATCCTTAACCGATCCTTAACTGACACTCACTCTCCATGAGGCTTCTCACTTCTTCAACACAATCCTTTGATTTACTCAGTTTTTCACGACGAGCCTGCAAACATACCCGAGAGATTCAAAAGCTTTAGTTACTGATAGTGGAGGAATAAAAGAATAAAAGAATAAAAGAATAAAAGAATAAAAGAATAAAAGAATAAAAGAATGAAAGAATAAAAGAATAAAAGAATAAAAGAATAAAAGACACCTGAGAAATGGTTACATCACAGTTAGCTCTTTGAGTTTCATACATGGGGCTATTGTACCTTAATTTCTTCCAGTGCAACTTCAATGTAACAAACTTCCTCTGCCTGTAGAGCAGAAAAATAAAATACAAATTACAAGAATTAGACCTGAATAACAGTTTTCCCAATTTCTGAGAATATCCCTAAGCTTTAAGTATGTCATCTCTTTTATTACATAGTTAACGCTATCTGATGAATCAAGCTGGGTAAAGGGCACAATGATAATAACAACTACCTTCTCTCAATACAAGAATTTCCCACATACCTGTTCACATTTGGCTTCCACAAGCTGTGTACTCAATGCTGTCTCTTCAGGTTCAACGATCTGTTTTAATGAAACCAACAGTAGCCTCAAACTCAAAACATATTGTGCAGACAACTATTAAATATTTACCCTCCTTCACAGTTTTAATCAGTGTTGAAACAATCCAATTACCTGTTTTAAAACTTCATCAGGAGAGGCCAGCAGTAGTTTTGCATAACGTGTATCTACCTCATCTGAGAGAGAAAAACAATAAAAAATTTTAACCAGATATAATCCCACACATTTCCTCTCTTAATGTGATTTTTTTAAAAGGTCTATATTACCATTGATTCCAAATGGCTTTAATTCCCTCTTGTGCCATTGAGCTTTAGGAATAGCAAGCAGAGAGTTCTAAAAAAGATAAAAATACATATTGCCATCCACAGCCAAAAACACTTAAGACTTGTCTTTAATTATTATGTTTGATATCCTTGTGGGCAAGAAGGCAAGCTTTGTACCACAAAATCTCAGACAACTATTTTATCTTCTTTTCACACCGTTTCAATAAAAGTGTTTATGGCTTGCCTTTTCAACTTGGAGACTTGAAGACAATTTATGGGCCTGTTTCTCATAATTATAGTACATTTGACAATTGTCAGATCAATTTGATATTTCCATATGATATAAAAACTAAATTAATTCACTTTCAATGGAGTTTGTAAGAAACTGTTCATAGCAGTAACCTTGTGCAAATGTAACCAGGCCATTTCCTTAAGACCCGTTTTAACAAACCATTTTAAGATATAAAACAGAGGAGGCCATTCAAGATTGTGATTCAGTTAAACTTTAGAGGAGTTAAACCCTTTACACCCTTTAAGTGGTGAGCATCTACCGTAAAAACCCGCAGATAAGCCGCACCCGCAGATAAGCTGCACCCTGAATTCAGCAGCTCAAATTTTGGAAAAAAAGTTTTTTGAAAGAAATCAAAAGAAATCCAAAGTCGTGTCTTGAGAAGTCTTCTTCATCCACTGTTTATCAAACATAAACTCACTAATTCACTTTGCAACGGAAAATACTTCAAAGTCTTACCCACAATTTTAGCACTTTGATACAATGAACATCATTTCTACCAACTTTGACATATGATTGATGTTTTTCTGGTGTTTGTTGACAGGAATTTCTTCATTCAACACAGTTTTTCCATATATTTTTGCATTACAACAAGAACGTGAACAGAACATTCGAAGCTTAGTAACCAGGCATTAGATTGGACGACATTCATGACACCTTTTTTAAATTTCCCCAAAGATAAGCCTCGCCTCTAATTTCTAGTGACAATTTTTGGAAAAAAAAGTGTGGCTTATATGCAGGTTTTTACGGTAATTTCTCCTTGCTGTTTCACCCCTGAATCACATTTTAAGGTAATGAGAATAACGAAAATGATCAACAACTAAAAAAGCTCTCAACTGTTAAGCAAATTCTCCTAGTCAGCAGCTTAGGAAATGTATAGAGAACAGTATGGAGAATATGCACACTGATGTTAGAGCAGAAAGGGTTAAGAGTACCTTAGCTCGCTTCATAAGCCTCATGGTGATAGTATCACCAACTGAAAATGGGTGTGATTCCATGGCAACAACACTGAAAAGAAAACAGAAAAATTGGTGAAAATCTAAAAGAAGAAATCTGTGGGTTTTATAACTAAAAAAATTTAGCACTTAGTCAATTAATAAAAATTATATGAACCAAAGAAAGATGCATGTTATACTTTTTTGTCACCTTCAACACTTCAAAAATTGCTTAAGCAGAGGTACAGAGCAACAGCTTACCCAACTGTTTTGAAAATGCTCTGTGAACAATATTGAACTTATATCTTCCTGTAAGCCAAAAAGCATAACAGAAAAATAGGCACTGCTCTGAGAAACTGACTCTTAAGTACATCAAAATTGCAGAACCAAAAGAAACTTAAATATGCACAAAGTTTGATTATAGTACATCACATTCATCATTACTTTGGGCTTGGATAGTATTATTGTACCTCTTCAAGTTATTTTTATGGACAGCTTCAAAACAAATGGGACACTTGTGCCAAGAGTTGTCGCTCTGTTGAAGCAAGTTTTCAATTGAGTTATTTATCTTTTAACCCCTTGCAGTCCCAAGATCTATATATTTTTTCTCTGCACTGTCTGTTCTACCTTTCTTATAATTTTGGATCTAAGAATTAAGCTTCCAATCAGAGATCATCCCTTACTTGCTTTTCTCTTCATTCTTTTGACACTTCTGCTTGAAAATTTATTAACAATGTGAGGAGAAAATTCCTTTCTAGTGAAAGGGTTACCTCCCTGTATTATCCTAAAATAACTAGCAGTCCTATAGTTTTAACCCCACACAGCATCATTACAATGAAATTTAACAGTTTCTGATTAGGTTCATTATGTTTTCTTAGGAAAAACTGTCAAAGTGTTGTCCACCACCAGGGAATTGGAATGGGTATGTCTATAGCAAATGTGCTAGGTTCCCTTGGCAAGAGACTAGGATATCTCCCTCCAGGACAGTGCCAGATCTCATGGTTCCTTTGTGCTTTGAGGAAATGTAATTTAGTGTGCTAGTTATCATCTATAATGCATGTGAGAAAAAGTAACTTCAGAGTATTAACCCATTCACTCCCAATATCTCATTAATAATTATCCTTTATGTCGACCATATGATTATCATGAGGTTAGTTTAGAGAATTAAATATGGAATCAACTAATAATGCTTTGACTGATGTTTTCATTTAATCTCATTACTTGTGTGCTTATTGATGTATTGATATTGTAAGGAGAAATTAGGTCTTTGTCACTCCTGGGAGTAAAGGTTTAAAAAGTCATGGGTATCACCAAACACTTACCAGACTTAAGTAATGAAGGATACAAGACCAGCAGTAGATATGGCCACATCGGGTTATCTTAGCTAAAAAACAGACAGTGAAATCCATTAAGATTACAATAACCTAAAAAAGATTTTTTCCAGCCAATGAGCTTGCCAGTGTGGAATTTGATGTTGAGACCTATATCATTACATAACCTCAGCATCTTGGCAAATCTATTCAAATTTTAGGGATGTTGATGTTGAGATAAATACTATCATGTCATCTCAGCATCTTGACAAATCTACTCAAATTTTTGGGGATGTTGATGTTGATGTTGAGACAAATACTGTTACAAAACCTCAACATCTTGGCAAATCTATTCAAATTTTAGGGAAGGGCTCATCAACATAACCTTTCATTGTATTTTAAGACATTTTCTTCTTAACTTAATATGTACCTGTTTAAAGTCAATTAATTTGTTAAACAGTATCACATCTACCTGCAACAGGGGGATATAAACAGATGGGGCATGATGGCACCTCATGGCTTAAGATTCGCTGTGAAAATAAATCAAGATAAATTGATAACATTAACAAAATAATCTGCATAAATAAATTTTTACACTTGTCAGATGATTTTAGGAAGAAATTATAAAAGTTTTGATGTAATGAACTCACCACTTGTTCTATCAAATCCCAGTCCACAAGCACATCAGGGTCCATGGCATGAATTTCATAATCACCAGAATCAGACACTACAAACTGAAAGCTAGAAAATAATAATGAACAATAAAATTTGAAACTTCAAGGGTTCTAACCAGATGAGTGAGCACTAAGCCATTTTGCTGTGGCTGTTTCTTTTTTCCCTTCTACAGTTAGTTCTATTGTTGTTAATATTCACTGACCCTTGATCAAACTACCTTGAAAAAGAGTTTCCTGGAGTAGCTGAATCAATTTGAAACATTTGAAGTCATCATAGTTATTGTCCAACTGCACAAAGTCGAGTAAAAATAACATGCGAATAGAGTACAAATATCCTTCGATATTGCATGGTTATTTGGGCCATTGGTTATTTATTTAGCACAACTTGTAAAAATACTCAGTGATACTATACACCAAAACATCCAATATGAAATATATACTCACTTAGCTTGGATGAACTGTTCTTTATTGAATGGAGTGTACTTTTTGCGACCATTTCTGGGGAGATAAGCGAGGGGCTTTTCCCTAGGTGCATATTTGAAGTTCAAAAGATGATTGAGTGACATGCCATACTTTTTCGACCCAGCAGTAGTACCAGTGACTGGATAGTCTTCTAGTGCATCTGAGACAGACTCCTAGGAGAATGAGATGTCATGAATAAGAGCCTGAATACTACCATGCAACAACCTGTACAGATTCAAAACTTTTTCCACATACTTCTCATCCATTATCATTTTAATTTGGTAGATTCAAGGTTGTGATTCAAACATGTGGCCTGAGTTGAACAGCCACCAATTTCCAAGACCAAAGTAATTAAGCTCTTGTTACACCTCCCTTACCTCACCTCACCTCCTTTTTTCTGAACAATAAGTATGCAAATTTATTTATTTTCATGAGATTTCTGGGTTTCATACAAGCTTTGGCCAACATACTTCCTTTTAAAACTAGCACATCATACCCAGAAGCAAAAGGTTGTCTTACACACCAAATTGTCTCAAAGCAATCTTTAAAAAAAGTAAAAAGTCAAAAGTAAGCATGTTTACCCTTTTTGAATCTACACCAGACTGATAGAAACTTCTTGTGGGGGGCCTCCTGTCTGGCATAGCTCCACGCCTCTGTGGTTGATTGAACCCATCTCTCTTGTCATACGAGTCTCTCTGTTGTCTATAACGGTCTTGATTGGGATATCTACCACTGTTGTATCCTCTTCTATTTCTACCTCTCCAGTTACCTTTATTTCTCTGGGCTGAAAGAATACAATGAGTTATTGGTCATAAAATGTCCTTACTGAGTAAGTGGGAGGGCCTGATGGGTAAATCTTTGGCTCCAGGTCATGGGTTGGTTTCAAGCAAAATTAGGTTTGATGGGACAACTTGACCAGTGCCAGCCTAGACATTGTTTTGAGCCTTGGAACTTACTGTAGGCAACATTTGCCCTGATCAGCGACCAAATTAAACATAAACAAATCAAAGCTACTTGAAACCATTTTTGCAAAAATTGCGTTTAAAATATCCTTCTTCACAGCTCTTTCGCATCATTCTTAATCAAGGCTAGAGGAAATTTCTAACGAATGTTAAGACAATACACGTATAAAGGAAAACAGTACAGTCTTCTTACTACATCTTTCTGTTTCTTCGTTGAGTAGCAGTAGACGAACTGAGAGTCGCAACACATAAACAATCACTCGTGAGATAGAGATATCGGAGAATAAAATAATTTAGGTTTCCAAGGTAACAAGCACGTCTCTAACACTGCTCAACAGTATTTAGACCCATTATATGTTCCACAGACATAACTTAACAAGGTTCAACAAACGTAAGCTAAATTCGTTACATACAACCTAAATTTAATTTCGCAAACCATATCCAACCAGAAACTATTTCAAAACCTTCCCACATGCGAAGTAAATCAAAGCGTTAAAGATTCAAATACAATGTATGGCCTTTGTAACCAATATTAAATAACAAAACAATTGTACAAGTATTCTGATGTACATTATTTCGGTACCTGGCTCCTTTCCATTCGGCTGTGAAGAAGGAACTACTCCTTTCGGGGTAGCAGCTCTTCCTTCCATCTCCTCGCACTCCTTGCTCATCCACTGCCCAAATTTCTGTTCTGTGAAGCTTTGAATTAAAAACTGAAACGCAACAAACGGTCACTCCAACAGGAGAAAAGACGTTTTCGACCAATTCTTGCATAAACATGGCGCAAAATTCTCACAAAGCCATAATGAACCTGACGAAACTGAGGTGGTAGTTTTTCGTTGTTTGTGTCCAAGGTTTTGAAAAATTTAAGTTAAAAATATACAAAAAACAACAAGGGAACGTTTGCTCCCTTGTAACACAGGTATTGTGTCCCTTACAGGGACTTTGCAGTGGAAATAAAAGTAGTAACGAAAGCTCACTGGGCTGCTGTAACCAGCGCCAAGACACTAATGGAGGACGATAACTAACCAGTGACGTGGATCAGGTGATCAGTTGACATAGTTTGGCTGAGAAAGGACTGGAAACGATGTTTTTCAACATGGCGGACGAATGGTGCATATATTCTAGGAAATCGAAATCACCTAGGAACCAGTAGGCATCGACTATTTCGATGTCATTTTCAACAGCATGGTAATATACACGTCACGGATGAGCTGAACTGCTTAAAGGGAGTTGGGAATTTTTTAAGTCTATCTTTGGTTATCCATTGTCAGATTTGTTGACTACTTCCTGATCTGAAGAAATACCTTTAATGTGTTACATCTAGGAAGAAAACACGAACAACGAAGTAATCATACTTTGCAAAAGTCTTCAGGAGGAGACGAAAACCGAACCTGTACAAATTCACCATCGTGTCAAAGTTATTACAGCGGTGGTTTTAAATGGCAAGGGAAGAAATGGAAAAAACTGATCAAGAAATTTGCGTTTTGAATCATTTTCAGGGCGAAACTGTTTGCTACCCTCTAGTGCTATTAGAGGGGATAATATGTCCTAATAGCGAAACATCTGGACCTAAAAGAATCCGTCGAGTGTCCAGTACTAGTTTAGATACATCAAGTGACTCTGAATCAGAGAGGAGAAATAAGATTCGAGCTCTGGATTCAACATTGATTGAGAATGAATTAGAAGTTTATCAAGATGGTTTTTCTATACTGATTAGATGTGGCAATCACGAATTGTCGTGGCCTGTGGTTTGTAAAGGTTTCAAGGCGGTTGTTCCTCTTAACATTGGGGAAAACTTGATTGTGTTGAAAGTGCCGGATAGAACAGACTTAAATGAACTTGAGTTCAAGTTAACATACATACCAGTCACAATATCAAGGTATGCTTGTTACTCTTTTAATTGTTAAGCAAGGCTCTTTGTTTTACCACAATGGACAGAGACCAGTATGCATGGTATGGCAAAACTCAATGACATCTTGTGCATGCAAAGGAAATTCTGCAGTGTAAAATGTATTGTGACAAAGAAAAAAAGTGGTGTGTGCATCTACCATACTCTGCAGACAGGGACAGAGAGTTAAATTGGAGGCTACGTGGTCTCTAACTGCCATTACACCTCATTGCACCTAAGACTGCTAGTCTCTTCCTGACTGTAATGCCAGTCCATCACAGGACACCTCCCATCCCTTATATAGCATTTTATGGCATATCATTGTTCAACCATCAGGAGCTTCTTAAATTGGTGATCATTTCCTTTATTCACATGACCTTTTCATTTGATTCAAGAATGATACTGCAGGGAGAAATTAGAAGCTGGTCACTCCTAGCAGTCAAAGGGTTAAAGCGTAGATGGTTATGTGCTACAATGTCCTAAGAAGACTTGACCTGCCTTGGTCAAGCCGCACATCCACATCCACAACTTAATCACTAACATATTGACAACTAAAGTGGCCAGCCCTATAAGCCTGGTGGTTTCTTGGAGGTCTCCTTGCCCTACATACTGTTAAACCTGTATAAATATTATATCTAAAGTGGCTAATAAATGATGATGATGAAGTTAATGATGATGATTACCTAATCCATTCTTTGACAGATTTGTTCGTGTAGTGTACATCAAGTGCACTGATAGTGATGGATCATTTGATGCTCCTGGGAATGTTCCATGCAATGTAGATTCTGCGGTTAAGAGACTTGCTTTTAATTCCCGACTTCTTCAAACATTTACGGCTGAAAGTTTGTACCAACATGGTCTAGGACACAAGACATTCAGCATTGAGGAAGATGACACTGGGTCACCTAAGGTTCATATCTTTACCAGTAAATTGAAGACTTGTGAAGCTCTTGGTATGACAGGAGATCAGCTGTATGCTTTATTCAACAAGGGTAAGGATATACATGTATAGAGCTAACAGATCATCCTGTTCTGCTTGTTTTAGTAAGTTGTTGTTTTAAATAGACCTATCCTGAAGAACTATTAAAGTACATCTCATATAATTTTTTTTCATCACATAAAGTGACTTTGTTACCATGGTAAAATTTGTCTTGAGGTAGTTAACCCTTTAACTCCCAGAAGTGATTCACATGTATTTTCTCCCCATAATATCCATACATTGTCCAGCAAACAGGTGATGAGAATACTCAAAATCATCAAGTAGAAGTTGTTATCTTGATCTAATACCAAACTCATGTAACTAATTAACTAGAAAATGTGTAGCAGCTAGAGGGGAGAATTAACAATCAGATCTTAGGAGTTAAAGGGTTAAGCATATCAGCTGAATGAAAGTTATAGTCATTGTTCATGTTATTTTTCAGAGCTTAAGTCATCAAGCCTCTTTGATCCCTTGTGTAAGTTTTGGACTTTCATGTCCTGCACACATTATGATCCACCTTCCCCAGATCTGTTTAATGCAAAGCTTATTACAAAGTACATCAAAGCTCACACAGCTCTTGGAGGGAGTCACCTTGCTCTCTTTGGTACAGGAGGGCTACACACTTGGGCCTCAAGTATTGAAGAGTTGGTGCCATGTTTTACTGATGGACGAATGATTGACAAATTACAGCTCTTTGATGACAGTGGCGGGAGGTAAGTTCAACATATGCAATAAATCATAGCCCATTGTTATCCTGGCTATCATTGATGTCACCATTCAAATAATTTTTTGGGTCAACTGATCAGTCATTTTTTATCTGCTGGGAAGTGGGGGTGGGGAATTTTGAGGGGATCGCATGATTTTCACAGGAGGGGACGGAGGAACAATTTGTCTTCACTAACAGAGTATACCAGTAAAAGGGGGAAAATAGAAAATTGGCTGCCTTCTGGGGTGGATCATTTATTTAGAATACTTCTGTACTACTGTACAGAGCCTTAGGGGGAATCAGGTAAATTTCAATGTAACACAACCAAAATCCTTCAGCCCTCTTCCCCTTCTCCCCCTTCTCCCCCCGCCCCCTGAGAATAGAATACAATCAATGAACATGGAGTGAATAAGACTGAACAGAAATACAGAAACAAAATTTCAACATTAACATCAACTTGCACTGTACCAACTGTTACAGTAAACTGTAAGTTAGAGGAAAATAATACATTCTGGGATTTAAGTGACAGATTAAATTAATCTTGCCTGTAAACATGGCATAACATAACAATGTTAGAACATTGGTCATTAATTTGGAAAATGTTGTAGTCGTATATATATCTCAATGTTTGTTTTTATCATTATGGAACTCCCCAAAAGGAATGAAAGTTAACCCTTTCATTCCAAAGATCTAAATATTAATTCCCTTTACTGTTCCCCATTTGTTGTTTATGAATCTAGTTCTGAGAATTTTATTTTGAGTTAAGCAATATCCCCTTGTCAATAATAATTTTTCTTTTCATTACCTTTCTGCTTGAAAATGTATGTTATCATAAAGAGGAATTCTTTGTTGGTCATTCCTGGGAATATAAGGGTTAACATTTGTTACGTTATTTTCAGAGGAACTTATTGGGCAAATTATGCCACTGGTTTGGGTGCCTCTATACATGAACTTGGTCACTGCTTCGATCTAGCGCACACACCAAAAGGTATTATGGCAAGAGGATTTGATGATATGAACTGTGTGTTTACCATGTGGAGGCAACCAACATCTCCAGAAAAGGACACTGTACCTGTGGAAAAGTCAGGTCAGGGGAGAAAATTTCCCATGTACAATATTTCATGAATTATTTTTTTAATTTCTCCTAACAACTGTGCTTTTCAAGCAGCTTGAAATTTCCATATCTGCTTTTTCTACATTCTCCCTTTTCCAGCTTTGTTAAGAAAAAGTTACAAATTATGGAGTGCCACTCAAAAACTCAGTGGATGAGATGTTTTTGCATACCAAAAACACGTATCTGTGTTGTTTTTTTTTTGTTTAATTTTTTACATCCATTGAATAAAGCTGGAAAGTGAGACTGTTTGTAATGTTCAGTCTTCTATGTGTTTAAAATTTTCAGTTTTCATTTCAAGAACCAAACAGTAGTAAATTTCTTGGTACTTTCAACGATTATTAATAATTACATGTACTACTGATGTTTTTTAAAGGATTAACTACCCTAGTTAAAAAACAGAGTGCAGGGGATGTTAAAGAACCCAGGCATACACTTCTTGGAAAGAGTAGGCAATGTAGCTTCCGATGTACTGGTCTGATTCCAAAATTAGGGGTCTTTGAAATGCTTTCAATGAATTGTCAACTGCTTAATGCAATCTGGCCATAGTCTCTTGCAAATGTTGTAAAGTGCACTAAGCTTGTGGATATGGAAGAATGGAAATGCTTCATTGGTATTATCATCGATAAACAGGTTTTAAAATTTAGATTCCAATCACTTATCAGAATTGTAAACACTTCTAAAAAGTTACTGTTCAGTTTCGGATTTGAATACCAATAATAGAACTTAATATATTATTTAAAGTTTATAATCAACTGTCTGTGCACCTCTGTCTTCAGTTATTGAGGAAAAGGTTGCTGACAAAGCCATGACTGCTGTTGAAGTGTTAGCTACAGGAATCCCAGGTGCTGAAGGTCTTGTGCCCAAATCAAAAAGCTGTACTGCCAGTCCCTCTGGTGGAAACACTGACCTTGCTGGACCCAATGAATGGTCACATGGTGCACACTGGTACAGATCCTCTGCTGTTTTACTCAGATATCACAAGTAAGATTCAGTAGTACATACAACTGAAGTTATTGTGTTTCCATTGAAAGGGAAATTTTTCTTTGACCTTTTGTGATAGATATGCCCAAGGGGTAACTTGATGAAGGTTATTTAAGTATGATTTCTAATAGTATCATAATCAGGATACCTCTTAATAATAACTATTCTAGGTGCTGTGTCTTCTTAGTTGTAGCACCATAATATCATGTAATGGTATGAGTTGATTTGGGAAAAAGTGCAACCTTGGGTGGAGTATTCCTACAGGAGCATGAGGGAGAGATAGCACATAGAATGAAATCTGCACTTTCACAAGCTGCATTCATTGAATAGGCTATTTTACAGTGGAGTACTTAGTTACCAAGCCTTTGATTTGGAGTGAGGCTGAAGGTGACCTTGCTGTGATAGAGACCAGTAACTAGTTAGCATGACAACAAAGCAATTTACATTTGTAAAGCAGCAAGGTTTGTATCATAATAACAAGTTCATCCTTAGCCTCACTCCTGTTAAAAGGCTTGGCAACCAAGCACACAACTGTAAAATGGACTATTGTCAAAACTTATACTTATCTACACCATTATACACTTTAACTTTGAACTCTTTAAAATGTTTTAGTAGTAACTTCTGCTCACTTTCTCAAAACAGTACTCAGCGAACTGGTGTTAGGATCAGGTGGAGGGTACTGTCTTGATGTAAAAACCAAATTCTCATAATTATTTAGAAGGAAAGTATCTAGGAGCTAGAAAATAGAATTGCTGATTGGATCTTAGAAAATGAATAGCTAGTGCTTTGCTTTTTCAGATGGTTCTCCACTTTGAGCATGAAAGAGGATGACATTCCCTCTAAAAAACCCATGGTACACTGGTCAAGCACTGTCTGTGGTCCTGTCGGTAATTGCGGTGGCTGTCATCAGAAGAATCAGTTGTCATTCAACAGTGTCAAGTGGCTTGAGTCCCAGAGTGCAGTTCTGGGGGGTTTCATTATTCACACTGAGGAGTATGTGAATTGTATACAGGTCATAGGGAATCAAGAAAATGCAGAAAGTGGTATGGTTAATGAATGACTTCTATGAGTGACTGAGAGAGAATATCTACTCGTGATTTCAATAGTTGTCTAATATCAGGCATACCAAGTGATGAGAATAAATAAAAATAACAACGAGGGGGTTGTTAGTTGATCCAATACCAAATTCTTAGAACCAACATCATAAGAACTGCATGGTAATTGCAGTGAGATCTAGGGAGCAAAAGGGTTAATTGAAAATGATGAACACAATACTCTCTTGTTTCTCTCTTGATCAGTAATTCTTTCCTAACACTTTGTTTTTTTTTCTAGTGGAATAATGTAACTAAGTCAACAATCATTTGTTTCTTTCTTATGTAATTTACATAATGAATCCATGGCTGTCAAGAAATGAGATAGCACGAGAATTGTGTTTAGTAACAGGAGAGTGTCCTCCATGTCTGAATGAAAGATAACTGAAGTAGTCAAAATTTAGATTGATAATTTAGCATGGATGTTGGAGAATTCTCCAATTTCTATGTATGGACAGTACGTAATGAAACCCTGTGAATCAGGAATAATTTAAGTGACAACCTGATTGCCATGGAACTAGTAATGTATTCCTAAAGCAGGATCTTGAATCCTTTGCTGATTTGCTTTTCTTGTGTTTTGATCCAGGGGAGTGTCAGGAAGTTCTCTCTGAGCCCCACGGAACAGATGGCATGGGTAAGCGCTATATCTTCACCATCAACTCTTCAGAGGAATACATCACAGCTGTTGATGTCAGAGCTGGGGGATGGATTGATGCCATTAGATTCCACACAAACTACAAATCCAGTGTTTGGATGGGAGGAATGGGTGGGGATGAATGCTGCCTGAGACCCTCCCTTGGGAAAAACATTCTGGGTCTCATGGGAACGAGTGGAATGTATGTTGGATCACTTGGAATCCTGCTTAGCAGGTTTGTTTGTATTTGTTTGATAAAAAGCAATTGTTAGGTATGATAATCTCCTACTTAGATTCTTCTCGTCCTCCTTCTTAACAGTTTGTCATCTCTTTTAACCCTCTAACCCCTAAGAGTGACTCTCATCAAATTTCTCCCAACAATACCACCCTTGAGTCACACATTAAGGTCATGAGAATAAAGTAAATGATCACCAACTAAAGAAGAAGCTCTTGATTGTTAAACAAGTTCTCCTTGTCAGCAAGTTAAAAACATGTAGAGAACAGTATGGAGAATTTGCATACTAATGTTAAGGTGTAAAGGGGTTAGACTCCACTATGGAGGTGCTCCACTTGAGCAACCAACCATCTGTCACTGTCCCCCCTCTTGAGCAGGAAAATTGGACCAAATAAGTTGTGTTTTTTCTCTCTTGTCCACGTGTGTGGCAAAATAGTACCTTAGTCTAGCAATATTACCATCTTTTGTTCATTTTCATAGTGTATGTTTTGTCAAATTGGACATTTTTCTCAGTCAAGGCAGCTCAGTATGAGTCATATTTTTTTAAACACCAATTCCCTAGAGGACTGTGGCTTCCGTAAATTTTTACTTTGTGTCTTTGAATAAAGATTAAAAAAAATTCCCAATTATTTCTGAACATGTTCTGGCCATGTTTTTGGCACCCTAAGCTATCAAAGCAAATCTGACCCTCACCTTATTTCGGCTTGATGTGCCTGCAACTCAAAAACAATTCGGGTGACCCCCAATGTTTTATTACTAAACTGCAACTAGCATCAAGGTTCATCTTTTTGGGAAGTCTTAAGAAATGTGAGTATACGGCAAAGGTAAAGGAAAAACCTGTATTCCCACCCAAACATTGCAAGATTACCCCAAGATTACCCAAAGATTACCCACTTCCATTTGACCAGGCTTCCCAGACAATTTGCCAATACGTATTGATACTCCTGGGTGGAGAGAAGCTCTGTGAGAGTAAAGTGTTTTTCCTAAGAACACAACACGGTAACCTGGTTAGTTCTTGAACTCGGATCGCTAGACCCAGACTCCAGCGCACTAACCCTAAGGCTGCCGCGTCTCCCAGTTAACCCTTTAGCCCCTAAGAGTGACCAGCATCCAATTTCTCCTTACCATATCACCCCTGAATCAAACTTGAAAGTCACGAGAATAGAGGAGATGATCACCTACTAAAGCAGCTCTTGATTGTTAAACAAATTCTCCTTGTCAGCCTTTTTGGAAATGTATGTAGAACAGTATGGAGAATATGTATACTGATGTAAGGGTGTCAAGGGTTAAAGTGGCTCAGTAAGCCATATGTACTATCTCTATTTAACTCTGCATCGTAATTTTTAGTGATTCAGACAAAGAAATAACACCAACGGATGAGGCAGACCAATTAGTTGTAGAAGCACCTCTCGGGATAAGGCTGATTGAGCTCTGGGACAAGAAACACAGTGAAGTGTACCAACACTGGGAATTCCTACAACTACACCCACCCAACACATTCACCCTGTCCAGATCAGAAGTGAGGGACCAAGCCTCAACTCTCCTTGTTGAAGATGACCAAGGAAACATTTGTCGCACAGCTTTCGTTTACGATTACAACGAGATCGTTTGATGGAACCATTTGCGATAATCTAATAAGCCCTTGGATTTATCAAGGAAATTTACTAAGTTGTGAGTGATGCGTAGAAAAACGTGCGTGTAGTTTGAGCTGGTGTAAATAGACGGTAACGAAAAAAGAGGGGGGAGTGTGGGGCGATTGCTCGAATTTTTGGAAAAATTCACGCGTTTGTCACATGTTATTTAAACAGTATTTCACGCATCACGAAGTCAAAAGGGAATAGGGTTTAATCAGGCGTCTCGTATAAACCATCTGCCACCCTCTAGATAAAGTGGCGTCTGGTGCATACGGGAGGCAGAGTGGAGTTTGTAGAGTAGATCACTTTCTTAAGACGCAGAGTACCAGAGGCATGCACCAGGTGACTTTCTGACGTTTAACGGAAAAAAGAGACGTGCAATAATTACTTTTTCATTTAGGAGGGCGAGGACACTACGACCCATTTTTTTTCACAAACCTTAATCACTCATAAAGGCTCCTCAAGGAAATGATTCATTTCGACACCAGCAAGACTACGACCTTTCTAACTGGTAAAATCTAGAAGCTTTAGGGGTAAAATAGTAAGCGTAATACACAAGATGGTCAAAGGGAAATTTAATTTAAAAACCAGATAATGGTTAGCACTACAGGATGCTTGTTCTGTGCGTACTGTACATATACATTGAAATGTGTCTCGTGTTATCCTCTATCTTAAGTAAACTTACTCCTTCACCCATAAATGACTATTATGGTAACCTGTGCAAGAACTTTCCTCTTTTTCACTTTCTTTGGAGTAATTTTTAAGGGAGCATCGAGAGTAAGCATTGGTTTCCCTTGATTTGGCTTTGCGATTGGTCAAGAAACCTTCACGATCGCACCATCCTTTCGACCAATCAGATCCAAGACTAAGACCAATCGCGACTTAGCAACTTGCGTTTTCCCGCGCTTCTTAAAGTTGTTTGTTTTTACTTTGAGTGCACATTGGTTCCTTGTAATTTTTTTCTTTATTTTGATTGGTCGCTTTGATAACATAACGTTGGTCTTTTTTTGCGATACTCATTCAATACCGCTCTATCTCTTCTCACCTTTTGAGAAATGAGAAAATTTATAGAATCCTAAACCTAAAGTTTCACCAGACATTAGCGCACGATGGATTACAGGGAAAAGCGCAGTCAATATGTTGATGTTCTGTCGTCCGCTCGAACATCCAGTTTCCAACAGCCTCAGCAACGCTAAAACCATTCACAAAGATTCCAGTCCAAGTATCATCATACAAGCTCTGCGAATGTTCTAAACACGAGCTTAAAAATAAACCTGAGTTGGGTGAACGTAGCACTGGGCGCAATGCAAACAGACTCACATTCCTGTATTGCATAATTGCTGCCATTTCATTACGCGTGCATTCTGGCGGCCTGCAATAAATGCCGTGAATGTGTTTGTAGTTCCAGTTACGATCTGGGCTGGGCTTACTCGGAGAATTGGTGTCTTTGGTAGATCTACGAAAAAGACTTCGTTTTGTGGTGAAATTATCGCTGTAGTCAGGAACCTGGCAGTTGATTCCGCGAATGTGGATCAGTTGCCACTCGTCATATGCCGATTGCAGCACAAAAAGAGGCGTGCTTACGAAGTTAAAAGCATGTTGGGGAAATAAACATTTCCAACGGAGTGACGGCCGAAAACCTCTCGCACAATCTTCGTCAACGCCACCAACGGAGTTGTGCACATCAAACATCTCCTTAAAATGCTTGTTGATCATGTCCTCACCACTCAGTGCTGCTACATCGACAAAGTAACCCGAATCGACCAGTGCACGAACATTTATCGATTTAGGAATACGACTCCGAACGAAGTCGGCGTTCATCGTCACTGCTAAACTTCCGGCGGAAGTCCCACTGAGGAGTAAGCGCTTTGCATTTCGAAATTCGCTTTGCAATAACTGATCAATGATCACCTCCAGAATTTTTTTACCACGCATATAGATATACTGTCCGTTTACATTAACTGGATCTGACCGATAACCAGTAAAAGAAGCTCCGTCACAGTAACACAACAGAACTAAGTTCCAATCGTAGAAATCCGGGTTAATTTTGTCGTTGTCGGAGAGGATTCCTTGCAGTGTTGGAGGATGGGGCGGAAAGAAATTACTTGATCCCAATCGCGTTTTACTGCGTTGAAGACAGGATTCCTCGTCAAAACACCATGCTCCACCGAAGAAGTGAATAATCCAGTTATTACCCCCTGCGCCATGTCCTTGTCTGAAGTAATATCCGGGGGGTGATCCGTCTAGGCAGACTGCACCTTGTTTGACAGCGAAAGGCAACATCACTAGCTCCACATTCTTGGCATAGGATCGTCGCTCCTGATCATGTTTGTTTGTCTGAGGTGAAGCCGAATTCGGGATATAGATGTTAACAAACGCGGTGTTTCGTAATAAGAACGAAATAATCAAAACTGTTATCAAACAGCTAAGACCACTGGAAATAAAAATCGTCCGAAAATGTCCATAGGAAGAAGAATTGTGACTTCTTTGTTGCCTGAGAAGGTAACCATCTTTGTCAACGGCAGACATACTTTGTGTTTTCCGCGGTGATCTACCACATGATGGAAGTAGTTTTGCGCACAAATTTAAAATCAAAACAACTCCTCATTCTTTTGCAAAGAATCTTCTCTCATCCCATCTTACTGATCAGCCAGGCCGCGATTTTCCTATTTCGTTTTCATTTCGATCTGTTGACCGTTCTAAGTTGTTTAAAATAAGAAATGAAAAAAAATTAATTCCTGATGCCTTGAAACGTCTGAGCAAACAGTGGCAACAGGTTGTGCAGGTGACAACTTCACTTCGTGAATCGCTGGCTACAAATCTTGACAATACACTGAACTGATGGAAAATTATGCTCAGTCGCTTTCCTCTAAAAATATTTTTTGACTCAACCTTAAATTCCGACTTACCTTAAATAAAAAAAAAAGGTGACATCAGTTGGACTGCAAGAAGGGGCATTTAAGTGCTATGTCACAAATTTTCACTGATTTTTTCCCCCCATTCGGTTTTGTTGAAAATTCGCATTAACTGGAAAGCAGTCTAAATAATGGTTTGGCAGAGAAGAAAATCGCCAAAAAGCTATTAATAGGCAAAAATAATCGAGGAGAGTCCAGGAATGATAAGATTGACTGTTGAAAATTATGTACAAACAATGACGTAGTTACTCCAGTAACAGGTGCGTAGAATAAAAATGTGTGTAAATATGTACGACCAGTTGACAACTGCGAAAAAATTATCCCATAGGTTCCGTTACAAAGTTGCTATCGTAAATTATTGATCGAAGTACTGCAAAACCTAAACTTGACTTTTTTAAGCCATAGCCTCGAAATCACTTAATTAACATACTCATCAAATCCTAGGCCCTTTTTTTTCGTCTTCGTTGCCGGGTAGAGAAGCAAGGCCCTGGGACGAGTATCGACAGGAATATTAAGTGAGGTCCGCCTCAAAGTGGAGTCCTTACCCTAAGCCCTCAATATTAGTGCTGTACGACGCGGGTTTCTCCGTCAGCGAGAATCTTCGAGACGAGTCATGGGTAAGGTTAGTCGGGGGTCTGGCTCTGTTAGTGGCACTATTAGTGCCAGACCCCTGGCAAACCTTTCGTTGGCTCGCCTTGCTCGCAGATCGCGGGCTTAGAAACGCTGGCTAATAACTTAAAGCATTCGTGCAGGCTAACCTAGAGCCCAGTACCACAAATATGTGTAAATCTACAGGCGTTCTAACACAGTTGGTTCAATTTGATTGACTACACCAATCACAGCAACATAACAATAAGATTATCAACTCAACAAAGTGAAACTCAATTATCAAGCAAGGAAATCAAGAGCGAATATTTTTCATTCAAAACTTGACAACAGGATAGGCTCATGTTGATCATTTATTTTGTCTTCAACTTCACTATGTTAGGCTACTTACTCTACTCTATATATCACGAATAATCACGAATAGATAGCGAGTGGTTTAGCCAATCACATTGTAGCATTTGTGATAGAATGCTAATAAATCCATACTGCAATAGAATGAGTAAAGCGAAACGCCCTCCAGTGTGCGATTGTAAACATGACAAAATAACCTCATATGGTTGATAGGTTTTGAACGACTAAACCAAAACGATTAGATCAGAGCACTTTTCGATTGTCGTAAAACTGAAACCAAAGCAGTCACGACGGCCAATCAGAAATCAGGAAAATATATCAAAAAACCCCAATCAGTACTCAAAGTAAATCAAGCCTTAAGCCAATGCAGTAATAAACTGAAGCCAATGCAGTCACGACGGCCAATTAGAAATCAGGAAAATATCTCAAAAAAGCCAATCATAACTCAAAGGAAAATTAAGGCTAAAGCGTGGAAAGACGCGGGTGAATAGGTCGTGATTGGTTTCAGTTTTGCATTTGACTGTTTGAGAGTGGTGCAGGTTTTCTGGACCAATCACAGAGCTAGGGGAAGAATAATCAATGCAACCCCGGAATACTTTTGACAATCACTGAAAATTACTCTGTTCAATTGGCTCATTTCTATGTGTGATAGTTGATTTAGGCTTCACCCTAGTCGACTGCATGACAATCGTTAGGAATCCAACGCTCAGAGTCTGGTCGTCAATTTACATATACAACTAAAGAAAATTAAATATCAATATCTGGGCAACTGCCCACCTACCCCTCCCCTAATCCAACATTAACCCTAAATTGTTATCAATTGACTGTTGGTGGGTTAGGGGAGGGGTAGGTGGACAGTTGCCCAGATACTGATATTGATCCGAAAATTACATGGGACAATTAACATTGATTACAATTTTCTATTTTTAGAAACATCCCCTTCATAGATCAACAGCAAAATCGAACTTTACAACTTTGTCAGCGTATTCTAAGAATTTATTTCAAAAAGCTTTTAATTATCATTAGTACGCTAACAACTACAAAGAGAATACAGAGATACTACAGGAATTCTGTAGCGTACTCTGTAAGTGTTCCTTCGGACTAAACAACCTACTTTGTCTTTTTTTATTACAAAGAAATATGAATCGTGTTTTCCACCAAAACCTAGCTTGGTAGATGGAAACACTTCAATCAAAAAATACCTGCATCGAATGCGAAGGTTTTTAATGAGTTTGACGTCACTTATACAAAAGGTAATTATTGTAGGCTTTTATACATCAGAATTGCTCAAAGCGGTCGAAACAAGCCTTAAAATTCTGCACTTTGTGCGGGAACCATTTTTCCTTTATTTCGTTTCAACATTACCAGACCCCCAACCCTCTTAAAAAAAATTGTACAATTATCAATAACAAACAATGCGCCATAAATTACAGTGAAACTTGGAATAAGCGGACACTCGCGGGACTCACTTGCGAGACTCACTTACGAGTGGTGACCGCGAAAGACAGGCTCTGTAATTTGCAAGATGATTCACCATCGAGAAACCTTTCGAGTCTGACTTTCTCGGGTGGATACATAAACACCCTAGTCCCGAAATAACCGCTTCAGAAGTTAAAAAAAATGCAACACCAAATCGTGAGCGCATAAAAATTAGCCACAAACTTGAATTTCTCATGATGCTGATCGCAGCGAATATGTTCGCCAGCAAAAATCGCCGATATTTTGCATGGCAGACATCGGTAATTACATGCACCGATTTCGGCGATCGGAGAAAACCGCATTACTAAGCATACCTGACGATTTTAATAAGCGATCAGCCTATAAAATCCCTAAGTGTGGCGATGAATACGAGGTCCACTTAACACGGGTTTCACTGTATTTCAGTTTGGCGACTTTAGCCACTGAGCTTCAAAATTCCATGAACTGGTCACGTGTTAGTTATGAGCCGATGAATACCAGTAGCATCATCAAAGAGACACACACACACACACACACACACCCCATAGTGTTTGGTTGTGCTAAATAATCCCGTATCGTATTAATCATAATATGAACGAACAGTTGCGAGAAGAAAGGTTCGCAAATTATAATAAGTGACTGGAAAAAGATATTCGTCCTCGCCCTGAAGAGAAAGCTGCAGTAAAAAAAAAATATATCCCAATGAATATTGAATCGTTATGAAAAATCGTAATTAAATGGAAAGGGCAGAAGCATTTCGATTCAGAGTTGACTTGTAAATGACACCGATGGATTGTTAACCAGCTTGTGAAGCGAACGAGACGAAACACTTAAAAGCGGCGAATGACACCATACTCAACATTAAAAGTTTTGTATCACAATGTTGTCTATATTCAATTTCAAATGGAGCTTAATCCAGGCCATCACACTATTTTCTTTCTCGTCGAAGAAGATTTCCTCGGCGCCGTGGAAGCTGGGGTATTACTTGGTCGAACAGATTCCGGATGTCCTTGAGAGCGTGGTTTTCCCCTATTGGGGCGAATTTCTCGCTCTGGTAAATGAAGTGCTGATGGGTTTCTACGTGAGTAGGAAGACGATGATTGAGCTGATGAGCCAGTAACACTGAATGAAGGCTGATTAAATTGTGGTAGTTGCCCGGTAGGTTTGGTTCTATTGCTGACGGAGGTAGATACTCGCGAGGCGGACGAGCTTGTGTCAGTAGGTCGCTGTTTACTCCGTGTTTCTTCGGATCTGTGGTTTTGAATACCCATTTTGTGTTCCAAATCTCTCCTGCTCCTTTCATTAACCGTTCCTGCTTGACGGGATTTCTGGAAATTGTAAAGAGGGATATGTCACACAACTGGGAGTGAAGGTAAAAATAATGAAGCCATATAAAAAAATATGTTAATAAACCTCAAAACAGAACGATTTTATATTTCGGAAAAATAATGTACATGAAATAGTTACGCGCTTCTAATGGGCTGAAAACTAGTGCATTCCATGTAACACGAGTACAAAGCTGTAACACGAGTGCAAATTACAATTAGCACGCGCACGCTTTCAATATTTCGTCTGTCTGGACTTTCGGTGATGTTATTCATGTAAATTATTGACAAGTAATAACATTATTTCTCTTGCAATTTGGTGTAAGAAGTACTTTTCCGAAAAATTTACTTGTACTTATTAACACCAAATTGCACTCAAAATCACGTCAGTACCAATACAAGTACTCATTATCTATTTAGCGGTTCCTCACTAGTCCTGCGAAATTCCTCAAGGCAGCGAATAAAAACTAAATGGTCTGAGTCTGGAAACATTTCCCTTAACCTTTGACAGTCAATCACAGTATGGTAAAAATAGAAGCAGTAGAAGACGCACTTTCCTTTTTCCTTAAATTAACGAGGTTCATCGACGTTGCCGTCGTGGTTTTCTTAAACTCCCTAATAACGTGAAATCGTCAAGTCTGAGATTGGGTACCCACGGACAAATTAATTATATTTTATATTTGAAACTGAACGAATGCTAAGGTTGAGGTCTGGTGCCTCAAGAGACGGTAACAACGTCGAGCAATTCCCGAAATTCTTGAGGAATAAACAAATACATTTTAAATTCGACGCTTTTCTTGGCATTGCATTCCGGACTTCTTTCTTTCACCCTTTGATTCCCGATACAATATAACCCCGGAATCAAACATTATGGTCTCAAGAATAAAGGAAATAATCACCAACTAAAAAAGCTCTTGATTGTTAAACACACTTTCTTAATAAGGGTTAAGGATACTAATATTGAGGAATATCTCGCGTTTTGGTTGAAAATTTGGGGAAAGCCAATAAACGCTGCATGTACAGACCATGTGAGCACAATCCGCTATTCTGTAAAGGATGCTTGGATTGTATGGGAACAAATGCAAACAGTAATTTTGGTAGGTTAGCTTATACTTACCACGTGAGCCGTGATTTCAATCTGCCGAACCGCAGGAGGTTTTGTCACTTCTGTCATCAAACTACTCTTGGATCCTGAATTTGTTTTTCCCAGATACGAGTCATCCTCTCGCAATCTCGCTGCAGATGTCTTGTGGAATGTGCTGGCATCGCTTCTCGATTCAGGCTGTCTTTTTAGCTCCTTGCTGTGAACCATTCGATCTTTACCATGATGCACTAAGTCCCTTGGAGGTTTGTTTGTAACCAAGTCGTTATTTCTTAACACCGGCTGACCGCGTATGGGACGAGATTCTCTTGTCTTGCGCTCTGGTCTTTTGAGCGCGTTATTCATTGGAACGTTGTCTGGTTCTCTTGTTCGATCATTATATTTCTCAGACTTATGCCTCACATCTCTTCCTGGCGCCCTGCCGTCATCCGGCGTAAAATTCACTTTAGGGCTGGAGTTTTCAGGCGTCAACTCTCTGCTGTCGAGATCGCCTGGAATAAAATCGTCCCAGGACTTTGGGCTTCTTCTCTTCGATTCGTACACCGGTCTACTGGGGCGACTTTTAGAACCAATTCTTACAATTGGCCTAGTTTTGCTCGGAAGAGGTCCATGTGTCGAGCCATCGAATAACGCTGAAGGCGAGTTGTTGAGAGGGGGTAATGTCGAAGGAGCACGGCTTGCTGGACCTGCGTCACAAACAGCCTAAGAGAGTGGAATTTGTGGCCAATTACAATGATGGAATTTCCAAAAGTGCGGTTTGGCTTTGCCGCGCTCTATGATTAATTAAAGATCGCTTTTCGATTTAGTGTCGTGTAACCATAACACCTCAACCAAAACTAAAGTAGTCGCAAAGGCTAATCAGAAGAAAGGGGTAAGCTTCTAAAGAAACTGTGGTGCTGCGTCAATGGGGAAGTACAACAAGATAATTTTGGTTTTATCATCTGAGTTGATAATGTAAAATGGCCACCTTAAAGTGTTTTAAAGTTGACGCTTCAAGCGTTAGCCCTTCGTCATTCGATCTAACGCTTGAAACGTCAATCAGAAGAAAGGAATTATGCACAGCAGCCAACTACATGAAAACTAAGAGTGGTGGTAAGTAGACTGCCTGAGGCGTGAGAAAATGCGAATGAACAAGTCGCGATTGGTTTTAGTTTTGGATTTGATTGGTTGAGAAAGTGGTGAGAGTTGTTTTGACCAATTAGAGAGCAAAGTAAATCATTACTAGCAAAGTCCAGCATAACTCTCGAAACTCGGTTGAGCTTTTTTTCTTAAAACTCATTCTAAAAACTCATGCCACTCTCTCATCCAGCTACATGCGACGTTTAAATGTTCGTAACTTGTTCACTTTCTGGTTATCTTCTATAGCGATCAACCTTTGAGAGTTGGTTGACTGGGGTGCTGTAGTTGGGTTGGGTTGGGTTGGGTTTTGTTTAGTTTGGTTGATCACCTTGATCAACTTTTTAACCGGTATCAAACCGAGTTCAAACACTTTCATAAGAATAAGCGGCAACCGCTGTTTCTTTTGCAGGCTTGTTCTTGAAAGTGCAGGCTCCACATACTTGCTTGAGAGGGGAAGTGTGGTATCCATATAAGTAGAATTCATCTTCTAAGTTCAGTGGCTCACAGCCAATTTGATCAGTTTTCATTTTATGTTTGCAACGGCCTCTTGAAATATTTAGCAGGTAATTTAGTGTTGACAACTGAGTTGAAAACGTTCATTGGCCACCGTAAGGGTAAAAAAGCTGACGTTTCGAGCGTTAGCCCTTTGTCAGAGCTTGCTATACTCTCCCACCGACGCAGCACCACAGTTTCCTTAGCAACTTACCCCCTTTATTCTTGAGATATTTACCTTGGATCTCATTGGCCTTTGAGATAACTATGGTTCAGGTCAGTTTAATCAAGTCAATTTCAAGTCAGTTTAGTCAATTTCAAAGCGCTCTTTCAGTATCACTTAAGTTAAACTGAGTGAAATTTCATTCAAATCAACCAGCAGTCTGTTAACCAGCAACACATTTAGCACCCACCTGATGTAAAATAAGGTTGTCAAATGGAAACAACTCTTGGCAGAACTCACAGGGCAAAAAAGTGTCATCTTCTGTCCAAGACAAGAGAGTCATATTATACGTTAGTTAGGCAAGTAGAGCAATTTTCAATTAAATGTCGAAAATAATCCGGGATTGCTTTGTTTTATTCAACTTTTCTCTGTGATTGATCCAGGAAACCTGCACCATACTCTCAACCAATCGGAAGCAAAAAATCAAAACAAACGCGACTTGGTCGCCTGCGTTTTCCCGCGCTTCATGCAGTTTGCTTGTTTTCACTTTGAGTCCTCATTGGCTAGTGATGATGTAAACATATGTTCTGATTGGTTGCTGGGATTATTAAGTTTTTTGGACACTCAGTTGACGACTGCTCTGACAATGAACTCACGTAAAAACTAATCACATACCTGGACATTTCCTTCCACTCTTGTCAAGCTCTGTGTGATTATTTTGTAATTCCCTTTCCTAAATAACGATAAAAACATAACAAATATGTCATTTTTGGCAAGTTAGGTTTTTTGGCCTTCTAACAGTCCGTAAGAAACATTCCTGACAAACTAAACGAACAATGTTATTTAAGCTTTTCGTAATTCTTCGAAATGATCTTCGCAGGTAGAATGCAATTTCAGCCATTGCAGAAAACAAGCCTGGATAAATTCAGGCTTCAACGGGATTCGTGTTCATGCCCCTCAGACAGTGATTGGGCCCAACTACCAAGTGAGTTACAAAGCCATACGTTGGAAGCCAAGGAAGTCTTAGAGGGTTCTTCTCTCCCCAGGAGGAATTTATTAACAACAAGTGAGTCAAGTTTAGTTCATGAACCAAGTGGCTCATGTTGCCAAAGCCTATCCCAGTTTCAGTGGCTAGCTACACCCCCTGAATAGTATGTTAGCCAAATGCTGCAAGCAGTTTGTCAGACTTCCCTGACCATTCACTCATCAACATTAGCGTGGGTGGAGAAGATTAGCTTTATAAGAGTAAAGTGCCTTGTCCAAGAACAAAACACAATGACCAGACAGGGCTGGAACCCAGACTTCTCAACCCCAAGTCCACTTTGTCAACCATAGGGCCACCAAATCTCGCAGCTGCACTGGAATGCAAAAAAGTTTAAGTTACCCTTTACACAACGAACGTGACTCCTCGAGTACAAAATAGCTGGTAATTTAGTGTTAACAACTGGGTTGAAAACGTAAATTAGCCACCGTAAAGGGTAAAAAAGCTGACGTTTCGAGCGTTAGCCCTTCGTCAGAGCGACTGGTTCTCTTAATTAAATGCAGGTTAAAAGATTTCCAACTCAGTCATCCAACTTACAAAGGAGTTCCTTCTCTCTACCCCAGCATACACTGAGTCATCATATTGAGGCAGGTAATGCCTGTTCCTACGGTTACCGCCAAAAGGTGGAGCAACGCCAGATATTGAATCCAGTGATCTCAACTGACAACCACTCTATAAACCACAACAAATAAATACCTTTACACCCCAACATCAGAATGCAAATTTTCAATACATTTCTTATTGTGCTGAAAAGGAGAATTTGTTGAACAATCAAGAGCATCATTACAGTCGTTAGTAAGCATTTCCTTCTTTCTTGTTACCTACAAGTGTGATTCAGGAGTGATTGTGCAAGTAGAAATGAGATGAAAGTCACCCTTACAGGGCGTGAAATTAATTTTTTTTTCTGATAGCCACTTGGCTCCTAAATTATTCAAAGTGGTAGCCAATTCATAAAAGTTGGTCGCCAGTTATAAAGACAAACAAAACCTTTTTTTACACTGTCAGCGTTCTAGATAGACCCTTCAAAATTAAATCAGGAAAAAGATCTTTAACATGCGACAACGTGGACACTAGAATGGATGATATACAACTTTCAAGCTCACCTAAATCCAAGATGGCGTCTAGTTATCGATTGAGATGCATGTGCTGCGTTTTGGAGACAAACTTAACGAGAAAGTTTGCTGCGGATTTATCTTTACTGATCTTTTTAATTCTCTATATCTCTAAGTAAGTATATGATGAAGCATTCTAGTTACCAATTTGGCAACAAATTTTTAGGATTTGGTTCCCAAAATGAAAAATTTAGTCGCATTGGCACCTGTATTAGGCGCAATTTCATGCCCTGTCTTATGGGACAAGGAGTTATACATTTTGATTCCCAAAAAATGCATTTTACAGTTCTTGCTCAGGAGAGAGAAAAGTCAGCCAGCAAAGAGAAAGTTGAATTAGTATTACGCATTTATTTGTTGTCACATTCATGGTGCAAAAAGAAAATGAAGTCTCCACCCAAAATTACTTGCTAAATATTTTCTAGTCTTCAGGGAGACAAAACAGTGGAGGAGGGCTTTGAGGGAGGAAAGTGCCTTGCCTGAAAACACAACAGTGATGGGAGCACGGTTTTTGAGCCTGGACCTACTGACTCACATTCCTGCCCATTAAGCAACAAGGCTACAAGAGTCCCACTGACCATAGACTACTTCGTAATCCATAAAAATTTTGCTCCAATGTGTTTGAAGTGTTTTCTCACCTGATGAAGTATGAGGGACTCCACTGAAAATAAGTTACCACAAAACTCACAGGGCAGCTGTGTTTTATCTAGATTGTCTAGAGAAAGAATGAATTCTTTACTTTAGTCAATAAAATTTTCCAACAGATCACTGTCATGACCTTGGAATGATACAGGTATGGCACAATAATAATAATTTTATAATAATCAAAACCATTGTCAATACAGTTGAGCTTGCATTAAGCTGCACTGCACTAAGCGCTTTTTAAAGTCCCAAATTTTTTGCCCTTGTTACTGTAATTTTCACCTCTACCAAGCAGTCACCTCTATTGAACAGTTGTGATCATTCTCCACTGAGTCCAAAAAGCCTTTTTGAATAGTCTTCCACCTGTACTGAAGGGCAACTTAAAGTGGAATAACTCAAATGACGCTTAGAATAATCTTCTAATAAAATTTATCCATGTTTATCTCCCGAAATCAATGTTAGTAAGTGTTTTTAAGCAAGTTTATATCCATTAAGTGGTCAATTATGGCATAAAGTGGGATTTTTTAGTGTTTTTTATAAAACCTCTATTCTGTGAAAAGACCTGTATTTAGGGGTCAACTTGCATTAAGCTGTGACCCCTCCAATCTCCAAGGGTGACCCCCGAATACAGTTTCCACCATAGTTTCTTAGTTCTATCATATGCTTGCAACAATAATTGTTTACTATACAGTTAACATTCTTTAGAAGAAAAGTGAGCATTTAAACCCAACAACAAAGCACAGCGCTTGCCATTACCTGAATCAGGCAGTAATGTAGACTTTGTGTATGGAACATGCTTGTCAACCTCTGCCGCAGACATCCACTCACTGTCTCCATCAACGTATCCAAACTCATCAGCTTGATAGGCTGCTGCAAGAATTTCATCATCATCAACGTCCCTTGCATATTCATCATTGATCTCATCAAAATCTTGAAAGTTACGATGATCAGCTTCTGGATTTTGGGAACCTTGTCCTTTGCTGGCTCCTCGAGAAACAACACCATGTTTTCCAAACATGCCATTTTCGTCAAAACCATAGTGAGCTGCACCTCCCCTAGGATTCATATGTGCATCACCAAAAGGTGGAGTTCCAAGTCCTGAAGTAAGGATCTGTCCAAACCCATTTATAGCGGCAAGAAATGGATTAAATCTGTACTCTGCGTCTGAAGAATCTATTTCACCCATCCCATTAAACATGTCAACGGGTACACCACTGAAAATTTCATGTCTTGGCTTAGAATGTGGCAGTTGTTTACTTTCCTCTTTGATTGGGTATTGACACCCGCTGTTTTCATGTTCAGTAAAGTCTTTTATTTGAATAAACCTGTGACATGCATCACACTTTTGGGTTCTGCTGCCACAGTATTCCACATGAGAACTCATTTTACTGAAAGGAAGAGTTAACTCACAATATTCACACTCCACTTTGCGATTTGGACAATCTTTCTCCTGTTTTTAACACAACAGATGAAAAGAAGTAAGTTACATGCACTATAATAATTATATCACTGAGACAGAAAATAATCTGTGTGTGTTGAGGAAACAAAAAACCAGTTCAAGATGATCTTGAACAATTCTTATGTTAGCTCTGAGAATTTGATATTGCATCAACTAATGATTTCTTCCATTATTCTCACTACCCGACTGCTTGATATTGTATTGATATTGTAGGGAGAAAGTCTGCCTTGGTCACCCATGAGAGTTAAAGGGTTAACAGTCAGTTTACTTTCAATTGTTCTCTAAGTTGTCATACAAAAAGAGAAAGTGTTAAGTTGTGCTTGCTGTTTCATATACTCAGTCTGGTAAATCAGGGTTCAAAGCTCAATTTTTTCCCCCAAAGTTTCCATTTGGTAACCTTAAATCATAAAGTGGTGGTCAGAGAAAAAAATTTAATAACTGGCCAGGGAAAAATTGGGAAAGGTAGTTTGGGCAAAACGTCCTGACATAGTTATATCCTGACCACCACATATACATCAGTCTTCATACTGCAAAAGTTGTACCATAGCTGCAAATGTTGGCAGAAGTTTCCCAAATGGGCGAATGGGCAAATGATCGATCACCAAATGCCCAAATGGGCAGCTTCTGCTATAGATTTAGTTAACAGATTATTTTAACCTTTTAACTCCCAGAAGTGATTAACATGTAAATTCTCCCTATAAAATCCATTCATTTTCTTGCAAACAGGTTATGAGAATACTCAAGAACTTCGAGAGGTAGAAATTGTTGATCACCAAATTCTTGTAACCAATTTACAAGGGAATGAGTAGAAGCTAGAGGGGAGAATTGAAAATCAGATCTTGGTGTTTAAGGGTAAATACTCTAGGATCACCAAAAGAGTCACAGCTTAGAGTGCTGTTAGTGAAGCATTGAATGAAAAAACTTCTCTTTGTGGTAAACTCTGTTGTAACCCTGTGGAACAAACAAACTAGCATGGAATAGTTTTAAACATACCTTGTGGTCATCAAGATTTATTTTCTCCACAAGCTCACCACATTCACATTGTTCCTGTAAAACAAATACATATCAAGTCATCTCAAACTGCAAAATATCGTTCCCAGGCAACCATCACTTGGAGACATTTTTGGTTCAATGCCAATCCAAACTTTTAACAGTTTAAACACTCCCAATATAACAACCATTTCTCTGGAATTACCAGTCAGTTCTAGCCTTGAAAAGACCCAGTCATTATACAATGGAGGTTAAGGTCATTTCTCAGAAACAAAAGTTGTTAAATGCTTTTTTTTTAAATGTTCCATACCAGGCTCTGTTTTGAGAACTATAATGGAAAAAAATAATTCACCATACTTGCTTCAGAGATGTGATGGGCCAATCTTACCCCATCTCTGCCTGAGCTGGTACTAATCAAGTGCGTCATTTCATCAGTTCTTGGAATGCACGCACATTTGTTCACCTAATGACATGGTGTTATGGGCAGCGCAAGATGTATCGTATAATAATGAGGAATCACCTTATCTCCTTCTGCCAAGTTCTCATCAGTAATTCTCCTTACACTCAACCGTAGTCTCTTCTAATAATGTCAGTTTGGAGAATTTGGATTAGATCAACTAATAACTTCCTAATTGATATTTTCCTTATTCTCATCTCATCTTTTCTTGATATTGTATTGATATTGTAAGGAGAAATTCTGTCTTGGTCACTCATAGGAGTTATAGGGTTCAGCATGTTTTTCTCTAAAGAACTGAGAAACAAGAAACATCTGCACCTTATCCTCCAAACACAATACCCACCTTGGCATGGTATTCTTCAAAATGTTCTTCCTGCTGTGAGATGGGTATTGGTTCCCCACATTCCTTACATAACATCAGATTCCTCTGACAATGATTGACATGCATCACAAAGTTGGCAGCTGGGATGTCACGTTTACTGTTTTTGTGATAAATGTTAATCATGTTTATTATATATTCAACACACTATCTCTTTTCTAATTGGCTGAAAATGTACAGTGAATTTTCAAAATCAGCACCTGAGATGTCATCTAGCTGCAGATTATACAATTATCATGTCAAGGACACTCAAGGTTACTGGTTATCATGTTATTGTATAACCACAGTGCACGCTTTGTGTTGCTTGCTGATTTGCATGTTTGTACGCGTTTACAAAGAAGTTATCAGATCCACTTGCTGTTGTGACCATTTTTTTTTTAATTCAATGTAGAATAAAACAGGAATTTGGTTCCCACTCAAAGCCAATAAGCTCTGCATTAAATGACTGTGAATATATAGAAATCATATATGTGAACTGCAGATAAAGACGTGAACATGAAAGCGATCTTCCCAGCAATGAACACTACTTGAGCAGTAGAGAAAATAACATGATTTTTTTTTCAGGCCTTATTTTCACTACTGCTCAAGTAGTGTTCAATACTGCAAAGATCGCTTTCATATTCACAGGCACCATATTGCTACCTGAATCTAGTGGATACTGCAACTACTGAAGAAATAACTAATTTATATTCAAAGCCTGTCACTTCTGCTTGGATAAAGGTTCAACAAAAAGCGAACACTATAATATTACATAACGGACAGGTCAAACATCAATGAGAGCTAAATTAGGCACAAAGGAATGCAACATATATTCTACAAAAATTTTGAGAGGAAAAAAAAAAGCGGTGAAGATGACATATTTTGTCTAAATACCATACAAGGAAAAATCCTGTTTTGATTTCACTAAAAACTTCAAAACGCAGAAAAGTTTACCACGTTGAACAGGCAGATGTGATCCTTCTGGATCAGTGACCACGGAATGAAAATGCAAATGTAGTATCATTAAATTGAATTAACATTAAATTTTACAACCTTAAGTAATGTGACTTCTTCACTAAAAAGACGAAAGACACAACGAGTTCCATATTTAAAAGAAATAATAAAGAACATGAGATCACCAAAAACAACCATTAGCGAGCGAAAATCAGGGAGGATGAATATCTACAAATGCGATTTTTAGTTGCTTTGAAATGCTTCCGCTTTCGATAGCCTTTCCGTCGATCTTGACCATCACCGAGTAAAGACGATGAAAAGATGACTCGCAATCTAGAAAAAACACGTTTGTCGCCGAAGAAACAGCATCAAAAGGTTTTGTTTGAGAAAAAATAACGATCAAAATAAGGAATGACATTGCAGTTTTTGAAATTGCGTGCAACAGAAATACGATTTGAAGCGACAAAACTGTGCTCATCGCTTAAAATTGTCCACAATTCTTCAAATGATGGTGTTCATAGTCTACAAAGCGCAAGGGACTTACCAATTGGAACAGTATTCCGTTTTCACTTCTTCCTCCTCGTCCATTTTCAAAGCCGTGAATCGCTCAAAAGACCAAATGAGGAACTAATACCTTGTCATGCTCTCTACAATATTTAAAGAGGATTCTAAAATTTGTTTATGGTAACATTACAATGAAATTCTACCGATCTTTCCCTTTCATAAGGATTCACAGGGAAAAACGGTAACAGTACTCATCGGTGGTTCCCCTCTTCCGTTTGTATCCACAACACACTTTCACTTTGATAAGCGCTGGGGAATCACCGCTGGCTGAAAGAAAACGCTGACGTAGGCTTTGTTCTTGTTCTGTTGTTTCCCGCCGAGTTCGTAGGCGAGGGGAAGAGGGTTGGGTGCTGGAGCGATGGTGGCGGTACTAAAAAGGGGATTTGGGATGTGGTGGGGGGAGGGGGAGGGAGTGGTTGAAGTCGGGGAAGGATCACTCAAACAAAAGGAGAGTACACTAGCGATGCGGCAACAGGTAGACCAAGACCCAAATCCCAAATCCCAAGATTCAGAGGCAAATACCTCTTCAGACGATGTTGGGGGCTTGGGTACAAGCTGAGTTGAACAACACGCTCTCATGACCTCGTTCTTATTTACCTATAAAGGGGTAAGTTTGATTTCTAAAGTGAATGTGGTGTTGCATCGGTGGGAAAGTATAACAGGATAATTCAGAGTTATCAGTTGAGTTATAACGTAAATTAGCCACCGTAAAGAGTTTCGAAGCTGACGTTTCGAGCGTTAGCCCTTCGTTAGAACTTTCACGTCGCTCTGACATCGCTCTAACGAAGGGCTTACGCTCGAAACGTCAGCTTTGAAACTCTTTATGGTGGCCAATTTACGTTATAACCCATTTGATAATACTAAATTACCCTCTCATTTGCTTAATTCAATTAATTAATTTAACATCAAACTCGAGTGACACCAAGTTACTGAACACAAAAGTATTCATTTGGTTTATTTACTCGACACTTTTCTTTTCGAGATATAAGATATTTCAGCTATAGATTTTTGGGACGACACGAGAGCAGTCTGTAAATCACGAGCTGGAGGTGACGATTTACAAACCTTTCGACATCCCAAGTGGGTTATTACCGATAGAAAGTGCGATCTATCCTTTAATAAAATAAACTAAACATAGGCATGCCTGGCATGCAAAAGTTAGTTTTTTAGCTGGGTAGGTTGAGATGGGTCACTTTGTGTCCTAATATTTTCATAACTTTCAAAAGAACGAAAAAATCGCATTACTTCACTTTAAGAGAACGAAAACAAACCTTATTTATCCAAACACCCACAGGTATTTTGTAAGTTATTGTCTCTATTGTCTAAATACTTCCGAGCAAAAATTAAATGCATCGGTGCCACGCTCACTGTAGTCTCCTTCGCAGTCGTTGTTTAACCTCGTCACACAACACCCTGTATTCCAGTTGGAGAGTGAACCCGTTGCGTGACGAGACCAAATAATTGTTGCGAAAGAGACTACGCTTACAACCGTTGCTCTCACAGAGAGAAAATCAAAATTATTCGTCTCCATTTAGTCGCCTCAAAAATATAATTCCACGTAATTTAACTACGTTGTATCTCCAATAGACCCTAATCAAAAATATATTGCGATCTTGCATAAGTGAATATATACTGAACGAAAGAAAAGGATAATATTTCAAAGAGGGCTCCTTGATTAGTTGTTGCCTATGTGGACTTTGTCTCCTGTGTGAAAAACGTGATAAAATGCAGGTTGTTTACAAGAAATTAACAAGCGATGGGTTAATTCGAATTTAAAGCCAAAGCGAATTTTATTCGTAGAAAAAGTCAATGCGTGGGAGAGTTGTGTGGCAAATTCACTATCAGTAGCATTTGGTTCCATGTTAATTTTTTTCCAGTGGGGTTGGATAATGCGCTTAGAATACGTGAGAAAAAGCGGGTTGTTTACCTGGAAATGGCACCTGGTGGAGCGAAGTCTAATGTGGCAAAATGGAATTTGATTAGCGGAACACAAATCAAGCAGATGAAAAATTGCCTAATGTTCATGTAGTGCAATGATTCGGTATGTTCTGATTGGACTTTGGACGTTGTTTTCATAGTACATGATGGAATGCAAGTTGTTTGGCATGTGCGTTGTTAGAAAAGGAGCGGTAAAAACACGTTTTAACTTGAAAATATTACAATAAGGTTAAATACGAACTTTTCATATCCCGATAAGTCTCGACCTCAATAGACGAGGCTCTTGCGAAGGTCACAACCATAACAATCAACAAATAAGCCCAAAATTTCACGTCAACGTCATTCTTTGTGCACGGCCCCCTGATTCTGTGACATCATTTGCAAGAAAACAATACCCAAACACTATGATAGGTACGAGATATCCAAATACTGTGATATATGATTGGTGCGAGATACATAATTCAATGCGGCAATCTGATTGGTGCGAGATACATACCCTACTGCGGTGATCTGATTGGTGTGAGCAACATACCACTCTACACGCTAACACAGAGTTATTATTTAAAAATTATCTACGAAGATACTGATACAATAACGAAAGGTTTTTTACCAATTAGGGCTTGTAGTATCTCAATTATTCATAAAATGTACTATAGTACTATTATAAACTAAGCAGATTTACATAACGCTCATCTTTCGTCAGAAAAGAGACATTTGGAAGCTCTGACATGTTTTACATTTCGATTTTCCCGATCCCCTTGAAAGATTTATGGGTTGTTCTTGTGTTATAGATCCTTTAAGTAATAGGTAAACATAGCAACATAACATTTTTTTTTAGTCCTAAATTTTAATATGAAATATGGCTGCTGCCATTGATTTTAGTCACTCATCGTAGTTTGAACATTTTTGTATTGCCTGTTTGTTTTGTCGTTGTTGTTTTTTTTCCATTATTTCCAGTTAAGTTTACATGACTAAGACTATGTTGGCTTTTACAATTTCGTTGCTAAGGAACAATAACTTCTTTAAGAATCGACGGTATAAGCTATAAATTCACAGAAATATCATAAATCACATATCAGTAGAAATTCACAAATGCTGCAATCTGATTGGCTACGCAACTACGTAGCCTCATACTGTCCAGGTGTCTAAAAAAATCATGAGCCTGTTTCGTTGTTAAGTTTTGAACGAGTTCAATTTAGAAGTTCAACCAAACAGTTAAATCATTCGCTTTTGATTTCTCTGTGTGATAATTGATTCAGGCTTGGCCCACGTCAACGACCACGCGAAAGAAATCTTGAACTCATAGGCCAATTTTTAATCCAAGATTGCATTAGTTTTGCTCCAAATTCTACGTGATATCAATGCGACATGCGCGCAAAAACACATATCTGCAAAAACGCGTATCTGTTAGCCTCAGAGTTGTTTGGCCTTAAACATCCTGCAATTCACCAGCCAGTGGATAAAAGCCCCCACTAAAGAATTTCCTTCATGTGGCTGTCAGTTTACAGCGGTTCAAACCTCCGCTGCATCACTTTGCTGCTTAAAATCCTATTGTGACTATAACTGGAAAGTTTGCCTCCAGTCTCCACTGTTCCATTAGCTATCTTTAGTACTAGTAACCAGGCTTCTTCTCTGATTCCAATTCCCGGCCTCGAGGCTGTGTGATAACAGACACGTTATAAATGAGTCCTACATGCTAACTTTTAAAACTTGTGACTAATCCATTTTATGACTAATCACCGGTATTCCAGTCGCTAGTTGTACTAAAAACTTCTGGACCTGTTTTCGTAAGGTTACCCTACGTGCTAACTTTTAAAACTGATAACTAATAAATTTTTTGATATGTGTAATTTGTTCAGACAGTCGGTCCACGCTGTGTTTGTTTTGTTTTTTCGTTTCAGGGCCGTAAAGGTGTTGCAAATACGGCCACCAGGCCTGAGAATTCACATCCACTTTCAAGTCAGGAAGTCCTCATAAGTGACTTAAGACAGAATTTCTCCTTACAATATCAAAACAATATACAGCAGACAAGTTATGCGAATAAAAAAATTAGCAATTAGGGGATTATCAGTTGATCCAATGACAAATTCTCCGAACTAACATCTAAAGAATCGTAAGACAGACAGTAAGGAGAGTTAATAAAAATATCTTGGGAGTGAAAGGGTTAAAGGATACAGCCTTTCAGCGAGAAGCCAGTATGGCGATTTGGATCATTAACGTTACGGTAATCAAAAACTTGAATAATTTATAATTAATTTAGAGAACCGAATTAAAAAGAAAATTGTGTTAGCAAATATAGCAAACCAAGTTGACCGTTATCCGATGTTCTGCCAACGCGTTGCAAAATATTTGCATTTTTCACGTTTTGGACATAAAAAAAGTTTCTTACCTTTATAAAAACATTGGTCGGAACCAATTTCTGCGTATGTTCATCCCAGCTAACCTGAAAGCGAGGCAGTTTGAAATGCAGCTTGGGAAGAGTCAAAAACCCGGCGTAAAGAGGGTACAAACTGAACTTGAGCCTGTGATCGCCAGTTGGCAGCAGACGAAATTGAATCTGGAGATGAAATTCATCGTTAACAACTATTCACAAAGTTGCGTTGGCTTCTGGCAAATTCCGCCCACGTTTCTCGTAGATAAATGGCAAAGGATATTGGGAGTTTGACTGGCCAATCACAGTGCAGTAGCCAATAATATACTTCTTCAAGTATATTATTTCACCAAACCCCCTCGCATGAGACATGTTTTACGTGTAGCAAGTAAGCTGAACTAACCTGTTTATGACCTGAATACATAAAGGCGTCACTTGGCTCCACTGTGACTTCGACTTCCTGGACTTGAAGCGTTCTATTGCGGACGAGATAGCTTACGAAAAGTGGGCTCTGTACACAGCCGTATGCAGGCAAATCTGAAAAAAAAAACGGTACAATAAATACATTTTTTCCCTTTGGTCTTGTAACGAGGGCGTGTCTCCATGAGGATTAGAGCCCCAGAACTTCGAATTCCGCTCTCGAATGGCAAACTCTACTTTTTCTTTGTCCAACGCTTGTAACACGAAGGAAAAAATATCTTTCTTTACTTAATTACGGAGCTTAAATTTACCGTCTTTCCTTTTCTATTCATTAACAAATACATATATTTAAAGATAATTTGGTTTCATCAACTGAAGTGATAATGTAAATTGGCCATCGTAAAGGATTTCTACAGCTGAAGTATCGACGTAGGGCTGACGCTCGAAAAGTCAGCTTGAGAAACTCTTTACAGAGACCAATTTATTTTATTAACTTTGTTCATAAAACATGACTATTGTGCAATACCCCCAACGACGCAGCACCAAATTATGTCTAAAAACGTACCCCCTCTATACATGTATATTAATTAAAACTGAGTTTAACCACGTTTTTTATGAGTAGCTTCTCCTAGTGCGTGTAAGGTTTTAGAACTAACTTTCCCGCGTTTGTTACCCATCTCTCGAACAATTTGAAACCCTGTAAAAAGCGCGGGAAGAGTGCTTTTGCACAACCTTATCGACTTCATCGTGTTTATGCTAATTTGCCCGCAATTTTACTAAATTTTGTGTACCACTCAATTTTGTTCTCCCAGTCACATTTGGACGACGATGCCTCTACAAAAGCTGCACGATATTATCAGGTCAACAGCGAGAAGCATGAAAAGACCTTCTCGTGTATAGTTTGATTTTGACGCTTGGCATATTGCCGTATGATTAACCTTGCTGGATACGTACCTGCCTGTATCGCAAAAGGAACACTCTCTACTGTTACAGAGGGGAAAGTGAGCTCTGTCACCACAACTGGAAACTTATCAGCCGCAGAAGTTCTGGAGAATTAAAAAATTTAAAATGATTAAATCAAGCAACGAAAGGATTGGGACATATTCTCCTAAATAAGGTTCAGTTGAAAAGGCATCAGTGGGTCTACCGAGTGTTGGCAAAAACCAAAAACCAAAGTAATAAAATCGGCACATCAGAACAAATGAGAACACGAAGAAAAAACAAGCAAACTGCCTGAAGCGCGGGAAAACGCAGGTGGGCCAAGTCGCTATTGGTTTAAACTCTGCATTTCATGATTGGTTGAGAGAGACAGTTGCGCAACTTTCCTTGTCCAATCACAGAGCAAAGGAAGGCGGACCAAATTTTGAATGCAGTTTGGTATTACATTGGGTACTCCATTGGAAATTGTCTCAATATTTATCTCACTTTTCTTAGTCCCTCGAGTGTAATCACGGACGTACCGTCTCCACTGGAGGGCAAGACTTCCAATGTTCACGACCTTCATTTTACTGACACCCTCTTTAACAGCTAAGCAGTAGCATTCCGACGCACTTTCACCCTGTTGCAAAGAGACTGGGACCACCATACATGACGTTAGAAGGAGAAAGAGACAAAGTATCCTGTAAAGATTTAACAGCTAGCAAGTCGGGAATAATTGCCAAATTTTCACAAGAAATCTTGAAACCCGCAATTTGCATATAGGGGCACAAATCGCAAAGCTGTATTTTCACTAAGTGGGGCCTTGAAAACCCGTCAACAAAATCCACCTCCTATTCCCATGCAAATTCTAACCCCCTCCTTCCATTGGTCATTGTTTAAAATGAAAAGGGGCCTTGAAAACGCCTCAACAAAATTCTCCTCGTATTCCCACGTAGATTTCCCCCCTCTCTCTCCATTGGTCTACACAATCGCTCAACCTTGTCTAGTATGAGGAGGGGGGCCTTGAAAGCTTTGAAGCCCCTCAGGAAAATTCCCCTCGTATTCCCCTGCAGATTTCCCCCTCCCTCAATTGGTCCAAAAACTCGGTCAACCTTGTCTAGTTTCCCCAAATATTCGGCGATAAGTTAAAAAAGAAGCCCGACAGTGCAAGTAGGCGCATCCTTAACTAATTCAGATCGGTTATTCACGTAATACACAGACATGCAATCCTTACTTCCTTGCAGCTGCGATCCCATCTCTTCACCCACAATATTCACTTCTGGAGACTGAAATCAAACAAACAAACAAACAGTTGTCCAGAATGTCTGCTTCTTATTTCTACCATAGTTAAAATTAGCACCCGACTATTCTCTAGATGATATATGTTCCTCGTCAATCCCCGATAAAGCTTGAATTTCTCAGACTACTTTTTCTTCAGTGAGTTAAATTGCAAAGTTCCGGCGGGGGAAAACACGCACTTAAGTTAAAGTGTATATCTATGCACTGGCTTACATTCCCATCGTGACTCGTGGGGAGGGGGGGGGAAGGGGAGAGGGAGGGCTGCATATGCTCTCCTGCTTCATCGACTTGTTATCTTCTCGATTATATTTTCTAAAGGAAGACAAACCCAGTTTTTGCGAACATAAATTGTTTGTAAACTCACCATATTCAATGTAGTGGTGACCATGGTAACAGGCCAAGGTGAGGTGCATTTGATGCCAGCTAATAAGAGGAATGGTTCTTCTTCGAACAGCTGATCCAGTCTCTCCAACTGAGAATAAACGCAAATCAATGATTTGAGCTCATTAAATTGCTGTGGTGTACACGCCCCCCCCCTCCCCAAAAGAAAAAGAATTAAAAAAACTAAAATGCAATTAATTTTAGTTCCCTGTAAATATGGACTCAAAGCAAACCATGACGACCACAATGAGGGCGTTACAAAACAAAAGATCAAATTGGCAGATCGGCACGTGCGTATCAAATCTTTGTACATTTATTAGCCGTCTTTGGCAAAACTCCAACGTGATATCAACCAAATTTGCGTGGTCTGTGTACGGAAACCCCAACGGAACTCTACACGGCTTCCTTACGTTATGCTACGGTTGAGGTGTAGCGCTGTAAGAAACTGTAAACACATTCAGCCATTTGCGAAATTATAAATTCATTTTTAAACCATCGTTTACTGCGGCGTTGCCTTGACGCTAATCAACAATTCCAACAACAGTACCCTAATTCAGAGGCGTGTTGGTGCCAACATGATGCACCAGACCAGGTTTATATTCGCAGAGTTATGCCACGGTCAAAAAAATTTTGACGGATTTATAAATGCACTAATTTATGCCATAACTTTCAGAGTAAGAAAGAAATTTGAGACAAGAGCGAGAGCACGTTTGCATAGATAGCCAAAAGCGCAAGTTTGATCGATTCCAAGAGACGTAAAATTACATCGTAAAAAATATTGCCTACTTTTCCTTACCTTGAGATTTGTCAGAGACAAAGAGATTTCAAATGGCATAACAGTCTTGATAACAACACTTTCCTCCTAGGGCGTGTATAAATCGGGACAGTAGAGAAAGAAGAAAGCAAAAAGACGTGATTTTATATTCACCATGTGGAGGATTTTTTAATTGAGTGTCGAATGAAATCTGAGATTACTTGCGTTCTGTGATTGGTCCAGAAAACTCGCGCTACTTTCTCAACCAATCAGATGCAATACTAGAGCCACGTTTTCCCGCCCTTCGGGCATTGTTGTTCTCATTGGCTCTTTAAGGTCCTTTCTTCTGATTGGCCGTTTTGATTACTTTGGTTATGGTCTTACGACAGTCAATCGAAAAGCGCTCCATGTTACAAGTGCAACTTACATTCACAAGTGCACCAACATTAAAAAGCGAACGAGGATTAAAATTAAATGTGGAAATTTACGCGGCGCTTGCAAATTTGTTTAGTCCTGTGGATTAGAATACTGAGAGGTAGCTTTATCTTTCTTTAAGACACAAAAGAGTGATCTCACCTTGGCACAAGTACAAGTGACTGGCGACGAATTTGGTTCTACTTGGACATCTACTGTATAAGTAATCTGCATAAAAACAAAACAAGAAAATATGAATCTTTTTAAAGAATGTAAGATATCTTAACTTGAAACTTGATCCTTAGAGATTAAGAACATAGAAAAATATTGCGTATCTAAAGGTATTGTATAGAGATCTTTCAACTACGTATTGAACGGAATTCATAGCCAACAGAACATGCACAATAGGGTGAACGGAGGCAAGCGGAAGTGACGTACGAGGGAGAGACGGGAGAAAAATGACGCACTCCTCCCCTCTTGCTTATCCTCGTTCGCTTTAAAAACGCAAAAATGTTGCGCCTCTTCTGCAGGCTACGTATAGCACGAAAATATGACTTGAGTTCTCTAAACAGACGCCCAAATATTTGTGATTAAAGGTGCAATTACAGCTTACTTAGGTATTATACCTTTGCTGTTACAGTCCGCGATCCCACTTGAGAGCATTTGACGAAGTACGACCTTTCGATCTAGGAAGAAAAGACGAAAGGGACACATTGACAATATGCAAGACGTGAACTACGACGGTTCATTGGTGTTAAAGCCTAATTTTCCTGCACACTAGACAAACGAAGTATCCAAAAGCACTAAGTAGAGTATGAAAAAGAATCAATGGGCGCATCGAGTACAAATATCCTGCGATATTGTACGGTTATTTCGACAGTTAGTTACTTTGTACGGAAGAAAAAAAAATCTTGTAAATAGGATGTAGGGTATGAAATTATTTTTATGCTCGGTAGAGAAAATGAGAAAGATCTTTCCTTCTTGTCATGAGCGTGAGACAAAGAAAAACTTCTGAGTGCTCATGAGGAATCGAACCTCAGATCTTCGGATTCCGCACTCCGATGCTCTACCACTGAGCCGCAGAGACTCCATGATGAACAAGGCCCATTACGAAGTGCAAATATGACACGCGTCCTGCATACTGTTAGGATCAGCAATGTCGGCTATGGTTGGCTATGCTTACGTGAGTTGATTCATTGGAGAAAAGAATGGACGACATCTTCGTATAAATAAATCAGTTGGATAACGAATAACCTATCAGAAGTTTTGGTGTATGGCATTGCTGAGTATTTTCATTCGTTGGTTTTCAATTTGAATCGGTTGTCAAAAAACGACAACGTCGTAAAAATACACAGCCATACTACACACCAAAACGTCTAAAAGGATAAAAGTACAGTGTGTCATAAGGTTCACAATGTGAAGAAACCAATAAATTCACCACCACCATCAAAGTTTTCCGTTCACAAATCTAAAGCAACTCACGTGTCGCAAATCAAATTTCACTCTGAAATGCATAGCTTGTTGGTTACGGGTAGAGACGCAAGGGTCGAAGATAAAATTCGTAGCCATGCACGGCCAAGTATCATCCTTAATACCACCTCTCATACCTTATCAGTCATTCCATCCACAGTAAATTCCAAAACGTTCGTTGCATCTCTCTCAGCCTGATCTGCTGAGGGTACTTCTGAGTAAATCAAAGCGCCTGGGAATACAATTAAAAGAAACTCGACATTTTGAACGAACTAACTTCGCGGTGTGATTGGTCTAGAAAACTAGCGCCACTCTTTCCACCAATCAGATGTAAAACTTTGGTTTTACCTTGAACTCTAATTGGCTCTTAGAGTTATTTTCCTTTCTTCTGATTGGCTGTTGTGATTCCTGTGGTTTTGGTCTACGACGCTCAAGCAAAAAGCGCTTTAACGCTCTAATCTTCCGACGTAGGAAAATACCCAGGCTCTCTTGGATTGAATATCTTTATTGACATATGATAATATAACATTTGGGAAGACGTTGTTGTTTTAAAACACTCACCTCTTTCAGGAGATTCCTGCTCGTCCTGAAATCCAAGCCATACTCTAAAAAAAGGCATATATTGTTGTTGTAACGCTTGAAAGAGGAGTTAGGTTCATGGAAACCGAAAAAAGCGCGAAAATGTGAGAAAGGCAAAGACATGTTGCGAAACATTACTTTCAAATCAAAAATAGACGGGAGGAGAGGAGGGAACTGATTCACGTTCTTGTTTAACACTTAAATAAAAACACACTGAAAAGGCATACCTGACGTCTTTCAGCGGTGTATCTTCCAAACTCTCAACAACCAGCTGAAGTCCATACAGCTCGTTTACGAGGGCGGGTGGTTCGTGCTTCAGTGTGATATTAACTCTAGGCTTGCGCGGTTCAATTCTGGCGTAAAGAGTTCGCGAAGGGAACTGATATCAACAATAAATTCCACCTTGTTGGGGTCATAATTATTCATTTGACTAATTACTTTCCGAAGAACTCTCAATACCATGTGATTCAGGCCTGTAAGCAATTACCATTCAAGTGGATACCGTTCTTTACGCGCACTGATTGGCTAACTCGGGGGCAGATACGTTAAAATGTTTTGGATCACTAGTCATTCAGTTTATGTGGTATAAACTGAAACAATAATTCACCTCTGCGTCTGTTAATAATTGTTACTATAAACTTCACTCCGTAGTTTAAGATTCAATGGAAAACATGCATGACTTACTTGATTTTCGAGATGACCTTTAACTCATCCCAGTCAAACTGATCCTCTTTGCTGGCGGATTTTAAACCATATGAAACAAAAGGGAGGTTTTGGTTACCAGTCTCCCCTCCCCAGCCACTCCACACCAGTGCAGCACACCGAGACTCACGGGACCCCAACTCCAAAGCAACGGAGGTGACCTAGGAACCACAACGAAGAAAGCTTAAATCTGAAGTCTCTTTTAAAGCAGTCTCCTCCGGAAAAAAGTTTTCTGTCAAACTTTGAAGGTGACACTACCGAGAGGTCTGGGTTTGAGCCCTGGTTGGGATCACTGAGTAATGTTCTTGGGCAAAAATTCTTTACTCTACACCTAGGAATGATAAAGTGCGGGGAAGCGGGGGGAGGGGGGCAATCTTACTTTGGACTGGCAGCAATACTCTAAAGATAGTTTCTAGTAAAAGACCATTAGCTTTTCCTCTTTTGGCTACTAGTCTCGTCAGCTGACTGCAACATTATCATTTCACACGAATAAATTATTGATAAGTGCAAAGACTCGAATGGCAAATTATTTCAGTATTTTTTTTACCTGAAGTAGTTTTCCAACATCCTCAGGCTGGGGCACTAGTTGAAACGGTATGACTTTGGTCTTTGCTGGAAGAAGATACAATCCACCCTCCCCTTGAGCGGACCCAGTCTCCACAACACACTGTTGGTTATAAAACTAAGATAAAAGATAAAAGAAAATTGAGTCAGGCCAGTAGAAAATGCAACCAAATTAACTTCCAGAGTGTCATGGCATGATTACAGGCAGGCAGACACGAAATTAGCCTGTTCCAAGCATGCAATCACAGCCGTGAAATTCCAATCACAGCGGCTAAGCACAAGAGCATATTAGTGGCGCGTACTTGGTCGACCTCATCGCCTGAAGAAGACTGGCAGTATGCAGTCGAAATGTTGCGATTCACACCCGAAGTGACCACAAATGATTACATTTCACTTTTGACGCCTTCAAGATCATAGACAATAAGACATCAGCTCAACGCCATATGCAAAACCAAACCAATCATGCCTTTTTTATCCGCGTTTCCTACACTTACTGTTGTACACAGTTGTTTGATGTCGGTTCTCCTCGGTGCATTTTATGGTCGACCTTCGTTCCGGTTAGCTGTGGTAGTTACCTTGCTATTGTAAGCTGGAGACTAAACTGTGCTTTCATATTTTGGTGAAACAAAGTAACACTAGCCTAACGTATGTAGGAATATTTTAACTTACCTGATTGCTAAAGAAAACGGCAATCTTCGAGAATCGGATGGGAAATGGGCAAGAAACCCTGAAATATAACAACACACAACAATAACAAGTGTTTAGACCTTTATTTAGAACAACTTTCAATTGATTGTCAATAGTAATCCGGAACTACATCAGTTTTTCTTCGTTACGGTCAAAGATCGGTCTTGAAAAGTCGAGCCACTATCTCTACCAATCTCCCGCCTTTTCCCGCTCTTTATGGCAGTTTGTTTGTACGCTGAGTTTTCGAAAGCTTCTCGTGATATTTTCCTTTATCCTGAGTTGCCCTAGAGGTTATTTTAGGTTGCTGTACAACACTCAATCGAAAAGCGCTCTCAATGAATCACCGAATCGTCACCATGCATAATAGAGCTAAATTACTTCAGTGCTGACAGTTTTGAACCAAGGTTGTGGTCTCTTAAAAGCTTCCTCTTAACCATATCATTCCCATGAGTAATCAGAACTTACATTCTCCATACTTTGATAATTTTTAACGAAGACAGTTTACGAGAATTAAGAAAATGATCCATTAAGGGATATTCAAGAAAGAAACGACATGTTACGGTGCGTCTGTTCAATAATAAATTACAGATGACGTCAAAATGTATCACTTTTGGTTCTTTCCAGCATTTTAGCGTCGTCTGTGATCTGTTAATGAACAGACACACGGCATCATGGAATCTGTTTGTCACGTATAAAACGAAATTCTCATGACTCACCATCAAAAGAAAAATCCGTCATTGGTTTGGAGAATTAATAAGAGCTTGAGAGTTAAGGGTGAAAGCTGTTTTGGATTGAGCGACTCTAAGAAGACATTACAAACCTTAAGTAGATTTGAAGAAGGATGGTAGAATCTGCTGTTGTTGAAACTGAATCAAAGACTGCCTTGCATTCCACTGAAGGAAGAACAAAATTGAAAACAACAGGAAATATTACAATATCACACACTCCTTTGCATAAGACAAATAAAATAAATTCATTCATTCATTAATATTTTAATCTTAAAAATTTTACCAGTCTCTTTATCAAGTCTTGGTTTTAAAGGGTATTTAAGAAGAGTTTTTTTCTACCCTACAAGATTTTGGTTGCTGTATTTGGAAATTGAATTTAGGAGTTTCTACAGCTAAATTCAGTTTCCGCCTCTGTAAACTGTGAAAAAAAAAAATACACAGTAGAGTTGACATTTTCTTACCAAATGGTGCTATTTGTTCCATCTGTATGGTAAATACTTGGGGTGCCTGTGGTGTCACTTTAAGAGTTTTCCACAGCTCTTTAGCTTCTTCCACTGCTTCAAAGTCACAGCCTGGCTCGGGCTCAGGACATTCATTCTGTTTGTAATTCCAATGAAAAATTAGAAATGAAACATGATACAGTGATAAGAATTCAGTTGTCTTTCGTAACATGCTCATCCTGTAATAGTAGCGCTCGACAAAAAGCGAGTTCTCCACGCGCGAAAGACCAGCCATGCGGGCAAGGAAACTCTCTTTCCCGCGTTTTTAACTCGCGTTCAGCCGCGCGCGTGCTTTCCATGTCTAAATCACCAGTGTCAGGGTTGTAGATGACAAAAAAACAGAAAGAATCAGCGTAAACTCATTCTACAATAAAAGTTCCTCCATAAATCCTCTTTAAACGACCATTGGCAGTAAGTCCTTACCGACATGACGTGAATAAGATTAGTTTGACATCTTGTTTTCTCTTCAGGTGAATTTTCAACATCTGATGTTTTCTTGAATCAAGGACTTTACCACTAATACAATAACAAATATTGGGTAAGATGTTTTACTAACGTATTACACCGCAGTGAATTTGACTTAAGCAAAATCTGTACAGCTTTATGCAACTACAAATGTCAATATTATCCTAAAATTCCCAAATTTTGCAACCTTACTAGTTGGTTGCCCAAGAATACCTTGCGTTTTGAAGGCGCTTTTCAGCCTCTCCACCTGACTTGGAAACCAATTTAACCCTTTAACCCATAAGAGTGACTAGCCTGAAGAAACAATAGGAACTCAAAGCAAAAACAGGCACCCTGCCTGAAGCGCGGGAAAACGCGGAAGACCAAGTCGTGGTTGGTTTTAGTTTTGCATCTGATTGGTTGAGAAAATGGCGCGAGCTTTCTTGACCAATAACATAACGAAGCTAAGTTACACCAATGCAATCCCAGATCACTTTGCATTGAAAATAACTCTACCCGAAAGAATCACTTCACCCAGAAAAAAATACTACGTTCAGTTATTCAAATGATAGGCAGCATTTTCAAGGATACATCTTCCCGTCAATTCAAGCGAAAGGGTGATATATTCCTTCACATTGCCAACCAAGTACGCACACCTGCAACAAGAGTTAAGAAGACTAAGGATATACGAATAAATAAATCTAAAACTTGAAGTTGAGAAAAACTGTTTTGAACGTTTTACACTAAAATTGCTATTCATAAACAACCTCTTGGCAATAATTTGACGTTAAACAAGAAGACAAACTTAGATTTTTGGCATTGTAGCAGTCCAACTGAACAGACGTGGAATTATTCCGTCTGTCCGAGTTGGCTGTGTCCGTGTCGTAAATGAGCCAAACTTCCACCAACCTCGACGTAGTATCCCTGATTCTCACGCTTGAGGGCTTTTCAATAACGTGTTGCCAACCACAACCAAGGTAAACCCAACAGCCAATCACAGTGAAGATAAATATCACAAGTGATAACTTACAGAGGAAACAAGTAAGCTGTCTGAAGCGCGGGAAAACGCGCGTTACCAATGCGCCATTGGTTTCAATTTTACACCTGATTGGTTGAGAGGGTGGCGCGTGTTTTCAAGACCAATTACAAAGCAAGGTAATGCAAGACCAAGTAAATTCAGATTATTTCAACTAAAAATGTTTACATGTTGAGTTCTCAGAAACAAGAGCTGGAGAGTACAAATCTTGTCTCACTTACTACAAAACAACAGTACCTCAGTGATGTGATTAAAACTGACGTAAGAAGTGACCACCATTTTTCTCTGCGGTAATCCCAGGTGACTTTTCCCAACAACCTTAAAGAAGAAATCTACGAGGGTTATGAATAAAGCCCTAAAAAATGCATATCTAAATTACATTTTGGTCTGAATTCCTCAATAAAGTTAAATGGAATATTAATCAACTCATTTTGTGGTATGTCAGCGTCTTTTCACGAAATTACTTTCACGCAACGGCCTCCGGCCGAAAGTAATTTCGTGGGGAGACGCTTCAAACGGCCTGGCCTGCCTGTGGTACAATACTTGATCACTACTGATTCTAAACTGAAACATTCTCTTATGCTACACTCACAATAAGGCTTTACTGTAATCTCTAGCATGGTAATACTCCTCACCCATCTGAACCACTGCAGAATTAACAAAAAAGACTCGCTTTTAACGTGAACATGAAAGAACTTCAGAGCATACAGTAGAAAATGATTAGCTTGCCCAGTTATCCATATGCAATATTAATCATCATTGTAACTACTATTCAAAGTACAGTTATATCCCTATGTTTTATCAAGTATTCTTATTGCATATTATTGTCATATTGATAATTAGATAAGAAAAGCCAATAGACCTCGACTATGTACACTATATCACTCTGCTTTGTAAATTTAATAAAAAAAACTTTTAAAAGCACTACATGTACATTGTCATGAAGAAACAAAAGCTTTTAGTTGCATCTTGCTAAGTTCTTAACCCTTTACACTCTAAAATCAGTCTATATATTCTCCATACTGTTCTTTATACATTTCCTAAGGTGCTGACAAGGAGATTTTGTTCACCAATCAAAAGCCTCTTTGGTTGGTGATCATTTCCTTTATTCTCATGACCTTAACATGTGATTCAGGGCTGATATTTTAGGGAGAAATTTGATGCTGGTCACTCTTAGGGTTTAAAGGGTTAAAGTGAAAAAAGAGAGAACTTACTCAGGTATCTCTTCATCCTGGGTGATTTGTACTTTTTAAACTGAGCCACTGCACTACTGAGAAGGGGAATGATAACCCACTGGGAGAAAAAAAAAAAGGAGCCAATATTCTAAGTACCTCAACCAAATATACTACTGAGAAGGGGAATGATAACCCAAATATTCTAAGTACCTCAACAAATATATAAAAGTAGGTTAGCATAAATAAAGAGATTGATGGTAAGAGTATTTGCTAACAAGGTATTATGTAATACTGGCAATTGGGATTTCAAATTCATAATTATTGCTTTGGTTTGACTAGAAAGCTCATTGATGCAATTGTGCACAACCAAAAATTTACAGTCATATTAACCTTGCATTTAAACTTAATTTGTCACCATGATTTCTCCCTGACATTTATCTGATCTTAATTTTCTTGAAATGAAAGTCTGCCAAACAATACAGTACACTTACAGAATGGTCCACTTGGATTTCTTGGGACTGCAAGGCTATAATTCCAGCCTTCTCTATTCCTGCATCTGGTGGTTCTGTTCCTACAAATATATTAAGTCAAATGAACCCAGCAGTTCTACAAATTAAAGGAAAGTATTGCATCTCAACAGATCAAGTTTCAAATAAGCTCAAAAAAAAGTTTTAGAATTTTTTTTTTTTGACAGAGTGTTTTTAATACACGAAAAGTTTTCTCTTATCAAATGGAACAAAATTCTAACACTGAGCTTTTCAACCAGTACATGGTTTGCAAAGGAAAATTACTGAGTGTCTCAACACCTTTTGTACTTACTCTAAAAAACACTGCCAGAGGAAAAAAATTATATATTTGCAGTTACCTTGAAAACCTTGTCTCCAAGGTCTCTGACCATAGAAGTCAAGATTTCCAGCATTTTCTAAGGGATTCATAGTAAGTGGAGTGGTAGTCTAGAGATGAATTAATAACAGATTCCAATGTATTAACTAAAAAGTAACTCATCAGACTCAATGAACAATAAAAGTTAATTACATGCAGAAAACAAATAACCCTTTTGAGTGGTAGTTAATTAGTTTTTGGTTAGGTGTACTTTGAAGGGAATCTATGACCCTTTCTTGCCACTAGTTTACATTCAACATTATCCCACACTACAAGGGTGGTTTAAAGTCTAAGGCAATATTACTTATATCAAAACCTTCCCTACCCCTCCCCCAAACAATTTCAAATTTTGTGTGCTTTGTAAACGTTACCAGGATGTAGTGCCTAAACTTACCAACATTGTTAGAGGGGGGGGAGTTCTGTGTACACAGCTGAATTGGCAAAAGATGGCCTTTTGTAATATGTTGGTATATTGGATATGTTTTTGATAACTGTCCGAACAAACTTTGACCTTCATTGTAGCTGTGGCCACTCATGTGCACAAGTATGTAGCCCAATTTATCTGGGTAAGGCCCTCCAGGAAAAGTTCTTCAGAAATAATTTGTACTTCAAAATTACCTAAGTCAGACAGTTCTAGTCTTCAAATTTTTATTGGTAAGTTTCAACTAATGATAAAAAAATGGTCATTTTCATAAGAAAAATATTGCTCCTTTGAGTTTGTGTCTGTCACTGTTCCTTCAGATCTTTCTCAGCAATCCTCTGGCATGATAATAATTTTACTTACATGACACAAGCCCTGGCAAAGCTGTCTCCTGACAATGGCATTGTTTGCTGCTTGTTGATAGTAAAATCCTGGGTGTTGAGTCTGTGATAAAGTAACAGTTAAGTCTTTACCAGAATCTGAGAGTATGACTGATTTGGACACTCTAATCAGTCACTAGACCAGATTTGTTTGGGCACATTTACATCAATCCTATTTATTAAGGTGCCTCTCTCTGTTTATAGCCAAAATTTAATTAGGGGAGAAAAGATCATCATGATTGTTAAGAGATGACAAAAAAGTACCTTTAAAACAGAAAAACACTCCATTCTATTCATTTATATTGCATACAATTATCATAAGAGATATAGCATAATGGGAGACAATTTTTTCTTTATTCTAAATACCAATTCAGAATACTTAGTAACATAATTAGTAAGAATTTCTTTCTCTTCTTACAGATCTATTGTTGTTTGTAGATCTAATAAATAAATATTTCATTCATTGAACCAATATGCCAACACAGATCTTCTACATTGTTACCTGTAAGGCGGTTAAACCATTTCTGATGGCTTCATCAAACAGTTCTCCAAATAAACTGAACCTGTATTAATTTTTCACATAGTTTGTTATTGATTAAGCCTCTATAATTCCCTACCATACAGCATGTTGTATTAACTTTGACAATTATTCATCATTGAACTGACTAACAAATTATTTAAAAGTCTCCTGTTTTCATCATTTCAGTTCCATTACGTAGAAAAGTTCAGTCAAAAATTTCACTTCAACTTGACCTGTTCTTGATCTAATGTTGTTAAGAAACAAGAGTTGTTAGATCCTGGTCACAGCTTGGGTTTCTTTGAAAGCAAAAACCTTCTAGAACACAAACCAAAGAGGACTCACCACATCAAAGCTTATCATGGTTTCTGTAGCATAAAGAGACTAAAAGTTCTCTCTCTGGATTTGATGCTACATATAGGTCTGGTAGATTACCCCCTACCGCCACCCCCCAGCATTTTTATCAAATTCCCTTCATAATTGGCTGATACTTATTTCAACTCTGGGGTGGAGGGAGGTACTTTAGCTGTACATATGTAAGTGCCCAAAAAACAAACTGAATGCAGACCTTCCAGTTAAGAGTGAGGAGGCTAAACAGAAAAAATACTCACTGTTTGGAGAGCCAGGCTGAGTGTTCAAAGGCTAAGTCAGGGCAGCCAACCTTTTCCTTAAACAAATCCACATGCTTTCTGAATTGTGATATGGCATCTAATGGGGCTGATGCTTGGAAACTTAGACGCAAATCTGTGAGACAATTAATAAAAATTGATTAATACTGTTTGGTTGTCAGGATAACTCAAAAGTCTGTAATATATGTTGTAGGAGGGATATAAATCACCAGATATATTGGTCCCATAGGACATTTAAATTCCACTGAATCTAAATTTAGCATCAAATGTTTTCAAAGATATTTGGTTTTTTTGTGACCACTCTGCCAATAACCATTTTGTTTCTGTTTGTCACTGTTTCCAAAACACTCCTGTAAGTGACCATATTAAAAAATGTTGGACACATTTTTGGTACTGTGTTTCTCATAAGCAGTCACCGACAGGTTTGTTATAAAATCAGAGAGAAATAAGGAATATTTCATCAACGTTGTAAGTGACACTTTCTATAATGTAGTTTCATTCTGAAATGAAATTGGATGGTTAAGTGGGTAAACTGATTTCAAGAATTAATAACTACCAGTAAGTACTGTACCATAGTTCACTCATAACTTTCTGATTATATTTTTCTAAAATAAACTTATTAAATGGCCACCTCCCTAAGGTGCCCACTTAAGAGCAACTTGACTGTACACCTCAGACTTAGAATTACAGGTGGAGATCTTTTGATTTAACGGCACAATTAAGGTATCTGGTGAAAAATTTACCTTGCATATTTGACAAAAGGAGTACATAATCCCAAAAATGTAAAATTACGTGATAAGAGATCATGTCTTTAACTCATCCAAGATGTACAATGTCTTCTTCACATCATTACTTTTATGTAACTATTATTACAATGGTATACACCAAATATATATTGACTAGAGTTCTAAAATATGAAAAAACACAAACCTTGTAATTAATAAATCCAGCAACAACTTTGATCTCTAGTATGTTCATGTCAGTTGTCTTGATTTCTCCAAGAAGACTGTATGCTTGCCTGTAGTGCCTGGGGTTAAAAATTAAAAAAGTCTTACATCAATCAGCTGATGTCTGGTATGTTAATATGCAAATGTAACTAACTTGGGAGTTTATGTTGAGAGATCTCCAAGGCAGGAAGACTGAAAATATTGGGGGAAGAAATCTGTGGCAGGAGTTGCCAATTTTGTAAACTGTCTTTGGCTGTCATGTGGCAAGGCAGAACAACTTTTAACTCTCTGTCATTTTCTTTCATAAAAAAAATTTGCTCCTTCTCCTCCACTGTCCTAGTTCTAAACCTTGAGATACCTTGTGAAAATCCTACACTAGTTGCTGATGATTTCAGAGACAAGCATTGCTATCAGCTGAAAGTATATTGTTTAATATTCTCACAAGGTGTCCTTTTCAAAATTTTCATTTCTATTTTTCCTCTTTATATTTTCTTTTCTCAAAAAAGTCTCTTAACAGAAAGTTGGCTAATACAGCCCTGAAAGTTCCTTTTCCTTCCTGAAAAAAAGGGAAACACTGAGATCTACCTTTTGGCCAACTAATTATTGTCATTGCAAGATCAATTAAAAAATAAATACTGACGAACTTACTTGATAGCAGAGTGAGGGTCTTGTCTTAGCTCATTGAAAAAGGCAACCTTGAATTGGTGTCGCACCAACAATAGCTACAACAACAGTAGAGAAGCAAAATAAGACATTTATGAATTGTTGAGGCCATGTGAGGTGAATGAATTATGAATTGTTGAGGCCATAATAATAATATATATATATATGAGGGTAGCAAAAAAAAGACACTGAATGAGAAACATTTCAAAGTAACACCCTTCAAAGCTGACATCAACAAGCTTTTTCTGCTTAGAATTCTTGGTAACTCTTTCCCTCAGCCTTTAACTAAATGTAGTTCTGTAGTTTGAGAAGAATCGATCACATCAAATTATTGACATACAAAGATCACTTTTGCAAATTAAAGTTCTCACCTGATGAGTTCCTTTGTTAAGAAATTCCTAATGATCATAAAGAGCATGAAAACATAATAAGTGTCTCTTCATTCCGTATATTGATAAAATTTTACTTTTTGTGCTACAACATAAAATTATTTTGAAGGTAATTCTGGTTAGTGAAAAGGTAATCCATAGAAACATTACATTGTGCTACCAGGCAAGTTATACAGGCATGTATATGACCCAGAATTTTGGCACATTTTCCAACAGACATTTTTAGCTACTGGTACTTTTCTGTCCTTGATCTGAGAAGAGAAATTTACTTAGTACAGGGGGAGTGTCCTACTAAAAAACCCAATGGCTTTACCATGAATTTATGTTGAACTAAGGCAGTTAAACCAAAGAGTCCCAAAAGCTAACCAGAACGCTATCTTTTCCCCTTTTACTGACTAGTTGAAAATTCAATTCAAGACACTCAGAAACTGTGGCCTCATCTTTAATCTGTGTCATTCATCTACATGTACAAGACAATGTAGACAGTGACAGTTAAAAATAAATTTTAGACAAGGACCATTCAACAGTGGACACAGTTTATTACATTGGCCACTGCATCTCCCTAGTTTCCACAGCATGAAGCAAGTACAGGCTTGTTGTTTCCCCCTGGCTGGGATTTTAATAACCTGACCTTCTCCCTACTCCCTTAAATTTCCAGAATTGCAACCTCACCTTGTGGGCTTTAACTCTCCTACATTCTCCATGGTAATAACTCTGTGCTAAATCATAAAAAGCATTCTCCAGCCTTAAAAAAAAAGAAGAAGAAGAAATATTTATCTCATAAGTTTCAAACCTGTTCCTTTTTTATTTTGAAGCGGCATGAATTTCATGTCCCATGAATGACTACGATAACTTGTAATATGATCATTCAACTGTTTAACTCCCATGAGTGACCAAGACAGAATTTCTCCTTACAATATCAATACAATATCAACTAGATTAGAGATGAGAATAAAGAAAAATATCAATTTGGGGATAAGTAGTTGATCTGATCAAAAATTCTCCAAACTAATATTATAAGAATTGTATGGTTGACAGTAAGGAGAATTACAAATTTGATCTGGGAGTTAAAGGGTTAATCAGATGAAAACACAAATCAATAGAGAGGCTGTTAACTCTCTTGGGAAAGTCTTGATAAATGCTGATAACATCTGATTTTCTGATAGATATTCCCTTATTTTTAAAACGTTCTCATCCCATGTAAGTAACTAAACAACTTGTAGTGAGTCTAAAGTTAGTTTAACCCTTTAAGTCCCACTAGTGACCAAGACAAAATTTCTCCTTACACATCAGTACAATATCAAGCAGACAAGTAATGAGAATAAAGAAAAAATATCCAGTGGAGGATTATTGGTTGATCCAATTCCAAATTCTCCACACAAACATCACATGAATTGTATGGCAGACAGTAAAGAGAATTACTAAAATGAAATCTTGAGACTGAGTTAAAGGGTTAATAGAGTCTGAGGCTTACTCATGTAAAAGCTTTTCAATTTCTTTCTACTTCACTGTCACTTTTTCCAAATAATTCTAACTAACTTAGTCTTTATTGTGTCCTGTTTTGAAACTTTTCTTGATCAGCTAGAATAAATATGATAGAAAAAATATGAAACTCTTACTAAATAAATCTTTTACTATATTTGACAAAGGTTGGGCTTTTACATTCAACTGCAAACTCAATGAAAAGCAATCTCATCAAAATCAATCTAAAATGATAAATTTTGAACGAATACCTAATTGTGTAGCCAATCAAGTGATCTGTATGTGGAAGGACAAACAATGATTTGGCTGACAGGTCACATGCACTGCACAGTGTTGCTGCCCTCTCTAGTGCTTGTAAATCATCACCTGTGATTCATTATAATAGCATAAATTTCCTCCATGAAGGGTACTTAAATCTTTGGATACAGGAACTAATATGAAATAACATATTTTTTTCTTACAGTTTTACAATCGTGTTTTTCTATGTGGGAAGAAACTGTGCCCTTGACCTTGATTACAGACACCACTCTTGGGTCATACTCAACACTTTGGGTGCAGTTTTTCCCCATTTTCCAGCCCATGCCTAGCTCAATAAATGACATGTAACTCTCATCATAATGCCTCTGGCAGATTTCTAAGATAGACCTGGCAGTCACTTATGGTTTGACGTTAGCATGAAAACACTAAACATGGATCTAAAACTCTCTACTTAATGACATCATCTTTTGACTTCTATGTATTTATTGATGTTTACCTGGAGGAAGAGGGGCATTCTTTTGGATAAGAACCACAGCAACCTTAGTGTTCTGGTCTTGAAGACTGGTCCTGCTCAGAAATGAAAAGATTGCTTTGAATGGTTTAATATACAGGATTGAAGTTATAGAATACAAAATTATTCATTGTACTGGGTATATTTTTTTGCATTTGATGAGCTGATAAGTTTGAAAGTAACAACTTCAAAAGTTGTAATGTTCTTATTATAACTTACAAGTATCTGATTGTCACTTGGTAAAGAAGGAGGTTTCCGGAGTGTCAGGAGCACTTACTGTTGTTATGACAAACTTATTTCATGGTTGTCATTTGAATAGCACTCTAAATCACAGGAATTGTTAATTAAGCTGATGATTGGACGAAAGTCTTTTTCTTTTGTTAATAAAACTAATTGTTTTTTGCTCAAATTTATGTGTTTGTTTGATATATTATTCTGTGTGTATCCATTAGAGAGCATGGAATTAAGTTTCTGAGTTGTACAATATCCTAAAAATCAACACATACAATGGAACCCTCTTACCTAAAAATCAAACCACACTTGTCATAATACTTATAAATAATTTTCAGTCATGTCATTAGTGCTGATTAAAGTTCACTGTTATAGAGGGGTAAGATAACATTCTCAAGTTCTCTTGTTATTACCTGACTCTTTCTAGTTTTGAAGCACATTCAGTTTGCCTGTCTTTCCACTGAACGTCATCCCAATCCAACTCATAAAACATGACCACCACAGCAGGAGAGAGATAAAGATGTTTGTGCATCCATTTTGTCTTCAAAATACCCTTTGGTATGTACCACTCATAGGTAGAACGCTACAAGGAAACAAGACTCAGTAATAAAAAGCCAGCATATACTCGCATAAGCAGAGATTTCAGTAACGCTGGTTACAGGAGGCCTACTGCTTCTGTGAGAGGTCTTACATTGCTATGGCTGTCTGCTAAGATTTTCAATGGTAGTAACCCCACTAATGGCAGTATCTACCCTCACTTATGGAAAATATTACTGACACTCCATGCACACCAACAAAGATGAAGGTTCACTTAAACCTTTAACTCCCAGAAGTGATTAACATGAAACTTTTCCCTATGATATCCAAACATTATTCAGCAAACAGGTGATGAGAATATTCAAATTTATCAGGTAGAAGCTTTCATCTTGATCTAGCATCAAGTTCTCATAACTAATTTACAAGGAAATTTGTGGCAGCTGAAGGGGAGAATTAACAATCAGATCTTAGGAGTTAAAGGGTTAACACTTCAAATCCCATGAGTGATGGAGACAGAACTAATACTTTTAAAATTTCAATGCAATATCAAGCAAACAAGCAATGAGAAAAAAGGAAAAAAAAGAAATTAGAGGATTATTAGTTGATCTAATTCCAGATTCTCTGAACTAACATCCTAAGAATTGTAGGCCAGACAGTACAGAGAATTACTAAGGAAATCTTTGGAGTAAAAGGTTTAAGAAAGTCAGAACTCAAGGAAGCAAGAGAATGCTTATTTGGAAAAAAAACCCAGGAGTATGATTGATTTGTGATAAACTATTCTAAATGATTTTGTGGAAATCACTCATAGAACTTTCTTTATACAATTATATAAGAAAAATGAAACAGTGGCAGCTTCCTATGCAGACAGCCTTGCTGTACAAAAATAGTGTCCATTTAACCCTTTAGCATCTAATTTCTCTTTGCTATACAACCCCAGAATCAAACCTTAAGCTAAGGTCATGAGAATACAGGAAATGATCACCAACTAAAGTTCTTGATTGCTTAACAAATTCTCCCCGTCAGCACCTTAGGAAATGTATTGGGAAAAGTATATTAAATAAACTATACTGAAAGAGCTTAAATGTAACCAAAATAAGAAGAATTTCACGTAATCAAAGGATTTAAGAGTGACTTCACTTAAAAGCGATAGGAAAGCTCACCTTTGATTTTGCTTTGGGAAATTCGTGATCAATTGGTAGAAGTCTGAAGGATAGTGGAACTCTCTCAGGATGCCTGTTCACAGAAAAAGACTCCCAGATGGCTTTGTGCAAAGGTTTCTGATTAATATCAAGTCCCATAAGGGCTGTGAGGCCTAAAGGACGGGTCGCCAGTTCTGTCGGAAACTCGCTAGCAGCCGCCATTATTGTTTAGGCTTGAAATGTAACCTGGCCGGCTGAAACGTCGACCGGTAGTGACTGAATCGAAAATATCGACTTAATTAGACGCAGATTTTTTTAGTAGTAGTGGTTCCTTCCGCTTTCCACGAGTGAATGGCTATCAGCGGTTAAGTCTGATCTATATCGGGGAATTGCGACCGTTTTGCTTGGGGTCGTTTCTTTAACGGCCAGCTGTTGCTATAAAAACGTCTTAGGTCGTTTCGCCAACGTTTTAAGTTATTTCACCAACATCTCTGGTGCTTTCAGGCACTGGCGCTTCCTTTCAAATATTTCAGGTGTTAACGTTCAAAATAATTAGCGTGATGTTAAACGCTCTTAGAAATTGTTAAAGAAGGAAATGAGAAGGACACCCTATCAAGAACACGTGACATGGTCAAACTTTTTTTCGTGCATGTGATCACTTATTTATGCCTCAAGTTTTTATGTTGAAGTTAACTTAATCTTCGTCAAATGAAGGGACGAAAAACTCGTTTGGCTCCCATAATTTGTTATGATCTTTGACGCTATAACTATTGCGGCTTGGATTACTATTTAATACTGGGACTAATATTCGACGTTAGCATACTAATCAACAGAACTTCATCGCCAGAATTTTTTGATTATAAGACAAGTATCAAGTAACATGGGTTGAGGAGAAACGATCAAAGAAATGCGCTGAAAAGCATTGAGAAACAAAACAACTTTCTTGCGATCATAGCGTTTGTTGATGTTTTCTGCGGAAGCAAGCATTAATCATTCCTATCCGCGTCAGTAGACCGCATGCAGACACTCCTACCACTTGCATCCATTATCCCACCACCGTGCCGCCTTAACAATGAACAACAGTGCGATCTGTTTTACTCTGTAACCTGGTTAAAACAAACGTTCACGATATTGTCTAAAATTCTTCTTAAGCCGACTTTTATTTTAGCGTCTTTGGAATTACTGCATAATCCTCTAAGAAACTTTGCCCAAAAAAGTGTATAAATTGTGGTAAATAACAAGAATATTTTGATTCCCTAAACAACATTTTGACAATAACCTGACTTGAAAACAATTAAATCACTGTGTAAACATACATTATCTCAAACATTACAATACGTAATTAAGTGACTTGTTGAACCAGTTTCAAAATATTGCTGCCGTCATTTTTCCACATGATACTGATTAAGTTCTTGACCTTGAAAGCTTTTTCCATGGTTCTGTTTGGAAATCCATGTATTTTTTCCAGTCTTTTAAGCACTCAGAAGGTGTACTGGAACTCACCAAAATAAAAACTTTCCGGAAAGATTTTACATAAAAAAATTTAGGATTCTGTTAACGAAACCTATAACAAAAGGCTTTGAGGGAAAACCCTGTAAGACTTAACTGGCTCGTTTTTGATACTTAAACTACTGTTTTAATTTTCCTGATTTCACTTCACTTAAGAGCCGTATAAGTCAATAATGTTTCGTGCTAATTATATCGACCGGATAAGATAATTTTCGTGCAGAAAAAAATATTCTCGGATACGTTACCAATACCTCCTTCTGAGAAGATCGGAAAGGAGAAAGCAAAAAATTAAAATCAATATGCTTAATTTGAAATTGCCCTTTCTGTAATTACACAATGAAATAACGGATAGTGTATTTTCTCTACTTATTCTCTTATCAAACTCTTTCCCCAGTGCGACGAACATTTGTTTTTCTCGGTTCCAGGTGTACGCAACCACTAACCGCACGTAATGCGCATGCTCTACGTTACGAATTTTCAAAACGGCGAACAGGTCAAAGAGGGAAATTAAAAAAACAAAGCGATTTTGCAATGAATTCTCAACATACACCCTCGTTAGAAAGGCGAATCCACGGAAGAAAGATACAAAACTGTATGATATTGAGATCGATATGATATTAAATCGATACCGAGGGCCCGTTTAATTGCCTTCCGCCACGATTATTAGCTTTCTTGACAGCTTTCTGAAGACAGAATACTTTCTTTCTGAAGACTTCTGATATGCGGCTATTGATTATTACACCTCGTATACCTGATTGCTCAAACACTTTGTTTACGATTGTTGAAAGGACCGACTCATGGTTCTCCGTCTTCGTCTTGACATTGCTTTGAAATAGTATAGACTAGTAAGCTGAAACGAAAAATTAATCAGGGAAGTTTACGAAAAATCCGGCAAACAAGCTTTAAAAAGGCATTTATTTAGACTTCAACGAACTTCACAAATCTTACTTGTTTATCTTGTAAATAAACGATGACAGATTAATTCCCGTAGCGCTTTCTGAGTTTCCCGATCCCTCTCCTACTGCTTTCACGCTTACAAAACAGGAAAAATCAAAAGGAAGAAGATACAGCTGTTTTGAAACGCCATTTGACGAAGGTAAATCTGCTTTTTGTTCGACACTTTACATATCAAAACAAAGGAAACTTGTTCCTCTTTCTGATTCTGGCGGTACATTTTTAATTTGCGCCTGCGTAAAAGAGATATCGCCCGAGACCCTTCGCTCGGTCGTGTTTTGATCAAAAACGCCTTGTTAATTTCACGCAACCGCTCGGAGAAAAGGTAAAAATGACGAGGAAAAAACTTTACCTTTAAGTTAGAAAATTAGCGAAATAGAAAGCCACAATATTATAGTTTAATATTTCAGAGGTACATTGAGTGCTTTTTCCGTAGAGAATCCGCACGATGGTGGAACATTCGAAAATTACACTCGATTTGAGTGGGGTGTTGAAGTGGGCGTGGCCACTACATTCATGTTAAGACTATTTGTACCCCATGAGTTTGATATGCTATTTGTTTATCCAGCTAAAAGTCTCTAAGGTCTGTTTACTTCGAGATATTCTCATCTTTTTTCCTGTGACAAACGTAAAAAACAATTATAAATAACACAATCAACATTTCTTAAATAAAGCAAATACAGTTATACCAGGCGCAATATGTAGGCAAATGTACACTTGTATCTGATTGGCAGAGAGACGCTTTCGAAATTCTATATTTTAGACCTAACTGGGAGAATAAATTGTTACTCTTTGAAAGAAACAAAAAAAAAGATATAAAACTAGCCTTGATATTCAAGGTGACAAAGGATAACTGCCGACAGTCAGCGAACAGTAAGTCATAGCCACCTTCACATTTAATTTAACTTTAATTTATGAAATACCTGTTCTCATCAAGTCTTACCTCTACTTGTCAAACTCGAGCCTCACATCATCTCTAATCAGCGTAAACGAAGCCCACTCAGACACTTCGCTTAAGCCATTTTTCCTCATCCACCTCATGGCCTGATGAAGGGATTCACTGGCACTTTCTCCTTCAACAAGGTGTTTGTAGAACCGATTCATCAGCTTCTCTGTTGCTTTGTCTGAAATGGCCCACAGCGCAACCAACACCGAGCGAGCACCGGATCCTAAAAACGCACGGGCAATTCCTATAACTCCCTCGGCTCTTATCTCTCCACTTCCACTGTGACAGCAGCTAAGTACCACCAGTTTAGCTCTGACTTTCACTCGTGAGACATCAGCCATCGTCAACATGTAATCTTCCTTTGGTTGGGTAGCGTTTCCACTGTTGGAAGTAGGAACGGGGGAGAGAGAAATTTCTCCCCTTTCGGCGTCACCATGGGCAGCAAAATGTATCAGGCTCACTGAACTTATCCGCTCAAGCACCGCCTGCCTCGTTGCTTTCTCTCCTACTAGAGGCGGAACACCCACCAGTCGTCCGACCATCTCCGCTTCCTTTCTTGCACCTGGCAATGGTGGCAGCCAATCAACCTTGGGATTGCCTATTATCAAGGCACCAGTGTTGCTGTGATAGTCCTCTGGACTATCTTGAATGGTCTTGAGTGTTGTCAAAGAAGGAATGACACGGATACTATGAGTCTCCGACAGGTATTCGGCTCCCTCCTTTTCACTCAGGGCAGCAAAGGGAACTTTGTACAAACTGCGGTCAGGAACAATAATGATTTCAGGCTCCTCAAGCAAATCATAAACAGGGACAATAAACATTTTGTAACACAAATATAGACTTTAAATGACCTCCTTGTCCTCGTCCTCCTCCACGAGTCGCATTCTTGCTAGGCTCTTTTGTTCGAGGGAGAGAGGTTCCAATTCAACCATATTTAAAGACCGATCTTCACAATCTTCAGTGGGCAAAATACCAAGACTCCGGAAACTATCAGCCAAAAACTCACTCAGAGGCAAATCTTTGGGCAACCCAGCCTGAACTAGATTCTCTTCTAGTAATCTTTTATAGTGAAGGACTCCACTTGTTTTCAAGATCCACAAATGCAGAACATTGTGAAAATAAGAAATGTACAAACAAGCACAGTTATTTTTCTTTCTAAAACTGTTTTCAATGCCAAACCAAGATTGTGGATCAGCAGAAATCTGCGTCTCAAGCGAGTACTTCTCTGTCATCAAGTCTGATAGACCTCTCGCTCGACCCAACTCCTCAACATAAAGAGCTTCAAGAGCATTTCCGGTATCACAAAGCAGAGTACTAAGTTGCTTGTAGGGAAATATTCCCGAGTGCTCCAGAAGTGATGTTTTGAACTCATCATTGGCCCCCAAGAAATATCTCAGCTCCTCGTACTTTTCAATGCACAAATGAAGACATACAAGGGAGTCTTTGATTTTATTTTGAAATGAATACAAAAGGGCGTAATATTGAAGGATTCGGAACTCTTGTCTTCTATCTCCAATACTTCTGAATATGGATAAAGCTTTCTCCAAGCATACTTCCGAAACTTCATAATTTCCAACAATTGCTTCCCCTTTCTTATCACCAATATCAATTCCATTTTTCCAATTTCATTGGTTAACCCCATTGAAACCCCCCTAGAAGTATACGACGTCTTAAATCAGTGGTAAATAACTGACATCAAAAAGGTTTTTACCGTGATTGTTTACTATCATATGCAACTGACACCATAGATATTTCACAGGTTATGTACTATTTATTAGAATCTGAGGAGTTGAGAAAATTTTTTAAATAGGAGAGGATACCTCTCTAAGTATCAAGAGGGTCGCAAAGGGATGTTGCCATGGCTTTTACGGCTAACAGTTAATATCTTTCCATTGTTGTCACCAGAAATGTTTTTTACGGTTAACTCTTTTGCCAATAACGGTTAAAATTTGTCAATTTTCACGCCTAACGGCTAATTTTTTGGCCGTTTAACGGCCAACGGTTAACCTTATTAAGACCCTCTATCAAACACTGTTACCGCCAATTTGTGATTAGGAAAAATGACAACTGTGATCAAAAGTATTTAATGAGAGGGAGATATGGAGAGCGAATCAGCATTTACTCAAAATATTTAAGTGTTCTAACTCAAGCGAATGAATTTCAGTTTTGTACGTCACAACTTTATAACCAATGACGGAATTGAACATGTAAAAATAACTTACTTCAATCTATTTTAACAGGAAACGTCCGACTTCTGTGTCCATCCCTTTCAAAGATTGGAATTTCATTACAAGATCGATACCAGTAGAACTAAAGCTTCTTCCTTTAAACGGTAAGCTATCTATGTGCGATAATCAACTTTTCATGAACTGATATGGAGAATCGATCAACAGTTTGCTCCGCAGTGAATCTATTTCGGTTTTGCACGTCACACTTTTATAACTACAGATCGACCATATTTGGTTCCACATACTATTTTTTACAACGTGATCAATTCTCGTAACTTAACATCGAGTTACAAAACGCCTGAAGCTTTCATGAATTAATCGTTTGCTTTTTCTCGAGATGTGAGCTCGGGCCGCCTCTACTGACATCAGTAAAGGACATTCTGCATGATAAATATGTCATAATATTGGATTGATTTTAGTTTTTGATCACGTGATTGTGGAAACCACCAGTTTCTCAAATTAAACAATAGTTAACCATCTTAACTAATGAGGTTGAAATATGTTGTATAAAACCTTAACGGTTTGAAGAAAGCCATTTGACGGTGGAGATATGAAGCATCCGATCAACGGAAAAGTACGCTTATACTATGTATGCAATAACATTGAATTTAAGAAAGTTTTAGTTCTTCTGAGAATTTTAAAACATCTCTCCTCGTGAGCGCGCAGTGTCATGACTCATCTTCTTATGCGAGACTCTTATGCGCTTATACAGACAAAAAAAAAAAAGATTTGTGCTCGTATGCCCGTCTATTGCGTCCTACTTAGGTCAAAATTTTCAACAGTTAGTGGTTTTATGATAAACTGCTTATTGACTGAGTTTGGTTGGGCCGGACGCGAAAATATTTGGCTCTCGGTCATCAAGCAAGGACCTCGCTGCGCTCCTACCACTCAATCAATAAGTACACAGTACTTCGGTTTTGTACGTCACACTTTTATCGCCCATTGTAATTGAACATGAAAAATGAAAAGTTTTATTCTATTTTTAATGGGGAACGTCAAGCTTAAGTGTTGAGTCACAGTACAACCTAAGTTTCTTTCTTTAAACGGTAACCTATCTTTGCGTGACAATCGACTCCTTGTCTTCGTGAACTTTTCATTTTCCAGCGGAGGTGATTTGCATGACCGAGGCCAGAATTGCTAAAAAAAAAAAAACTGAGTGACTATATTTCGATTTAGCACGTCACACTTTTCTGACTAATGATGGATTTTAGCGTCCAAAAATGAAACATCTTACTCTGTTTAACCAAAACGTCAGGCTTCAGTGTTCATCCCTTTTGGAACGGTTGGATTTGCTTGAAGAGATCGATGAGATCGAGAGTACAACTAAAGCTTCTGTCTTTAAACAGTAAGCTATCCGTGGTGAAAATTGACTCATTGTATTCATGGACTTTTCATTTTCTTGTGGGTGTGATTCATAAATTAATGGTTTGTTTTTTCTCGAGACGCGAGCCTGATGTCAGACTCTGCTGACATCAGTAAAGGACATTCTGCATAATAACTATGCCTTGATATAGGATTGAGTTAAGTTTTTGATCACGTGATTGCGGAAACCGTTATTTTCTCAAATTAAACAATGCTGAGCAATCTTAGCTAATGAGGCTAAAATATATTGTATAAAACCCTTACGGTTTGAAGAAAGCAATTTTACGGTGAGGATATGAAGCATCCGTTCAACGGAAAAGTACGTTTATACTATGTATGTAATAACATTGAATTTAAGAAAGTTTCAGTTTCTCTGAATTAAAACATCTCTCTTCGTTAGCGCGCGGAGTCACTACTTATCTTTTTATGCGAGACTCTGGCGCTTAAACAATGTATAATGCTTTACCTTGATTTAAATAAAATACCTTTTTTTCAAATTGACAATTACATACGTTTAGTTTTTATACAATAGATGATGAAGATCTGCCTGAAGGACCACCCCCTGTAGGCAGTGATTTAGGTAAGTGTCAATGGTAATATTTTCTTTTCTTCTATAATGCTATGATTCCACAAAATGCTATGCACCTGCAAACAGTGAGTAGTCTTTCACCTCTGTAGGAAGTTGGAGAAGTGACACCATAGCCTCCTTGAAATACAACTTTCCTGTTAAAGTCTAAGCAATAAGAAATGATGTCTGGTTAGCAAACTGTTTTTCCTTTGACCATTTCCAGTAAAGTAGAAGTTCATAATTTTGCAATGTTACCATCACTTGGTTCAATATTGTCACTTCAGAGAGACCTTTTCTAATACAGTTACAGAACTTATGCAGTATTTTTAATAAACTTGTTCAAACCAAGTATTGTTTTTTTCATAAAATAGATGTGGACAAGAAAAATAATAAAAAAGAGAAGGGGAAGAAGAAGTGGAATGGTGAAGTAAAGTAAACAGTAACCTAACAACAACTGACATTACAATAAACTGGGCTAACATTTGTTTTAGATGCCATTTTCCACAGTATTTAGAAAATCTTGAATTTATCATGCTCATGCGAAAAGAAGTTAAATTTTAGAAACAGTATGGGGCCCAAAAAAATATTTTTCAATCTGCAACAAACAGAGATTATTCCATGGAAAGGTGCACAAATGAGATTTATTGCATCAAACAAAAATTAACATGTGAGCCTAGTGAACTAGTGAATTTTTTTGATCGACGCGACAAGTGGATAAAAATTGTTCAAGCATTTTCCATGGTATGATGCTTCCATTTCATACATATCAAAATTTTTTCTTACTGTCCAACAAAGATTTGAAGCTAACAACTGTGAAAATACATTGTTTGTTTCATTAGAGCCACAAATGATACTACTAAACAGTGTAAATCCTAATTTGTATTAAAATAAATTCCATTTCTTAACAATTCTCAAATAGAAGATTAAATAATTTTTCAAAGATTTAAAGGTGAGAAGGAAAAAAAAGGTGATACTATATGATTATTTTTGACTGTTGACAAAGAAATTAAAATTTAATATAGATCAAATAAAAAACCCTTTGAAGGTCCATTGCAACAGTTTCCAGCACATACACATATACAAAGACTGTTTTATTTCCAATCCAACAAAAGCTGCCATAAGCAGGCATTGAAAGATAAAAATCTATGATAATACAAATAGGGATTTTAGGGCAAAAGGGTAATTTATTTAGATCTTGTGAGTATAGTTGACAGTTGGGTTACATCTCCTTGCAAGTGCATTGCCTTACCTCAAATTTTCATTTTTTTTTTCTATCAAAGAAATAAAAAATGTTTCAACTTAGGAGGGAGAGGCCACTCCTACACGGTGGATTTGGTGACCATGCCCACCACGTCAACCATATTAAAAATATAAAATATGAATCAAAATGAAATCAACTGTCTCTCGTTCATTTTATAAATGTAAATTTGCAGCAGAATAATTCAGGCATAACTGCAAATGATAACTTCTTACCAAGCCTGAAGGCCATAAGAGAACATTTTCCTGAGTTCCTCACAAAAACAACGGATGGCCAATATTCCTCAGTAGAATTTGAGCAAGAAAAGTTAGCAAGTGATTCATCACATTGCAACTGGACTAAACTTTTTAGTTTTAAATTTGGTGCCTTTCAAAACAAAAATACATGGATTATGATCGTTTCATAGGAAACGGTCTGCATGGAAAAGTGCAGAACAAGTAAGAACCAGATCAGTGCTGGTAATTACCTCCATACTACCGTAGTTATTCGGTATAAGGCGCACTTGGCTATAAGACGCACCCCCAATTTGGCAATTTCATTATTGCATGTTTTCAAACTGAAAATATCGCTAAAATACTTGGTTATAAGGCGCATCGTTGTTTGGGGAGTAAAGATCGGTCAAGTTTATTGTAAATTCTTTCATAAACTTACAAAAAAGCGAAAAAGTCGCGTATTGATTTTAGTTTACCGTTAATTAACAAAAGCAGAATTGTCGCACACGCGACCACGCGCACAAACAAAAGCCTTGATTAAACAAAACCAAAATATCACACACATAAACAAAAGCCGAAAAATGTCACACATTTAATCACAGTGATAAACAAAGGCAAAAAAGGTCACACATTTAATGACAACCTATCGGTACACATTAATTTTTAGCCTTCCCTCTCGGGAAACATGGTTTTAAAGTATAAAAACAATTCGATCAACAAAATCAGTAGTCGCAAATTTACTTCACCTGGTGAACATTATCTTGCGAAGTCTACATTCAGCACAATCGAGCCAAACACTCGCCATCATTCTTACGATCTCAACTTTAAGTTGAAAATGGTAATTGAAGCTGAAGCTGTTAACAACAATCGAGAGATAGCGAGGGAATACGGAATTTCCGAATCAATGGTTTGGAAGTGACGCAATAGTAGGACATCTTGTATCACCTTGTCAAGCGCGCTTCCATGGGCCGTTACCGAAGTCTACATTCAGCACAATCATGCCAAACACTCGCCATCATTCTTACGATCTCAACTTTAAGTTGAAAATCGTAATTGAAGCTGAAGCTGTTAACAACAATCGAGAGATAGCGAGGGAATACGGAATTTCCGAATCAATGGTTTGGAAGTGACGCAATAGTAGGACATCTTGTATCACCTTGTCAAGCGCGCTTCCATGGGCCGTTACCGACCAAAAGATCCCGAACTTCATCAACCGTAGGCCGACTGGTTCAGTGATCAAAGGAGCCAAGGTAAGCAAATGCCTTCTTGTCTAATACATTAAAGTTCACACGGCAACCTGGACAATCAGACATAGTTTGATGCTACTCTGGTTTGCAGATTTAATGAATGTAACTGAAGTTACAATTCATAGACCAAACGTTTTTCTGACGAGGTGTAAATAAGCGTCAGGAAGCAAACCGCCATCGTCACGATCTAAACCTCCTCCCATTCAAAACGATGTTTTCAATGCACTTATAGCTCTCAAAAAAGGATCCGGACAGGCTCGTATTATCTGCTGACAAGGGTAATTGTGTTGTGGTAATGGACAAACAGCAATATCACGACAAAGCTTTGACTCTGCTTAATGACAAGAGTACGTATGCTGTCTTAAACTCTGATCCTACCAGTAAAAAAAATGTTGCTTGATTTGCAAAAAGCTGGTAAAATTAGTGACTCTACGTACAAAATATTATACAGTAGTGACGGCTTATGTCCACGTTTTTATGGCTTACCTAAAATTCATAAACCGGGAATTCCTTTGAGACCAATTGTCTCTTTTGTTAATTCTCCGACTTATGCAATTTCTGGTTTTCTTGCGAGAATTTTGTCGCCTGTTGTTGGGAATACTGATTACACTGTCAAAAATTCCTGCGAATTTGGGGATTTCATAAAAGATAAAACTCTTAACGCTTGTGAAGAATTAGTATCTTTCGACGTTGTTTCGCTCTTCACTAAAAATCCAAATGGGCAAATGGCTATATAAAAACTTTTCTCCGTAACTGCCAAAACCAGTTACAAATAGTAACGCTCTTGATGAAGACCAGAAGAATCAGCGACTGGTTTTGCTGTTATTCCTTACATACAGGGTGTTACGAATCAACTTATTCTACAACAGATGAACTCTTTATTCCAAGACAGGATTACTTCCATATTTCAGAGATCTAACTCATAGCCAATTGGCAGAGATTTTGCTGCATTTAAGAGTCGACAAGCTTCGCGCAGGGTGCATAGCACAAGTGGCAAGTGACCAGTTAAAAATTGAAGTATCGACATGCCCGCATGACACTCCCGCCATCTGCAAGCGATTTTAAACTTCTGTCTCCAAAGATCAGTTCTGGCCAGGATATACTTTTTGGCGATGTGATTTTGAATGTGACATTTCCACATCAGCGTGTTCTTGAGCTTTTGTAAAGCCGGAAGTGATCCTTCTCTACTGGAGCAGATAACTTCAGACACGTATTTCTCCAGAAGTTCGTCAGGTATACTCTTTCCCCTCTTTTAGTCGTATTTTTAAGCTCTGTACGATTTTTTTAAATGTGAAGTGCTTCGGACCTATTTTTAGGATGTGCAACGCTTCTCCTTTTGCGAATCCTATCTTAACGCCACTTAAAAAGTGTTTACGTGCTGGCACGACTCCTGCTAGGCGTTGAGTAAGTATAAACGAATCTCTCCGCAGTTATCCGTATATTGCCAAAAACAGAGGCGTGGTTGACAAGGATCCCTTCAGATGCTACATCAAATTCATTCTTGAAATATGGAAGGTATTCTTAATAACTAAACCTTACAAAAGGCTTGAAAACACAAAAATTAAACCAGATTTTAGTGGTTTGTTTAATACTTAAACTACTGTCTTAACTTTACTGAATTCGTTTTACTCAAAAGCCTTACGTAGGTCAACATTGTTTCGTGTCTAATATAATTTTTGCGTGAAAAACAAAAAAATTGTTGAGTACATAATCATTACTGCCTCCTGAGAATATTAGAAAAGAAAGCAGCAAAAATTGGAATAAATCTCCCCTAACCTGGGATAGCTCTTTTTTTTTAATGTCGATGAAATACTGGATAGAGTATTTTCTCTACTTATTTCTATTTAATTTATCCATCTAAAAGTCTTTTAACTCTGTTCCCTTCGAGTACTTGTCATTATTTACTCTATCGGGGTCTTTTTTCCTGCAAGAAAAAAAAAATATATATATGTATGTATATATAGATAGATATTAAACTAGCCTTGATGTTCAAGGTAACAACGACCAGTAAGTCATAACCTTCCTCACATCTAATTTAACTTTAATTTATGAAATACCTGTTCTCACCGAGTCTTGCCGCTGGTTGTCAAACTCGAGTCTCACATCATCTCCAATCAGCGTAAACGAAGCCCACTCAGAGATTTTGTTCAAGGGGTTTTTCTCATCCACTTCATGGCCTGATGAAGGGATTCACTGGCACTTCCACCTTCAATGAGGTGTTCGTAGAACCGACTCATCAGCTGCTCTGTTGCTGAGTCTGGAATGGCCCACAGTGCAACCAACACCGAGCGAGCACCGGATCCTAAGAACGCACGGGCAATTCCTATAACTCCCTCGGCCCTTATCTCTCCACTTCCACTGTGACAGCAGCTAAAGTACCACCAGTTTAGCTCTGACTTTCACTCGTGAGACATCAGCCATCGTCAACATCTAAGCTTCCTTCGGTGGGAGAGCGGTTTGACTGTTGGGACAGGGATTGGGGGAGAGTGCAATTTCCCCTCTTTCCGCGTTACCATGGGCAGCAAAATGTATCAAGCTCACTGAACTTATCCGCTCCAGTACCGCCTGCTTCGTTGCTTTCTCTTCAACTAGAGGCAGAACACCCACCAGTTGTCCGACCATCTCCGCTTCCTTTCTTGCAGCTGGCAATGATTGCAGCCAATTAACCTTGGGATTGCCTATTACCAAGGCACCAGTGTTGCTGTGATAGTCCTCTGGACTATCTTGAATGTTCTTGAGTGTTGTCAACGAAGGAATGATACGGATCTTATGAGTCTCTGACAAGTATTCGGCTCCCTCCTTTTCACTCAGGGCAGCAAAGGGAACTTTGTACAACCTGCGGTCAGGAACAATAATGACTTCAGGCTCATCAAGCAAATCATAAACGGGGCAATGAACATTTTGTAACACAAGTATAGACTTGAAATCACTTTCTCGTCCTCGTCCTCGTCCTCGTCCAAAAGTCGCAATCTTGCTGAGCTCTTTTGCGCGGGGAGAGAGATTGCAATTTAATCGTATTTAAAGACCGATCTTCACAATCTTTAGTGGGCAAAATACCAAGACTCCGGAAATTATAATCCAAAAATTGACTCAAAGACAAATCTTTGGGTAACCCAGCCTGAACTAGATTCTCTTCTGGTGATACTCTTCTATAGTGAAGGACTCCACTTGTTTTCAAGATCCACAAATGCAGACGATTCTGAAAATAAGAAATGTACAGACAAGTACAGTTTCTTTTCTTTCTTAAAATGTCCTCAATGCCAAACCAAGATTGTCGATTAGCAGAGATGTGCGTTTCAACCGAGTACTTCTCTGCCATTAAGTCTGATAGGCCTCTAGCTCGACCCAACTCCTCAACATAAAGAGCATCCCGAGCATTTCCGGTGTCACAAAGCAAAGTACAAAGCAGCTTGTAGGGGAATATTCCTGTGTCCTCCAGAAATGATGTTTTGAACTGATCATTGGCGCCCAAGAAATATCTCAGCTCCTCATACTTTTCAATGCACAGGTGAAGACACAACAGAGAGTCTTTGATTTTATCTTGACATAAATACAAAACGGCGTAACCTCGGAGGATTTCAAACTCTCTTCTTCCATCTCCAATATCTCTGGATATGAATAAAGCTTTCTCCAAGCATACTTCCGAAGCTTCAAAATCACCAACAGTTCTAAACAAATTTCCAAGGTTTCCGTAGTCAGTTGCCTCCCTTCTCTGTCGCCAATTTCAGTTCTGATGACAAGCGCTTTTTGGAGATACTCTTCAGCCTTGTCGTATTGGCCAAGCGACGTAAACACAGTACCTAGGTTTCCATAACATGATGCTTCCCCTCCTCTGTCGCCAATTTCAGTTGTGATAACAAGCGCTTTTTGGAGATACTCTTCAGCCTTGTCGTATTGGCCAAGCGACCTAAACACAGTACCTAGGTTTCCATAACATGATGCTTCCCCTCCTCTGTCGCCAATTTCAGTTCTGATGACAAGCGCTTTTTGGAGATACTCTTCAGCCTTGTCGTATTGGCCAAGCGACGTAAACACAGTACCTAGGTTTCCATAACATGATGCTTCCCCTCCTCTGTCGCCAATTTCAGTTCTGATGACAAGCGCTTTTTGGAGATACTCTTCAGCCTTGTCGTATTGGCCAAGCGACTTAAACACAGTACCTAGGTTTCCGTAGTCAGTTGCCTCCCCTTCTCTGTCGCCAATTTCAGTTTTGATGAGAAGCGCTTTTTGGAGATACTCTTCAGCCTTGTCGTATTGGCCAAGCGACGTAAACACAGTACCTAGGTTTCCATAACATGATGCTTCCCCTCGTCTGTCGCCAATTTCAGTTCTGATGACAAGCGCTTTTTGGAGATACTCTTCAGCCTTGTCGTATTGGCCAAGCGACGTAAACACAGTACCTAGGTTTCCATAACATGATGCTTCCCCTCCTCTGTCGCCAATTTCAGTTGTGATGACAAGCGCTTTTTGGAGATACTCTTCAGCCTTGTCGTATTGGCCAAGCGACCTAAACACAGTACCTAGGTTTCCATAACATGATGCTTCCCCTCCTCTGTCGCCAATTTCAGTTGTGATACCAAGCGCTTTTTGGAGATACTCTTCAGCCTTGTCGTATTGGCCAAGCGACGTAAACACAGTACCTAGGTCTCCATAGTCAGTTGCCTCCCCTTGTCTGTGGCCAATTTCAGTTGTGATGACAAGCGCTTTTTGGAGATGCTCTTCAGCCTTGTCGTATTGGCCAAGCGACGTAAACACAGTACCTAGGTTTCCATAGTCAGTTGCCTCCCCTTGTCTGTCGCCAATTTCAGTTCTGATGACAAGCGCTTTTTGGAGATAGTCTTCAGCCTTGTCGTATTGGCCAAGCGACGTAAACACAGTACCTAGGTTTCCATAACATGATGCTTCCCCTTCTCTGTGGCCAATTTCAGTTGTGATGACAAGCGCTTTTTGGAGATGCTCTTCAGCCTTGTCGTATTGGCCAAGCGACGTAAACACAGCACCTAGGTTTACATAACATGATGCTTCCCCTTGTCTGTCGCCAATTTCAGTTCTGATGACAAGTGCTTTTTGGAGATAGTCTTCAGCCTTGTCGTATTGGCCAAGCGAGTTAAACACAGTACTTAGGTTTCCATAACATGATGCTTCCCCTTCTCTGTCGCCAATTTCAGTTGTGATGACAAGCGCTTTTTGGAGATGCTCTTCAGCCTTGTCGTATTGGCCAAGCGACTTAAACACAGTACCTAGGTTTCCATAACATGATGCTTCCCCTTGTCTGTCGCCAATTTCAGTTGTGATAACAAGCGCTTTTTGGAGATACTCTTCAGCCTTGTCGTATTGGCCAAGCGACGTAAACACAGTACCTAGGTTTCCATAACATGATGCTTCCCCTCCTCTGTCGCCAATTTCAGTTGTGATACCAAGCGCTTTTTGGAGATACTCTTCAGCCTTGTCGTATTGGCCAAGCGACGTAAACACAGTACCTAGGTTTCCATAACATGATGCTTCCCCTTGTCTGTCGCCAATTTCAGTTGTGATGACAAGCGCTTTTTGGAGATGCTCTTCAGCCTTGTCGTATTGGCCAAGCGACGTAAACACAGCACCTAGGTTTACATAACATGATACTTCCCCTTGTCTGTCGCCAATTTTGGTTGTTATGGCAATGGCCCTCTCCAAATATTCCTTTGCTGTTAGGCTCTCGCCAAGTTTATAAAGCATAATTCCATACCCTCTGTATAAGTCAAACAGTTTCCTTCCGTATCTTTCCGCACTTATGTAGTCAGAGATATGACGATAAGCGCTGAAAAGAACGCTATAGATGTCGCTGTAAAATTGTAGCAGTGCTGAATCAAATTGGTCTTTGCTGTTTTGATCGGTGCCATTTAGCAAAATCAAACATTCGCTGCATATCTCAATGGCTTTCTGAATGCGATCTGAGTTGAGCAAGAACAGGGCAACAAATAAGGCGAGGCTCATGAAAGGTGTCATGGCTTCTGCAGTTAGGTTTCCATTGCAATCTTCACCTGTTATCAGGGAAACATTATTTTTAGTAACACAACACTAAATGGTCGATAATCTTGATTAATAACGAGTCACTTCAAACAGGAACACACATGTTAAGTTACAAAAACGGGCTGGGTCGATTACACCCGGAAACTATTTGTAACAAACTTCAAAGAGAACTTAAAGATTATCCGCAAATGAGCTTAAAGGAATGACAATGGAATTAATTGTAGTATTAAAACAGTTACAATTGGAATATAATAAATCAATGTTAAGAAAGCTCATACAGGTTATAAACAAATAGATACCAAATGACAATCGCATAAAAAAAAATTAATAAATTACTAAGAGTTTTGGTCTTAATATTCAGTTTTTTCTACCTTTGTCCACATTTCACTCAGGTGATAGACAGTTGTGCCTGACTTAAACTACATTCATATTTGAAAATCAAAAAGTTTCATTGTTACTAAGAATCTGTTACAGGATTTGTGATCGAACTAGAACTTCTGGTCTTTCTAATCGCATGAGGAAACTAAAAAATTTCTCTTCCCAGTGTCTCAACTTTCTTAAGGCAGATAATTAGGAAACCGGAAACAGAAAGAAATGGGAAAAGAGAGTCCCTTCTTAATTGATAATGAAGCTCATTGATTCAATCAATGGAGAAGATTGAAGAATAAGAGGCTTGGTTATATCATGTATTGTGAGGTAAGGAAGCTACCTTTTCTCAAAGGAAACAAACTGCTGCCATGTGTCATAGCCTGACTCGCTGATTTATTTTTGAGGCATTATTCGCTTTGATTAAAAACAAACAAAAAAGACAAGAATAAAATGCAAATTCAGCTAATGAAAAATCCATGGAAATCAAAAAGAAATCAGAAAGGAATCAGAAAGGAATATTCTAAAATATAAGTTCTAGTTTACCCATTCTTAGTTTATTGATTTTGTTAAACCGGCTGTCAAAACGTATGTGCAATGCAGACCATTAGGATCACTCTATTTTATTTCTTATTCATGAATAATACAAGAATGATTAATGAGAAAATTGCTCTAGTTTTCTCGAGAACTATTCGACAGTTTAAATAATGTACCGTCCAAAATGTTTGTACTGGAAATTCCCTCGCTCGATTTTATTGAAACACCGTTCTTTTGGTTCATTACCGAGATGATCACAGTTGTAAGTTATTGACATTCGGGAATATGGCAACATTTGCAAAGATTGTTCATTTTAAAAGCAATGAGCGCATTTATCAGACGAATGTCCCTGAAAACGAATATAGTAAATATAATTGTCCACATGATGCCCTACCGTCGATTGCATTTACCTTTCCAAGGTGATGTCACTAAACTTCTGGACAAAAAGAAAAGCCTGCAAGATTTCGCCGAATTACCCTTAATCTACCCCCTTACAGTTATGTTGGTGTTAATGCCTATTTAGTCACCGGAAATTCATTGTAAAGGACAATAAAATTTCTATTAGTTCAGCCAATTCCTTGAGCACGCAGATCGTCAAGTGATGTTCATTATGTTATTTCATAATTTTTCTTCCTGTGACGACTCGTTCTCCATAATATTCAGTAGAGTAGTTTGGTGGTTATTAGCATGTCGTCAATATGAGCGTTCACTTATCTCACGGACGGGCGGAGATTGTATGCTTGGCTTGTAAGGGTCATAACTTTTAGTGACTGGCCAAGGGGAACTGATGATTTATTTCACTGTGGTGGCGATTCAATCGCGCCATCAACCGCTTAAATGAAGGGCTAACGCTCGAAACGAGACATAACTACATATTGCAAAAACAAAGCTCGAAAAAACAGCTACTGGGCTTTGCCATGAGAGCCTTACCTCTCTACAGTTACTAAATGACTAAGGCTGATAAAAACCGAGTGAATAGGAAAGATTTTCAATCGCACTTACCAAGATGTTGACAATGTGGCTGATGCTTTCAAAATGAAACAATAAAAATAATGAATTACACTCCGCACTTTTCTCAACCTTCCGAATTTCCGCTGTCACGGCGTTTTAGGTATCTAGATCACGTGTGTTTTCGGTTATTCCCCTCCTGCTCAAGGCTACTCGAAGTAAAATTGCATATTTTTTGTACGTTTTTGTACGTTTTGTACGTTGTACATGCCCGTCTATCGCTTCCCATTAACGTTGAAAATGGTCAGTGGTCATATGATAAAATGCTTATTGACTGAATTTAGTGGGGCCAGTGGAGAAAATATTTGGCTCTGGGTGATGAAGCTTGAGCCTCGCTGCGCTCGGTCCATAGGTCATGACCCCGAGCCAAATAATTTTCCTTCCGGCCCTACCACTCAGTTAATAAGAACACAGTATTTCGGTTTTGTACGTCCAACTTTTATCACACACGATGTAATTGAACGTGGAACAGATCGATCCTAAGTTTCTTTTTTAACGCTAAGCTATCTTTGCGTGATAATGGACTCATTGTCTTCGTGAACTTTTCATTTTCTAGCGGGTGTGATTTGCATGATCGAAGCTAAAAATACTAAAAAAACTTAGTGACTGTATTTTGGTTTGGCACGTCACACTTTTCTAACTAATGATGGATTTGAGCATCCAAAAATGACACATCTTACTTTGTTTATTCGAAAACGCCAGGCTTCAGTGTTCATCCCTTTTAGTTCGTTAGGATTTGCATCACGAGATCGATAAGATTGGGCGTACAACTAAAGCTTCTGTCTTTAAACAGTAAGCTATCTGTGCGTAAAAACTGACCCATTGTACACGTGAACTTTTCATTTTCTTGAGGGTGTGATTTGCATGATCGAAGACAAAAATAGCAACTGAGATAATTGATAACTCCCAATGGCAATAGTGCTTTTCAACCTTTTTGTTTCCTCTTTTCCTCAGAAAATCGCAAGAAACTTGCAACTAGAGGGCAATAACACCCAGCGATCATTTGAATGATAAAAATTATATATGGCGAATTAACGAGAGGGGGATCTGGGGGGCGAATCAACATTTACTCCGAAGATTTAAGTGTTCCATCTCAAACGAATGAATTTCGGTTTCGTACGTCACACGTTATAACCACTGATGGATTGAACATATGTATAAAATAACTTATTCCATTCTTTTTTCACAGGAAACGTCAGGCTTCTGTGTCCATCCATTTCGTAAATTAAAATTTCATTACAAGATCGATACCAATAGAACCAAAGCTTCTTTCTTTAAACGGTAAGCTTGCTGTGAGCGATAATCAACTTTTCATGAACTGATATGGAAAACCGATCAGCAGTTTACTCCGCAGTGAATCTATTTCGGTTTTGCACGTCACACTTTTACTACTTCAAATCGACCATATTTGGTTCCCCATACAATTCTATAGGAAGTGTTCATTTCTTGTGAGTGACCACCGAGTCACACAACGCGTGACGCTTTCATGAATTAATCGTTTGCTTTTTCTCGAGATGTGAGCTTGGGCCGCCTCTGCTGACATCAGTAAAGGACATTCTGCATTATAAATATGTCTTGATATAGGATTGATTTTAGTTTTTGATCACGTGATTGTGGAAACCATCAGTTTCTCGAACTAAACGATACTGAACAATTTTATTTATAATGAGGTTGAAATATATTGTATAAAACCATAACGGTTTTAAGAAAGCCATTTAACGGTAGGGATATGAAGCATCCGATCAACGGGAAAGTACGCCAATACTATGTATGCAGTAACATTGAATTTAAGAAAGTCTTAGTTTCTATCAAGAGATTAAAACATTTCTCTTCGTGAGCGCGCAGCGTCATGACTTATCTTCTTACTCGAGACTCTGGCGCTTAAACAGAGAAAAAAACGGATAACGGCGTTTAGAAAAATATGTACTGTAGAATTCGCCGCTAGACAAAAAACAACAACAAAAAAAAAGATTTGTGCTCGTATGCCCGTCTATCGCGTCCTATTTAGGTGAAATTTTCAACAGTTAGTGGTCATATGATAAAATGTTTATTGACTGAGTTTTGTTGGGCCGGACGGGAAAATATTAGGCTCTCGGTCACGAAGCAAGGACCTCGCTACGCTCCTACCTCTCAATCAATAAGTACACAGTATTTGGGTTTGTATGTCACACTTTTATCCCTAATGATTTAATTGAACTTGAAAATTGAGAAGTGTTATTCTATTTTTCATGGGGAACGACAAGCTTAAGTGTTGATTTTTTTAAAGCTTTCATTTGCATCACAAGATTGATCACAGTACAACCTAAGTTTCTTTCTTTAAACGGTAACCTATCTTCGCGTGACAATCGACTTATTGTGTTCGTGAACTTTTAATTTTCTAGCGGGTGTGATTTGCATGATCGAAGCTAGAATTGCTAAAAAAACTGAGTGACTGTATTTCGGTTGAGCTCGTCACACTTTTCTGACTAATGACGGATTTCAGCGTCCAAAAATGAAACATCTTCCTCTTTTTATAACATGTTCAACTCTCGTAACTTAGCACCGAGTCACACAACGCGTGACGCTTTCATGAATTAATCGTTTGCGTTTCCTCGAGATGTGAGTTTGGGCCGCCACTGCTGACATCGGTGAAAGACATTCTGCATTATAACTATGCCTTGATATAGGATTGAATTTAGTTTTTGATCACGTGATTGTGGAAACCATCAGTTTCTCAAACTAAACAATGCCGAACAATCTTAGTTATAATGAGGTTGAAATGTATTGTATGAAACCATAACGGTTTGAAGAAAGCGATTTTACGGTGAGAATATGAATCATCCGTTCAACGCAAAAGTACGCTTATACTCTGTATGCAATAACAGTGAATTTAAGAAAGTTTAGTTTCTCTGAGAAAATTAAAACATCTCTCTTCATGAGTGCGCAGCGTCATGACTTATCTTCTTATGCGAGACTGGCGCTTAAACAGACAGAAAAAAAAGAAAGGGATTACGGCGTTTAGAAACATATGTACCGTAGAACCCGCTGCTAGTATCTAAAAACTTAAGCGAATA